TAAAGATTGACCTTGAACTTTGTCTTCTTGGGCGAACTTTAAAGAGTACGAGACATCTATCAAAATAAACCATCTTGAGATGAATCCTTCAAACTGAGTAACTGCCAAACAAAATATGTTCTTCAATAAAATCTAATTGTCTTATCCTATTCTTGTAAACTTGGAGCATATCATTAACTTTTATAGTTATTTATTTAATATTTTTAATGTGTATTTCATTAAAATCTTGAAAAATAAAATCGTTATAGTCCTAAAAATTTTTTAGTAGTTTTATATTGTTATTTATACTTGAGAATCATCATATTTAAATTCTTGATAAAACTTATATAGTAATAATCATGTAAAATCTTATGATGTTAAAATAATAATTTTTTCTCTCCTAGCTATACTTTTAAATAATATCTAACATGGTGTGTGTGGGATAAACTCATTTTTTGCCCCACATTATCCTATTTACGCTAGTAGCTACTAAGTTGTAGCAATGGCTTCTGATCCGATTGGAAATGTGGAGTAGTGCATAGTTCTTGTGGTATATATTAATGAGATAATAAGTTCGGGACCTTTACAAGCCTGCAAGATATTCTAAAATGAATCCAAACACATGAACACAAAAAGGAAAATATGAATTAGGGTCCCCCGTTTGCAATTTGATATATTATTAGCACTACTTTGTTGGTCAAAAACGGTAATGTTGATTTTGTGTTTTGGCATGAATAAGAATATTCATCGTAAAGACTCAACATATGTTAGCCAAGTGATTTATCTTGATTCGTTTTGGCACATCTTAGGAGTGACATTTACTCCATCTTCATGTTGGTTATTCTGTTTTGTTCAAAGAATAAAAAAAGTTTTTAAAAAGTTGAATTATGTGTCGTTTTTAAAACTAATGGTATTACTTATAGATTACATAATACATACATTTAAAGTCAAATTTATCAATTCTTTTAATCCTAAAGTGTCCATCAATGTATGGGGGAGGGTGAGATATATTTCCACATGCATGCATGGTTCGATCGATGTCGCACATATACAATATAATATAGAAAACTTGTAGGTATACCTTTAAATAGGAGAATTTTCACGAAAATGAAGTATCTTATAATTTGCTTAATGGTTTGTACAAGTCCTTTTTAATACTCCATTTAAACGTTCTAATTCATAGAGAAATAACATTGAAATTATCTTCATCCAATAGGAATAGCAGAAAAGTCCTTTAACTATGGCTGACTTGACTAGGTTAATAACTAGAATTATGTGGGTTCATGGCCAACAAGTACTCGCAATAGAAACTAAATAGTATAATATAATTAAACTCAACAACTGCCAGCAATAATTGTACTTTATCCTTAATTTTAAGTATATTTTTAATAAGAGATAAATTCTTAAATATAATTTTACTACTTGAATTGGGAAATTTTAAACATTTTTTGCTTAAAACATTTGAACTCAACGCAATAAACAACTGCCCTTAATTTGGTTTCGTTTTATAACGGAAATTCCAAATTTGAGGGGTTTTTATTCTATTACAAGATTGAAAATTCTGTCCGTGCTTTGATTTAAGGATACATGCCTAAATGCTTTATAAACTTGAGCTGATAACAAAATAAAGTGAAAGATAATACTTAACTAAGCGGTTTAGTTGCCAAAGAATCATTCTGCTTACTAAAAATCAGAGTGATCTCAAAGTTAATTGTGTTGTCTCTTGCAAGATTTCACAATGGCTCTTGAAAAGAATTAACGAATTTCTTTTAGAGGGCAGTTAAAGAGAGTCATATCTCTAAGCTTGTATCAAAAGGGTAGATGGATAAAGTCATATTCTACCCTTTTTGACTCCTTCACTTTTAGTCTTTTGCACACACTAAAACATATACACCAAAACAAAATGAGGGGAAGGGGGGGAGTGAGTGAGGGGGATATACATTATGCATATAGATAGATACCTACAATATTGATCATGTGTCATATCCAAATTTATATGATAATATACAAATTAAAGTGACCGTAACTTCACTTTTACCCGCTAAACAAGACTTTGCTCAACATATACTTATTATTTTCATATTTTTCATTATCATCACACAAAAGTAAAATGTTAAGGTTGTATATTAAAACAGTGAATAGAGTGTTAATAATATTTTTGAGCAATCAACATTAATTTTGTTTTAAAACAACACTAAAAATGAACATTAAAAAGAAATAAGAAGTCGTTATCCAGCTGATAAAAAAAAAGTTGGTGTCCACATCAAAATCTTCAATTAGATCAACTACGAAAGACCATAAGTTACTTTAAAGTGCGCAAACATATTAATTATCAAATCTTATAATTATTTAATGCACCGTTGGAATATGACCAATTTCAGCAGACGGGTGATGGGATCAACAAATTGCATTTTACAGATTGAATTACTGTACAAGAAAATCAAATCAAACTGATTAATTAGCGTTTGTAATGAACAAACAATAGCTAATTTACATAAGCTTGAGTTATCATGAAAGATGGAATATAGCTTTGATTAATTAAGTAGGAGATTATTAGATTAACCCACACAGGAACATAACAAAGGAGAGTGCTTAGTCCACCGTAAGTGGGGTCTTAACGGCTAATACCTGTCGGGAGAGGAAGCTTAGAGAATCATGGATGCCAACTTTGTTTAAACCGCGTGGGCTCCATTAACTCAAAGTAATTAAGATTAGGAAATAAACAAATTAATAGGAAAAATGGATCATTTAGAACCAATGCTTTTTTTATTTAAAGTTTTAGGTGGGTCGTCAATTCCATCGCCAATCATATCATGTTTTGCTGATCTTTGGAATCCCAAGCAGTGGTTTAACGCAAAAGATGCGGCCCCAGTTAACTAAAGTTAATATTAAATAATTAAAATTATTAATCAAGAATTAATCTAGAATAAATTAGCAAATTATCACATTGGTACCCTCTCCTTGTAAGCAAACTCTACTAGGATTATGACTTCAAAAAGACCATCTTTGAAAGATATGATCGATGTGATGTATAGCTAAATTAGTGAATATTTAAGGACTTTTATAGGATTAAGTATAATAATTTCAATTGCTTTCTTGCAGGGGGAAAATGTAATGATATATAAATATAAATTATAAATGACTATTTTCAAAAATAATAAGTGGATGAAGAGCAAAATAATATATTCATGTTGAAGTAGGGATTATTTATAAATAATTTAATTTTAAAAATTATATAACAATAATTTATTTAAAATAAGCTCATTTAATACAACTCTTGTTACTTGTGTCTGTGTGTGTACAAGAGAGTAAAATCTACTTAAAAACTTCACTGACAAATTACTAAGGAAAGAAACCCCAACTGCCACATAATTTATTTCTTGTAAATTTATGTATATTCCGCTTAATTTTTTTCTTTAGCTAAACTTAAAGACAAATAATTTAAGATAAAAAAATTATAATAAAAGAGTGTAAAAATTACCCAACAACCTAATCTGAAAATGGTTAAAAAAAGGTTATTGGATGATAGTGTAACTAACTAACATCACATGTTGAACAAAGAATCTAATGTCATTTAAAAAATGTGAAATCAGAAGATTTTGGGTCTCGAAGTGTAAGTAAAACGACGGCACGTTTGTCCCATTGTTCCGACCAGATCTTGCATGTAGACAACTTAGATTGTTAGTTAACGTTCCTTAGATACTGCCGCGTGGCCCAATCTGATTTCCAACAATCCCCATAAACCAAAAGTGCTCTAAAGTTAAAAGATAAAATATATTTATTAAATAATATTTCTAAAGTTATTAAATGCTTTAATTTTTTAATAATATTTTTTTCAAGACTACAAGTAGTGACTACAATTATGTTTAACTCTTTATTTTGTTAAAGAATAATAAAGTTTTACATTTTATTTAATTTTTTTACGAAGTGGGGGAAAAGGTAGATGAAAATGGAGGTGAAAGCAATTGATCATAAGGACAGGGAATAAGAGTGAAGAAAGAGGAGATGATATTGGTTTGTGAGTGAATGATATTATTATAACAGAAGGCAAATCATTGTCAAAACAAACACCAAAAGGAAAGGATTACCATTGTTATTACGCATAAAAATTGAAAGAAAAGAAGCTAAGAGGAGGCCCCACACGGTTTCTCCGTAAAGGCTTTGGTTAATGGAATCACAAAGAATTGAGGTATTGACTATCAAGTCTAATGTCACATGGTTGCACAATTTCTATTCGGTCACAAATCACTTGTCACGGAAAAAGTTCACATGCCTTTAAGACCTTTAAAGCTCTAAATCATTTCTCGTGTCATTTTATTCAATACAATGTTCTGTTTTCTTTTCTGAAATTAAATTTGGGTACAACTTCATTTGTTTTTGGTCAAGGCTGCATCTTATTTTATGTTAATTAGAACTCACTTGGACCCTACAATAAAAACTTGACGGGCTTCGATCTTGAGATGCTATGAGATCTTCAACACAGTTTGTCAATATTTGGACTGCTTAAGGCCCACATATAATCTTAATAGCGTAGGAACTTGTAACACTTGGACCAAAAAACAAGTTTCAACCACTAGTTATAGATTTTTTGGTTTTAGCTTCCTAAGTTTTTCCCATAATTTTCCCCTTTTTGTAAGTATTCCTAGAGATTTCATTTGGTCACTTTATCATTTTACAAGAACATCTGTCAAATTTATTTAGTCTTATAAGGGTAACTTTCATTTCTTATAATTATTGAAAATATAAATGATTATAATAATAGTTAAATAACTTAAATTATAAACTAATTAAATATATTTGAAATCATATATTTTACTCCATATATTAGGATTTATCCCAAGAGACTGTTATTTTCAATTAACAAAAAAGAGTGATGAAAGTATAAGAACTTGATGAATCGTAGCCAACAAAGTAACAACATAGGATACAACATACACAAATCAACATGAGCATAAGATACATATGTTAAGTGGTCAAAGAAAAAACATCAAATATAGTTGTATCAGTTAATCTTGAATATCTTATTCCAGTCTTCGCATCTTGACATTCAGTGGAATCTCCTTGTAAGATTGAACCTTCTGAACTGCACTTCGTAAGGGTCTTCCAAAAGAATACCTCGGAGCTTCTCTTCTTAAAACAGAGCTTTCCCCTGTTTCTGTTTTTAAAGTTGAAGATCTCAGCATGTTAGGTCCAGGTTGATTGACAAGAATTGCAGCATCCTCTAACTCGAACAAATTTTCTAAAGGTTCATGTTCATGGGTTTTGAACGTAGCAGAATGTCTCCTCAAACGTCTCCTGTATAGAGCAATTTAACATATTAACAATTTTCTTATTAAATAATTATTTTGTAAATTCAAGAATATTCTCTGGAAAGAAAATTATGAAAGCCCTTAATGCAATTTCAAGTATTTCATGCATTCATCGCAACTAAATTTTGGTACTTCTTCAATGAGCTTAGGCAATATAAACGATGCATTGTTAAAGCATGAAACTAACCTATTGTCTTTGGCTTTGTCTTTGTTTGTATTCTTGGAAGCAGTAGAAGAACCAATAGCTGCAAAGTTCCATAACAAGTTTAAACAGTGTCGAGAGAAAAAATGTGAAAAAAATTTACATGAAGCAAGTGCCAGCATTTACATCTACTCCTTATATGTCTTCTATTCTTATAGGGTGGTTGTTGTTCGTCATTGCTAGCTTCAGGGGGTGGCTGCCCTGCTTTTTCATCCCCTTCCTTGAGCCAATCAAAACATACAACAAGAAAAAGAGTGAGAAATAACATACAGAAATGTCATTACTATGGCATAAAAATGAGTGAAGGGTTTTGCACAGGAACCTGTGTCTGTGACTGTGGCAAAGTTGAATTCTTTTCGTTGTTAAGCTCCACTTTTTCCTACAAAAATGGTGTGGTCCGGTTCATTTATGATGATAAAAGAGGGGAGAAAAAGTAAAAGGAAGCAATTGTGTTGGGCCTATATTGCAGATTGCAAAGGAGTGTTTTTACACCACACGCGCACCCAAAATTCGGGTCATTTAACTCGAGCTAAAATAATGTTCTTATGGCTCTTTATGCACATATCTTGCCAATTAACATAAAATATTGAAGATATAGGTAGCAGAACAGACGAGGCCGGTGGAAAACTTAAGGACATAACAACAGATCAATTTGAAGGTGCATATAAAAGCAAAATTCTGCAATTGAATCTTAATTTCCAACGAAAATCGTAATTGTATATATTCTCTGTCAATTGCAAACAGTATTAGTTCATGAAAGCAATTAGGTTGACGCCAATCATTCTTATTTTCTTAAAAGTAAATTAAAAAACAAAATCATGTTAGTAAATGAAGATTCATGTCAAGGGAGAAACTTCCCATGCATTCTCTTGCCAAAGACATCTTACACGTTACATTTTACACTTCATAATAGAAAGTCACACTCCCTTCGTACACATATGACAGACGTTCAAATTAAATAGACTTTGATACCATATTAGAAAAGTAGTCCTTACTCTAAAAGACAACTCATTTAAGAGAAGGATTATGCAAGTCTTACAAGGTATATTCTGGCTATATTTCTAACGGACTTGGGACATCTTAACACTTCAAGTTAAAGTAACTGAGATGAAATTCAAAAATCAAGCTTGGAGCGTAGCATACCTGCACATCCATAGTCCTTCCTTTAATTAAAGCAGCCCTCCACAAAATCTCATGTTGCAGCGTTTTTATCTGAAACCAGTATCACGCAATTCAAAAAAATGTTTTTTTTTTTCTGTTCTTTTTTATCTTCAAAAAAACCATGTTAAGGTGCAATCCACAGATATTATTGGAGGAATGAACTAACTCACTCACCCTTTCCCTCCCCAAGTTAAGCTCCTGCAAAATCAACCACAAAAACAAAACCATTACTATAACCCTCAATCAACCAGTAACGCAACGTGATTGTGCAATTTCGAAACTCACCGCTAGCATGTGGCTATTGGACTGAGCAAGATTCCAGTTTTGCAGCTGCAGCTTCTTGATATCGCCTCTCAGCCTCTGCAGCTCCGCGCCACTCACTTCAATCATTTTACTGTTCAAATTTTAATCAAAACAAGAAAAACAACATAAAATTAAGAACTTCATTGCTTCCTCGGATTACTCAAAAACATGTTTAACGTTAAGGTAAGAAGTACGAGAAAATACTTTCTTTCGGCAAGGAGTTGGATCAAAGCCGTTCTTTCCTGCATCAAAATTCAACCCACAAGATTAAATAAAATAAAAAAGAAGGAAGAATATTAGGAAATAAAATAAGATAAAAATGAACCTTTAGGAGTTGTTGAATGGAATCATGGTGAGAGGGGAAGGTGTCAGAGTCATGAAGAGAATGTGGGTTGTTATATTGTTGAGAGTGAGAGTTAATGTTGGTGATATCAGAGAGCTTTTTCCGCATTAAGCTTCCAATTGATTTCTTCGCCATTGTTTCGAAACACTATCGAATAATTGAAATTGGGGTATTCATTTGGAAGTGAAGAAACTTGGGTTGAGGAAGAGAATGAGTGTGAATGAAGCAAACCAAAGCCAAAAGCCAAAAGCCAAAAGGAAGAAATGGTCGCAGGAAAGGTTTTTGAAACGAAAGATAACTAACGGTTTCTCCAACCAAAATTACCGTTGCGTCGTCCCAACTCCGAACCTAATTTCAAATCTTTCAGAGCATTCCGAACCTCCGTTTTAAATTAACAAGTTCCATATTAAAATATAATAAATATATTATCAATAATTAAAAAAACTTTATGTTTTTTATTCTTCGAGTAGTATCTTAAAGAAATTATTTATTTTTTTCCTAAAATTTATTCACAAATATCTAATTTATACTCTTTCTTTTAAAAAGAAAAACAGCACGTGTGATTCTCAACCTTTTTCTTTTAAAATTCAAAATTTAATGAATTAAATATGTATCTTTTATATAAGTTTAAATATTTTGATTTTACCTTATACTTTTGATATTCTATTTAAAATGATTTTTTATATTCCTTTTATAATTCTAAATATTTTTCGCTCTCATTTTTAAATTTTTACTTGAATTTAACAAGCAATGCATTAAGTACTTGTCAATTTCATTGGAATTCACCTTCTCAAAAGTGATTGCATCTTTTAACACTTGAAAGAATAGGACATGTCATTTTTACCCTTTCGACCGTAAAATTTAAATTTTAAATCTTTCTTTATTCATTATGCTTTTTTTAATTAATTTTAAATTCCTTTTTCAATGCAGTTTTCTTCGATACAGTAATATTTTTTTTCAAGCTAAACCTTGTTAAACTAATTATATTTTTTTTTATAATTTTCAGATATTTTTATTTTATATAAAGTTAAATATCAATACATTGCATAAAATATTTACTGGTTACATAATATTTTAAAATAAAAATAACTAGTATGATTATACTATTTTCATGTTAGTACTTAGTAGACCTTTACACATACATATATAATTCTTTCTTCTTATTTGATTAAATAAGAAAACGTACAACAAAATAATTTTTTTAATAAATTAACATGTTCCTAATAAGAAAATTAGATAAATAAGTGAAAATAAAGTAGCAAGCCACGTGAAACAAAGGGTTATATAGGAAAAAGAAAAACATGATTTTATCTTATGCCTCTTTTTTTTGACAACTTTGAAAAGAAATAAATTTATATAAGCTTTACTCTCTTTTTTTAATCTCACTTAACTTTTTTAATTTACCAAACAAGTTTAATCCTTTCCATCACCTTAAATTCTTTCTCACATGATTCTTGCTTTCCTAAATGAGTATCAAGTAAGGATGTAATTGTTAGATCATCATGATTCACTTTGATTTCATAAATAGGATAAAATAGTATTTTCCTCTCTCATGTAATGTTTAAATTATATTATCTTTTTAAAATTACACTCACCTCTTCCAAAAATAACTAATATATTATAATTTTGTCTATTTTATTATAAACAAATTTATTAAGGTCAAATTTTTCTTCATTTTACGACCCAAAATGATTAGCCACTTGGTATTAATTCCTATAATGAACTTTGAGACTTCAAAAAATGAAATAAGGATTTAGTGCTATTTTAAAGCCAATATGTCTAAACTATCATTTCATCTAGTGAAGTTTAAAAATAAACAATGCCATATTTAAAATTAACGAGAGAAGTTGATGAAAAAGAAAATACTCATAAGAAATCCATTCATCATTACTCAATACACAAACTTGTTTTTATTAAAATAAATTAAAGTATAATTAACACATTGATTTCCTTATAAAAGAGATAATAACTTTTAAAATATAATGAAAAGAGAGTCTAGTAACAATAACATCACTCTTTCAGATATTCTTATTGTTATTTCAAAAGTTAGCAATTTATAGCCTTGGATGAGCAACAAATCTTAATTCACGTCAGCTAACAAAAAGCCAAAACAACCAATTTCACCCTTCATGTATGCTCTTAGAACATCTCATGCTTAAGGAAAGGAGAGCATTCTGTACAACTCTGAAGAATCAGATGTAAGAGTCAAGATAAGCTATGTAGTGATTGGTGCCAATGCAACACAGTATTCCTTAATCTTTCAATCTCTAAGATCTGGCCATCTCAGGACAAGAAGAGAAAGACTTGACAGAAATGTCTTACCTACAAGTAAAATGACAAATAAGTGAAGATGCACTCTAAAGGAAATATGTTTATGTGTGTGGTCATTTGTGAGACAAGAATGCAATGTTGGGACATATCTTCTAAGATTTTACTGGTCTGTCCATGAGATTGGATATTCGTTTCAGATGAAGTCTCATGATAAAGTACACATCATTCAGTTGACCAAGCAATAGGATAAGTATTGTCATGTACCTCTGGCACCAACTACTAATATGCACAATATATGCCAAAGGTCTACCTATCTATTAGATACTAGATAGCTTTCTTTAAAATATTTTCATCTCATTGTTACTTGATAAAATTCTGGGTATAGGATACTGAAGATACCTGAAACCAATTATTTATAGATAGAGAAGTGCAAAAGATATGCTGCCCTATGACGAACCTGTAAAATGAAATTATTTATATACATGAAATCACACAAAATAAATCTGTGGTTAAAAAAAAGTAATAAAGTTGTTTCATTCACCTTTGATGCATATGATCGTAAGTCCGTGGCTGAAATTAAGCTAGAACAATGTCTAAGAAAAAGACAGAACATCTCATAGATTACTGGATTGTCTTCAGTATATAAGTTGGACAAAACCCAATTCTCTGTCAAAACTAAGTGAATGTACATCTTGAAGAAATCACAACTTTTGTCTTTGAAGTTAATTTCTGTAAGTGATCTGACAATCTCTTCTCCACTGTTAATCTGAGAAAAAGTCAGCTCACTTTTCAAAAATTCAGAAGCAAATCTCTATTCATATCCATGCATACTGTCACAATTAATATGGTTGTACTCAATGCTGATTATTTTTTTTGTTTAACAGAATTTTCTCACATCATTTTGTTATTGAGAATCAAGTCTTAAAACTTAAAGTCAACTTGCACATTTTGCTTAGTGTTTTCAGTTTGTAATACACAAATATTTTAAAATGAAAATGAAAGTTCAAATAATAAAACCAACAATGCTTATTAATGCATAGATCTACAGTTCTACGCTCAAACAAAAAAAAAGACTATTTTCCAAATTACATTTACATTGAATTAATGAATATGGAAATATTAAGAGTCATATTTGAAAATTTAATTGTTTGTAATACTTTGGATTTTGGACTTAAAAAAATAAAAATATTAAGGGCATACTTGAAAATTTAAGTTGTGGAGAATTTTTGAGATCAAACATGCCTTAGTAGTATTTGTTAATACCATAAAAAGAATGAGTGAGAAAAGCTTTGACAAACATTCCATAAAAATAAACTCAATGAATAATTTCACAAACAGCTCTTCTTTTTTTTCTAAATTATTACACAGCAGTTTCATTTAAACAAGCAACATTAAACATAATCTATAACTTGCTGCTCATATACTAACTTTCCATCACATCATTGGGACCTTCAATGTACCTTTCATATGCACAAGCATAAATAAACTTTATGAGAGAAGGGAAGGTAGCATACTCCATCAAAACAAGAAAGCAAGGTCTGATAAGCAATTGTCCTTCTAAGTTGCTTACAACGAGAGTTAACTTTTGAAACACATTCAATAGTCTGAATGCAATTCAAATCTTTAGAGATCCTGCACAATCAAGAGAGCAAAAATAAGGAAAGGAAAGCAATTACAAAGTCAAGGGCAAGATTACTAACAAAAAATTGAAAAAAAAAATGACCTGCAAGAAATGAATTTTGCTATGTTCTCACAACTTGAGCACCATTCCTGGTCTGTAAAGTAATTAACAATTGTCTGCATGCAGTCACTCAAAAGCACCAGCAAACCTTGAAATTGGCGATCAAGGAATAGAAAAATAATAATTTCAACTATCTCTTCGGCTTCTACAGTAGAAAACATAGCTTGTTTACTCCTGCAATGAGAATCAAGAGAAATGAATTGACATTATCATACTTTCAAAATTTTATTACTTGAATTATCAGTAGGAAATATAATAAAAGCAACCTCAAACTCAAAGGATGACCAACAAAGAAACAAATAACAGAAAATCATTCAGGTTATCCTCTAAGTAGACTCACTGGTGTTTACTACCTTATCAGACAACAGGCAGTGACAAATCTGACCCAAGCTATAATATTTTGTGGTGGTCCTCCAATGGCAGAATCTAAAAGACATTTAGATTGTTCTTAGAAGCATGATATATACCAATGTAAAAATATAGAACACTTCAACTTTACAATGCTGAAAATTAACAAATTCATATTTCTCTAGAAGGACAATCCATCTTTCACAATGAAGAGATAAACTAGTGCAGACATAAGAAATTTACCTGAACATTTAGGATCAACACTAGATGAAAATTTGAAGAGAAACCCGTAAATGTCAAGAGCTCTTCTCAAATCTGTATACCCAGGAAACCAATCAATTTTGACAGGCAACTCATCAACCTGGTAAAGGATGATTGTTAATCATAATATTTAATATCAATAGTGAATAGAGTAATTAAAAGAAAGATGCCAAGTCGTTATTTTTATCATTGGAACAATGCCAGAGAAAACAAAGAAACAAGTTTACCTCCTTTTCAAAAGAGAGAATTGCACACCAAAAGTCACTAGAAGAGTTTTGGAGCTCTTTTTTGGATGAATATAACACTGAAAGAACAAATTAAAATATATGTATGACTATCTTGCTGCTATGTTCATAGTTAGTAAGAAAAATAAACGCAAAAGTCTATGCTTTCACTCACTTGTGTTGAAGGCCCAAATGGCTACTGGCTTTTCAACATGACCACGCAGGAAAGCTAATTTTGAAAGCCAGCCATTAACTAATAACCCTTCAAGAAAGATATCTCCTGAAAAAATGCATAATATTAACTGACATAAGATACCACTTAAAAACAAAAACATCAGTTTTATCTGATAGCATGCATATAAGCAGCAACTTGATAAGAATCTGCCTTGATTCAGTATTTTGCCATGTTAAAAACAGATTAGTTTCTTAGCGTTGCAAATTAACAAAGTAGATAACATTGTAGCCTTAACAAACAAGACACCATAACAACCTTTGTCAGAGGCCAATTGAACCACAGAATTTAGCTTGTTGTTCAAAAAAGATTGTAAAAGGTTACAACCTCCAGTATCAGGAAAATCTAGAGAGGGAAAGGATTTCTGCATTTCACAAAATGAAAACATTACTAACCTCAAATATCCAAACAATTAAGAGATGAAAGTAGCAATCCATATACAGAGCATTTGACTTAGTATAATGACCTGATCTCCAAAAACTTTTATTCCCCAAGGTGGAATTTCTTGATCTTCACCGAAAGCTTTCAACTGCATGAAAAAGGCAATCAGCAACAGATGATGATAATTACACAAAAACATAAGCAAAGAGAGAGAGAGACAAGAACAGGTAACCTGATTGTGACATTTCTCAACTAGCCTAGTTAACTTGGCTTCTTTGCTATCTTCATCATCATAAGTACTTTTATTCTTCTTTGCCTTAGTTTTAGCCTTCTTCTGCTTCTCCAAAAGCTTGTCCTGTTCTCTATAATGGTCTTTAAGAAGATCATCCAACCCAATAACTTTCTTCCTGGTTGACATTCAAATTTCAATTACTTTATTTCTATAAACCACTGTTAGAATAAACAAAAGGAAACCAATACAACGCAAAACATGGATCATCACAAAAATTGCAAAAGGGAACTATAAAACCCTAAACCCGATTTTAAAAAATGAAACTTGGAAGGGTTGGGTAGATGTAAAACGAGTTTGAGAAAAAGAAAAACCTTTTATTGTTGATTGGAGGAGATTTGAGAAGGTTGTCTTCTACTTCGAAATCCAAAGGGTCGTTCATATCCATCACACAGAGTTTGTGCTTGAAAACTGAAACTGTTAATTTGCAAAGTAGAGTTACGAGTAGTGAATGCGGCAAATTTACAAAACTAATAGTTTTTATGGGCTGCCACGCCTATTTTTATGGGTTCCTTATTTGGAGGGAAAAAATCTTCAAATATCCCCTTGTCTTTTTTTTTTTTTTTAATGTTGACAAATAAAAAGAGGAAGGTGAATTTTAATGTACAAGATTGAAATTAATTTAAATTTGACTTCCTTTTTATAGATTTCTCTAATTAAAAGGGAAAATCATTTATTTCACATTCACATTAGAAATATTTTAATCAGTTTTTTTTTTTAACTTTTTTAAAAGGATAACAAAATATGATTTTTTTTCTTTAGAATAAAATAATCTCTCTCAATAACACAAGACTAAAAAGTGTAAGGCCTTAAAGCCCATATACTCTGTTTTTGAGCCTGTAAAAATTTTTGTCCAATTTCTAATTGGACAACAGCAGCGGATTGACCCAAAAAGAAAAAGATTTGGACATAGGACCTTACCAAAAATTTGGATTTTTTCTCCAATGTTTTTGACTTCTCCAGGCCCGTAACAAATAGGCTTTCTGTAGTTTTTTAGTCAGAGATAGAAACCATCGAATCATGACTAAAAACAAAAAAATAAACCATAATATGATGATTCGTTGGGGTTCCCAATAATTCTATGGACAAAGAAAAAGGATGTCTTTAACTATCTTATTCTATAAGAAAGTGGGCAGATTTCTTAAATATGAAATACTGAAGCCACGCAGGAAGCCTAAATATATGCCCCACTGCATGAATTTAATTCATTTACAAAAAAATTTAAATGTCAGTTTTTCCTCATAAAGAGTTTAATAAATGTTAAACTAAATTCAAACTTTTTATTCTCCTTTTCCCTTCCCTTTAATCCTAATAAAGGTCATTTAGAGCATTTTTAACCATGTAGTTAAAGAAAAGTTGTATAATCTTCTCACTTTAAATTCACATCCATACGTGTATAATATGGACCTCATTTTTCTTTATAAATTGTTACAAGTCATCATGCAAAATTGCTCAGATGTAATCAATTTTCATTAGGAAATACTACTAGCTATACAAGAATGATATCACCGATCTAAAGCTTAACATGGTCAAATACTCATTAAAGAAAGAAACCTCAATTTTCATGCCAAGGTAGGGGACATGAAGCCAATATACTCCTTCGCCCTCCAAACCAATGATCCAATGTCCCCCACTTCTTCAAAACTCAAGCATATGTGAAAATAATACTAATAACTAAACTTGCCAATTGCCAACCTTTAAATTCAATTCATATTCCAATTCAACTTTGGTATTCCCTCTAACGTGTCACATGCACACATGAGAACATGTTCCCATACCCAAAGGCAATTTTCATTGAACTTTTCACTACAATAATTTGGAAGATTCTACATTTGATGACAGAGAGGGCACCACTCGCTGTGTTAAGTGACTCTTGTCCTGTCTTTTGTTTAAGCCATGCATGTGCTAACACAGCTCATACCGCAATGCTGTAGGGTCAGTGCATAAACAAAATTCCGCTACCTTTTCCCATTTCTAACTCCTCTTATCAATTATCATGCATATATAGGGTGTTCCTTTCTAGTTTTTTGTACACTTTTAACTTTATCAAAATATATATCTGCTCATTTTGAGGAATATTGCATTGGCATATGAATAAATGCTGTGATAAAAACTGTTCCCTTTTCATAACCCCATCTTTAAATTCGGGGGGGAATGTGAATGCATTACTAACAGCGTTAGTTGTGTCTTTCAACCTGTATTTTACAACTTACAAATAGTAATGTGTTTCAAACAAAATGGCTTAATATATTTGCTAGTGGGTTGGTTTTCCATCACTTGGTGGGTGATGCGTGGAAATTATACCTATATGATCTTAATTTTATTGACTAGCATTGTCTGAAATTTACCATAAATTAACATATATACATCACCATGAATTAAATATTCGTCCTTTTTTGCTCTATTGCGAATGGGCAACTCAGGCCATGTCTTCCAAATTGTTAATTTTGGAAGACAGAGACTCATGGTAGTGTCGTTCCCATTAATGTGTAAAACTGTGGATTGACCTAAAACCTAACTCCATAAATAAATGCTTGGGGATATTAGATATAAAATTAAGGTCTTGCTAACCTCAGTTGTTACGTTGCATTAAATATACTAAATAGTAATTTTATTTTAAAAAATACACACATGCGAAGCCATAAATTTCCAAATTTGTCTGCAGACTAGACATTAGCTTAGTCTATGTTAGAGATAATAACAGAGAGTTGGACCCAAGTAATGCAAAGTTATAAAGATCCACTCTTCTGTTGTGAAATTGTGATGATATTCAAATCTAAACTAAAAAGGAAACTTTGTTTATAATTAAGATATTAAACTCATGATGGAAGTAGTGGAAACTGGAAAGCGTTATCTCACCATAGAACACGGCAAAACCCCACCTAGCAACACCAGAGGCAATTTAATTTAGTCCTGTTGGTTTAAAGTTAAAATTAATTTCAATCTTTTTTATTAAAATAAATAAATGAATATTTCATTAATATTAAGAAAAATTATGCATTATAAATTTATATTATATTTTGTAAACATGAATTATATTAAATTTTCAAAATAATAATTATATATATAATGATAGAGTGTTTTATTAGGCTTTTTTTATCATAATAAAATAAAATAAAAATTACACAAATGTCCTGTTTAGCATTTAAAAAAATACGATTTAAATTAATTTTTTTTGAAAATGAAAAATGATTTGAATCGATTTCAGTTTGTTGTGCATATTTATTTCTTAAAAAAATTGATTTTCATCGACTGTAGTTGCTTTTTTTTTGTATCAAAGTCGATTTAAATCGACTTCGGTGTGGAAAATAAGTTAATTTGAATCGACTTCAGTGCATAGAGAAAGTCGACTTGAATTGATTTTAGTGTAGAGGGAAAGTCAACTTGAATTGACTTCAATATAAAAGAAAAATCGACTTGAATCGACTTCAGTGTAAGGAGAAAGTTAACTTGAATCGACTTTGGTAGAGAGAGACGTGCTACCTATCCGCCATGACCTTAGAAGGAAAAAACATTTTTGAGAAGAATCGACAAAAAGAAAGGAAAAAAAAATACAATGCAACTATAATGGAGATGAATAATAATTTAAATTGACTTAATTTTGTTAATCATAATACAAGTAAATTGTTGTGTAAATGTTTAAAAAAATTATTTAATTTTTTCTGGATTTTTTAATTTAATCTATCATTAAATATTTAGTTGTCTAATTAAAATGATTGGTACACATATTGTATAAACGTCTGTTAAATATTTAATAAAGTGTAAGTTATAAAACTGGTAGTGTATTTTATATTAGAATTTTTACTATTTATTGCAATAAATTAAACAATTATAGTTTTAGGCAAGTAAACATTTAAACTGTAACTTAGTGAATTAGAATAAATTTAAATTTAATGAGTGTTAATTATATTTCAAAAGTTTTAATTATTAATTTGTATTGTAGTAATTTATTTATTTGTTTTAATGGACTTTATGTATTTAAATAACATTAATTAAATCTACCTTTCGTGTCAAATGCTGATGTTATGACTTGGTTACAACTATATTTTTAATAAAAAAATCTATTTACATCAATGTCAAATTTATTAAAATAATTATTTAAAATTTGACATACTTATATTTAGGAGTGTGACTGTGTGCTGTGGATCTGATATCTAAATTTTTTTTATAGGTATTTTATTCAAAAAATTTATACCAATACAAATAAAACACATAATAAGTAACAAAAAGTATATATTATTTATATTATTTACTATATGGTCCGATTATATATATAAATTGTATATTAAATTGTATATTTTAATTTTTTATAAAATTTTAGTTTCAAATAAAATATAATTCATATTTAAATAATTTTTATTTAATATAAAGAAAAAGAATTAAACGTAATACATTAATATAATAATTAAATAATTAAATGTTAATAATAATAAAATTAAGAATATAAAAAATATATTAATATAATATTATTATTTTATTTGTAAATTTTATTTCGTTTAGTTTTGATTACGTCTTGTTCCTGTTTAAATACTTAACTACTCTTTAACTTGTTTAAATATAACAAATATGATAATTTGTTATTAAATAATTTTTTTTTTAAAGTGTAATCGTGTATAAATATTTTTAATTTTTATATAATATAATTTTTATTTAATATAATTATAAAAAAATTATAACATAATATATTAATAATAATAGATTAAAAATATAAAAAAATATTATTAAATAAACAATGTTATTTTTAAATTATATATATATACCGACATTGTCAAATTTATCGTGTTTTGTAAACAGCTCAAGTGTGACTTGTTTATTTAAACAAGCCTTAAAAAAATCTAAACATTATTTATTTATTAAAAATGTCAGGTCAAGCCACAGGCTTTTGTCGTTAAAGTTGATTCTAGTCAATTTATCTTACACTAAAGTCAATTCAAGTTAACTTTCGCTTTGTACTAAAATCGATTTAAGTTGACTTCCTTTTTGTACTAAAGTCGATTCAAGTTAACTTTCTTTCTACATTGAAATTGATTCAAATGAATTTTCTCTTTACTCAGAAGTCGATTCAAGTCAACTTTTTATCTACATTAAAGTCGATTTAAATTGATGTTTAGACCATAAAAAAAAGTAACCACAATCTAAACAAATATGACACAGTACACGACAAACCAAAATCGATTTAAATCATTTTTTATTTTTAAAATAAATCAATTTAAATCGTTTTTTTTTAAATACTAAATAGGACATTTGTGTAATTTTTTTATTATAGGACATTTATATAATTTTGATTTTATTTTATTTTATTACGGTAAAAAAGCCGTTTTATTAACATAAATTTATGATAAATAAACACAGAAAGAAATATATATTTTTTATTAAAATATGATAATTTAATTTATAGCTATAAAATAAACAGTCATAAAGAAAATTTTACAATCAGTAGGGTATTATGAGATTTAGCCATTTAGGTGTGCGCAGGGGAAGTGCACTGTGCAATCATTACTTAACGTGTCACTGTTCTCTTCTATCCAATGCACCGTTTCAACATAGTTTGCAACAATGCCACCAACAAACAAATGGAGGACACCAGAGTTCAATTTTACCACTGTATGGTTGCTTATGGTTATGTTTCGTAACACTTTATTTAATGATCATAAAATAGTAAAAACATAAAAAAAGTTTATTAAAATCGCATTCAGTTTATAATTGTTAATATTTTATTTTTATTTTTATTTTTCAAATTATATATAGTTTATGTTGAATAATTAGCTTTTCTTCAACTGCAATGAAAGTTGAAACAAAATCTACCAAAGACAAGGACCTCCCGCCTTTGGTATTTATCTTTATAATCACGAAATAGAAAATTGACAAATTATTCAGTGAACCGATAAATCCTGTTGTGTCTCTATGCACATCTTTCCTTGGCTTTTATGTGTTACACTATGCGTGGTCGTGCCCGTTTCCTTAATCAACCAGGGAAAATGACTTAACTTGAAAAGAAGAAGAGATAAGAAAAGGAAAGTGAAAAAAATCACCCATTATCCTAAACAGTGAAAGGGATTTTTAAAAGAGATAATTGTTTTTGAAAAGTGTGTTTAAAGATTATAAAATTTTTGATATGGCGGCTAATTCCATGAATTTTGTCAGTGTTGCATATATACCATCAAATATATACCCATTAATATTTGGCAAGTGACAATTGAAGCCAGTGTTTGATGGGAATTATTAAGGAAATAATGATGGCAACGTAGGCTAGACGCATTTTTAGTTTTATTTTTTTACTCCATGTTTGTGACTCTGCCTTTGGTTGTGGCTGCTCAAACAAGTAATCCAAATGAATTTTGAATGCTTATCCGACTAAAACGCCAACCAGAAAATTCCTCCAATAGCATCAAATTTCACATAGAATGTCTCTGTTAGATTTCATTTTAGGTGACGCATACTAATCCTGTTGCCTTTGACCCTAAGACACAACCAAATTGCTTATTCTTTAATATCTTTAAATCACATACCACCTTGCCCGGTGAATAAATCTGCGTTCCCATGCGTCAACAAACGCAGCTTTGATCGGTTTAAAAGCCTTTGAACCCATCAAACCCATTTGTTTTGAACCCTTGCACTGTTTCCTATATTCTTTTCCTCCCTTTTATGTGTTGCTAAAAGAGAAAATCATTGCCTTGCCGTGTACGAGACTTTTTAATTATAGAAAAATCATGTCCCATACTTACCCTTTTCTCTTTTCCCAAACACGTATCATTCTAGCTACGATCACCTTTCATTCTGGCCACTGCTTCTGTCCAGGGAAAGTATTATTCTTAATGAAAAAACAAACACGAAATAATTCCTTTTCAGCCATTCTCTTTAAATTAGCTTTTAGACTTAATAAAAGTTAGCTTTTAAACACGTGTCGAATAGTTCATGCCATCATATACACATCTTGAATTTTAAAAAATAATAAGGAATTACTGAGATTTTAAACACCCACACGTAATAGTTTTATAGGTCTACGTTCTTTTCATTTACTTGACATGTTTCTAATTTTATATCATATCCATCATAATTTTATATCATATCCATCATAATTTTTTAAAAAACCCATAAAAGTATAATAATAATAATAATAATAATGTAAAGAAATGGATATGAAAGCCCGCGTAATGTTAAAGCTACAAAAACAAAGAACAATCAAACGCACACGTAGCATGATAATTATTTATGATATGAAGAAAGCAAATAATATATATATATATATATATATATATATATATATATATATTGAACAAAATAATTGTGTGCTGAATGGATCAATATTTGTTTTCTGTCTCTTTCGATCCTTGAAATATATCATTATATCATGACGTAAAATGAATGACTTGCCTTGGTTTGACAGGACTCATTAGTGATAAGAGGCTTCACGATCGTATTTTTAATTTTAATATTTTCATATTCTTAATTTTATAGTAGAAGATGTCTTTTTTTCACAGTAAAGTAATATTACAAATTATTAAAAAAAAACGTATAGAAGTGATACAAATCAATTTAGAGCACTCTTTGTCACGCATCATCTCCACTAATGTTTTTATTTTCTTTTGCGAGTGTATGCTGTCTATTTGCAAGTGATACAATAAATGTTACAAAATTTACATGATTATTACAGAATAATCGTGTAAGGTGCATGGTATAATATTTGAATATTAATTGTTTTATTTGTTCACTTAAAGCTTAATTAAACAAGTTAATTTGTCTGGGGCAATTCCACATATTTCAGAAGTTTAATTCCTCTTAATAATTAGAGGGGAAAGATTTAGGTTGGTAGATTTAATTTTAACAAACAAGAGCATGTAACTTAACTATGATATAAACTTTTTTATGTGGTTTAACTATGATATAACTTTACGATTTGGATGGGAACTTCGTTCGATTGGCATTCAATTAGCTGTGGTTGGGAACTTCCCATTACAACGATATTCTCTTTCTTTCCCCTCTCTACAAAGTTTACATACAAAAAGTATTGCTTTTTCAGAACCTTTGCAATTGACGTGGGAGGTCCACAAAACATCTTTGGCTCTCAAATTTATTTACTTTTTTTGTTTACTTTGAGTTTGAGCTTTCATGGTTGCCTTGTCAGACTTTTACGTCCTTCTAAATTCGAATATATATATTCATTTCAAATTCCACCCCCTCTATCGAACTTTCCAGCTGATTAAACTTATAGCTCTCCACCATTAATGCACTGCACTTAATTACAACCAATGTTAGATGTGTTGGCAGCACCTTATCCAAATATCGGTCCCAAAATTAACAATAATAAGGGTCCTCTACTCAAAAATAAGAGTTGAGAAATATCTAGTTTTATTGTATTAAATTTTTTAATTATTCGAAAAATATTACTTAATTTTAATATTTATTTTCCTTAGCATTTGTTTAATCATAAAAAACGATAATTTAGTACAAATAATAATAATATATTTTAAAACCTCGATGATCTTTGGCACCCGTCCTGCATAATTGCAAAGCATTACATCAAATGCGACCCACTGTTGAATCACATTGACAATTCTTCGTCGTAGCTGTATGCACAATGCACCATGTTTCTTTGTATAATGCATGTTTAAAGACAACCTTATCTCCTTATTTGCATAATAATGCCATGAAAATTGGTTGTACGAGCAGTCACAGCAACTCCAACAATGCGCACATCAAATGGGTGTTATTGTCGTAAGAGGTTGGATCAAAATTTAAATCCACTTGTAAAATTTTCCTTTTTAACATATCTTTTAGTGCATTCACTTTTTCACTGTCCAATTTTTATCTTTTTTAAGGGTCTGTGTTCGATAAGGGTATATATATATATATATATTGTCTGGATAGATTAAAAAAATATAAAAATCTTATCCACTGATTTGGATAAATAAATAATTAAATTCCACAATAATAAATCTAAACAAGTACTTCTTTTGTATTACATTTTTCTTAGTAAAATAGTTTTTATTTTTATATACTATAAATATCTTTAAAAATGTATAAAATGAAACTATGCCAGAAATAAAAAAAAAAAAAACCCTCCCAGCCCATATACCCCCTCTCCCTCACTCACTTCCACTCATTTTGAGGAATTTTTTTTAATTGTGACAAAACAAACAGTAAAAGTATTTTTAACCGTGAATTGAAGTTTTTTTTAAGTGTAAAAATAATAAAAGAAATATTTCTTTTAATGGAGCATTATACGCATGGTTAAAAATAAAACTTTTGTAATATATTCCAATATCAAATTATGTGCTAGTTATCGTCTCTATTCCTAATTATTTATTTTGAAAAAAAATATACACAGACTAAAAATTTCAATCAGTTTATTATAATTATTTGATAAATTTTTTAAGATAGTATTTATTATTAGTTTTTAAAAAAAATTACTTAACCAGTGTAATTACTTATTTATTGGGTCCTAACTCTTCTCTAATACTGCATGAGACGATTTGAAGAGAAAAAGATGATCAACATTTATAATTTTATTAATATATGAAATTACAAATAATAAATGAAATTGTTAATATATTTAAAGATAAAAATATGGATTAATTATATTAACATTTATAATTTTATTAATGTCAGTTTTTAAAATTAATTTAAAACATTTTTATCATTTAAATAATTATCTATAATAAATATTTTATTAATAAAATTAAACATTTTTAAGTCCTTAAAATTAATTTTGAAAATGCTAATATTTTATAGAAATTTATTAATTAATTGGATTCTTTTATCAATACCTAATGGGTGCAAATGCAAAGAAGTGATTTCAAATGATAAAGCTAAAAGAACAGAGACAAAAAGCTGCATAATAACCGAGTCCCTGGCCAGTTCTCATCTCTGATCCGTCGCTAGCTTTCACCATGTGACCTCAGAAACAATCCATCTCTCTCACACTCTTTCTTTGTCATTGTTAGTTTGTTGTAACACTTCGTTGTTTGTCTTTGTTAGTTTGTTCAACTTTTTTTTTTTACCCATTAAAATGCCCACTAAATAATTAGGGAATAATCGAAATCTAGAATACAACTAGACACTCCGATTAAAATACTGCCACAACAAATGCCATAACGATTTTCATTTTCAAGCATTAATATAATCAAAACCCCACTTTTTGGAAATACAAAATTAAATTAGAACCACCCTTTGTTCTCTTCCTGTCACTGTTTCTTGGTCTCTACTTCTTCCCAAACCAGAACCCGATAGCACCCCATCAACTACCTCTCATTCACCCCTTCAACACCTGTGTTTGGTTTCTTCCTCTGACTTTAAATGAAATGGTTCAGCATAAGAGACCCCCAAATAGCAGGGGGTACTATGTTAAGATGAAGCTTCTGCACAAACATGGCAGGCCTCAACAAGAAAAGAGTTGCTTCTACAAATACTACAAATGGGTTCTCTGGCTCTCTCTCTCCCTCTATTTTTTCACTTCCTACCTCATCAGCAACAACCATCACCACCACACCACTCCAACATCTCACGACAAAACAACCCATGTCTCTAGAGCACTCTTCGAATCAAACAACGCCACAGCTCCACTACAAAACAACCTAGGTAGAATCAAACCCATCTTATTTATAATTTTTTATCAAATTTTTTTTTAATAAAGCTCGTAATTTTATTTTTATGTTTATGTTTTTGTTTTGTTTTTACAGGTCTGAAGAACCTTAAGGTGTTTGTCTACGATCTTCCTCCGAAGTACAACACGGATTGGTTGGCGAATGAAAGATGCAGCAAACATTTGTTTGCGTCAGAGGTTGCCATTCACAGGGCTCTGTTGACCAGCGATGTGCGCACGTTTGACCCTTACGAAGCTGATTTTTTCTTTGTTCCAGTTTATGTCTCTTGCAACTTCAGCACCGTTAATGGGTTCCCAGCAATTGGTCACGCGCGTTCCCTCATCGCTTCCGCGGTCAAACTCATCTCTTCGGAGTACCCATTTTGGAACCGAAGCAGAGGTTCCGACCACGTCTTCGTGGCTTCTCACGATTTCGGTTCTTGTTTCCACACCCTGGTATGTTAACCACACCTCAGTTTCTACCGTTACGTTGCCCGTGTTTTGTAACGGTTTGTTGCTCTTGCGTTGCTTTCGTAGATTCGATTCTTCGAATGATTTTGTTTCTGTTTTTGACTGTGAAGGAGGACGTGGCGATGGAAGATGGAGTGCCAGAAATCATGAAGAATTCGATCGTGTTGCAGACGTTTGGCGTCGTGTATGATCATCCGTGCCAGAAGGTTGAACATGTGGTGATTCCGCCGTACGTTTCACCGGAAAGCGTGCGCGACACGATGGAAAATTCTGCGGTGAATGGACGGCGAGATATTTGGGTTTTCTTCCGTGGAAAAATGGAGGTCCATCCCAAGAACGTTAGTGGAAGATTTTACAGCAAGTAATAACAATAACATAACTCCCACTTTTTAATTTTAGTCTCTAATCAAACGTGTAATCATGCTCTAATTGTTTTGAATTTCGTTTTTTCACTAATGAATTTACGTTTTTAACCTTGAAGGAAAGTGCGGACGGTGATATGGCGGAAGTTCAACGGTGACCGGAGGTTTTACCTACGGAGGCATAGGTTTGCCGGTTACCAGTCAGAGATTGCTCGTTCGGTGTTCTGTTTGTGTCCTTTGGGGTGGGCCCCATGGAGTCCGAGACTGGTTGAATCGGTTGCGTTGGGATGCGTGCCGGTTGTTATAGCCGATGGTATACGGTTGCCGTTTGTTTCCGCCGTGAAGTGGGGTGAGATTTCGCTTACGGTGGCGGAGAGGGAGGTGGGGCGGCTGGCGGAGATTCTTGAACACGTGGCGGCGACCAACCTGAGCACCATCCAGAGGAACCTGTGGGACCCAGAGACGAGGAGGGCCCTACTTTTTAACAGCCAGGTCAAGGAAGGTGATGCCACGTGGCAGGTCTTAAGAGCTTTGAGTGAAAAGCTGGATAGGTCCTATAGGGGTTCGAGGGTTTCGCGCCAATTGGATGTTGACACGTAATGGGTGTGAATTGGGCGCCAAGTAGGTTACTATTTTCCAGTGAGGACAAGTACACGTACGCTCGCTGCATGGTAAGCAATAAATGATATTTAGTGGAGAACAGCTGGAATTTCTTCAGAGATGGAATTTTATGACTCACGGTGGGGCCCAGAGGGGTAAAAGATTTGATTTAAGATTTTTTCGAGTTTATTAATGGTGACGTGGTTAATGTCTGGATGACATGGCTGGAATTCATTCGATGGTTGTGCGGTTTGTAAAAAAGGGTAAACGTGAACATACTACTGAAAATTGGAGGCCAAGAGAAATTTGATGGTGGGAGCTAAATTTTGTAAAATCATTTTTGCTGTAAATAAAATACCATTATAAAAAGATTATAAGATGGATACACTGTTTCAAAATTCTAGAGCTAGTGGTGGTGCATTTTCTTATATTTTATAGTAGTAGTTGCAGTAGATTTGTTAACTCGGAACTGAGTAAAGGATGTGTGAGAAAGGGGGGAGAGTTCTTGGGGTTTGGTGAGTGAAATGATTAATGAGAATGGGCATGGATGGAGGAAGATGAGGGATGTGGGGTGCGAGTGTGTCAGAAGTGTCAGAACTTTTATAGTGGTAAGTTTATTTTGAATTTTTACAAGTTCATGTTAATAGGGTGTGTCAGTGGTCACGGATATATGAGGGTGTCAAAATCAACGCAGGCATGAAGAGGATCCAACAAGTTCATTTGAATTTTGGGATTTTCTTGTTTCTTCTGAACTTAGCATATCTCAAATGGACTGGTTTTACTCGATAATAGTGACCATTCGTGGGGCATATAATCAAAAAGTAATATCCATATATGCTTATATTTCGTTAGTTATATCATCGCATGTTCATTTGGATGTTATGGTTTTAACTTAATTATCATATTTTTCATTTTATTTAAATTTTAAATAAATAACTTTTGAGAATCTTATTTTTATGTTAGTTTAGGGCTTTACTTGAATTCGATTCATTTATTATTATTAAATTTTAATGCTGGACCACTTACGGTTGAAGGTATATGTCCTTGTAAATACTACCTACAAAAGTAGAACAATTTTCTCCCTTCAATTAACTTTTCATTTTCAATTATTCTTTTCATGGTTTTCGCATAGTACCATTATGTTCTCGCCATTGAAGATTAATCCATTAATCAAGATATATTAATGGGCTAGGCATTTTCATGGCAAGTTTTCTTCATTTTGCTCTTCAACTTAGGGCCCAATACTGATTTTTCGTTCCCAGACACATTGTAAGGAATATGTTTTGTTTTTACCAAAAATAAAAAAGAAGTAAATTCTACTGTGCTCCATAAAATGAGAAGGTAATATACACTTTTAGTAGTTTATTTAAAAAATATATAAATACTCTTTAATTTATAATATGTTAAAGTAATCACAAATTCAATTTAGAAAAAATATATAATATCTCCTCAAATTTAAAAGTGCAATAGTAAGTATAAAAAATAAAACCACCTTAATTGGTAAAAATTACCTAACTCATTTCTTATTCCTACTTAACCTTTGAGTGCAAACTCTAAAATATGGACTCGAGGTTTATTTAATTATACAATCTTATTTGTATTTGAAAGATATTTTAAACAGCACACAGTTAGTGTTATTGAGGAGTGTTACATTCTTATTCACAATTTTATTATATTAGTATTGTGCCATCATTAAATGAAAGAAAAATGTGCATTTTCTTTAACTATATACAATTTTTATATGTTTAATTTTTTAAAATTCATTTAAATTATAATTTAGCTACTTAATTCTATTAATACACGATGTCAAATTCATAACTGCTGACAACTAACGGCCAGCAATAATAACTAATTTATGTTGATAATAAATTAAGAGAAGTTATTTTTTAAAACTTATGAATTATAAATGTCTGAATAAAGTTATTTCCTATAAAAGAATTTGATAATATAAAGTACCGACAATTATTTGATAATCACTGATCTATAAGAATATGCTCGTATTCCAAAAATAAATACTAATATTTAATGGTTATGGATAAATATGATGGGTGTTAGATGTGGCATGGCCTTGGCCTTCAGCTTGGGAAAAAGGGGTGAGATTATTGGATAAACATCTCTTGTTGGTTTTTTGGATGTCGTTTCCATTATCATTTATCAACAAAAGAAGTTTCATTCATAGATATGGAATTTTGATAAACAGCTCTTTACTTGTTAGGGTTTTGCATGTGTTCAAATCTCTTTATCCCCTCTTCCAAGTAAATTAATAGTGCTGCTGTTGCTTTCATTAAGCCTTGATTTTTCTTATTTCTTTTATCATGCACAACATTGCTAATTCAATGTATGGAGAGTGTAAGAGAAAAATGATTTTTTTTCAATAAAATAATAATTTGTTTTTAAGATATTTTTATTGGTGATAATATTATGTCATCTTTTTGAATTTTTAAAAATAAAAAACAACAAATAAGTTTTTCCTAATGATTAATTAAAATATAATATAAAAATCTCATTTTTATTTTTTCCTTATCAAATCAATATCCTTGTCTCTCATTTAGGGGTCGCTCATGGGTATTTGAAACCACAAAAGCTACATCCAACCTTTTAATTATGATATATATTTAAAAATATTTAATTGTTTTCCTTAATTTTCGTGATGTACAATCAGTTATTAAATTTTTATAATCCATTTTAAAATTAAATCTTTCAATTAATAAAAGAGCTAAATTATTCGGTCTTAGGAGATATTTGATGAAAATAAAACTCTATATGAACTTTAATTTTGAAACTTCTTGGTTTATTAAGAATAGTAAATAATATTCTATAAAATATCCATTAATCTATAAAACAATTGATCTTTTTCTATAAAATCCAATATTTTACGTGATATTTAATTTATTTTTTACATTTATAATATCTTTTAAACTTTTAATTATAAAAGGTAAACATATAGAGATATGAATTTCGCATTTCTATATTACTTCTCGATAATTCCATGCTCAAAAGATTATCCTTATCTGGATTAAACACTAATTTCATGAAGTCTAATCCTTTCATTATTGGTATGTTTGACTAACTTTGCTTTGCCTTATCCGAACTCATTTGTCTACTTTTTCTAAAATGTTCTCTTGCGATTTGTTCGGAGTCACAAAATAGTTGATTTATGTGACAAGAAAATTGCTTAAAAAAATATGAATTCATTCACTTTTAACATATATATTTTTTAAAAATTTAACTTTGATATCATGTCAGTGTCAGTTTAAACACTAAACTCTAAAAACTTTACAAATATAGCAACTCCCTAAAATTGGTTATATTAGACTGGTCCATGATAGACGATTTTGAACCTTCCTCATTGAAAAGGTCACTCAAAAACATAGTTAAGACTAAATCAATTTATTTAGTAAAAAAATAAGTTACCTATATTTAATAATGATGCTTATTTTTCTTTAGGATGAACTATTCTCCTTTCTGATAAACGTTTAAATCATATTATTTTTCTTTTATTTTAAACAAACATCTTAGTGAAGAAAACAATTATACAAAATTTTGTTTAGGTACATCTTTTCTGAAGTAATACTTTTTCATAATGACAACTTTTGTGCTTTTAATTGATTTTTTTAAATAACAAAAAAGACCGAATGATTTGGTTATCGTATCCTTAGTGGTTGGCAAGAAACTCATCGATCAAACTATAATGATACAATTGTTCAGATATTTAATTATAGAGTGGCCCATTTTTTATTCTTATCGATTCTATACAAAAATCATGTCAGGCCTTGGCATGGGCCAGCAATATTAGCATTAGCATGGTAAATTTTACCCTATAAGATTATAACCATTATTGTGGTCCAACGTGAGTTACCAAACTCAGGCAAAAAGGTTCTCTGAAAGGGGAACATGTCACATAACATATTTAGAAAACATCCGAATCAATTTATTTGAACAGTAACATAAGTCCCAAATAATAGTCCAACACGATTACACAAACAACAAAAACATTCCAATCATTGGGAGCTTGGACGTTCAACTACTCTTGCAATTACACTTAGCAAGCAGGACCATCACAAAAAACCCCTCCTTAATAAACTGTTTTACAATTGAAATATGCAATTGTAAAAGGTAACTTACAATTGTAACACCCCATATGAATACTATGTTTAGATTCATGTCTGGATTTAAAGTTTACTTCATTAGTTGTAGTTTCTTCATTATATTCATTACTATAAGTCTTTTAACGAATCCAAACACACTAGACTAGTACTTAAATCTAAATTCAACGCAGTTAAAAAATGACACAATTGGTGCAGATTTAATTTGTACGAACATAAAATATAAGTACTTCATATTTGACTGCATCAATTGTACATTTTTAACTGCACTGAATGTAGATTACTAGCACTCTGGGGTATGTGTGTGGTCTCTCCTAGGGTCATGGCAATAATTATAGACCATGTAGTTATTTTGGACCCATTGCATGGCTGCAAATTGTGGTGCGCTAAGACTACCAAAGCCAGATGATGAGACAGAAGGTGGCTGGCATGATGAAGGGCTTTCAGCGGTGCAACCTTGGAGTTTGAAGTTTTTGTACCTACCAATGAAGGGTTGGTATTTATAATCAGCTTTGTATTTTCCATTCTCTGTTGCCCAGGAAGATGCATCCCATATTGATCCATACACATACATTGGTCTTGAGGGGTATGTAGCATCACTTTTCCTAGGATACCTCCTTATGGGGACATCATCCACAAAAAATCTGCACATATTGTTTCCATAATAAGACAAAGTACTAAGCAACATACAGAAACCTGATTCCACAAGCAAGATAATAAGTATCACAATCATCTGAATAGCCAGTGTGCGTTAAAAATCCTAGTCAGGTCTCATAATGCGCTATGAATGAATAGTAAAAAGTGCTATATATTATAGTGTCATAAAAAGTCAATAGGTTAATTAGACAGGGGGTCATTATTCCAGTGTTTCTGTAAAATAAATTTGCCTTTTCAACTGAATTATTTTAAGGAAGCGTAAGCAATCGTGTATACAAAGTAGTTGAGCTGAGCCACCCAATAGCATAATTCTCAATTTTTTTACATATTTTTTTAACTATGATTAAGCAAATTTAACGTGTATCATAATATAAGCATGGTTTTTGTGTAGACAAATAGGATATATTATAAAAAAAATTAATGAATATTAAATTATAAAATTTTTATTGAAAGTTGTAGCATATAATTTTATTGATTTATAGAAGAAATAATTAAGGGACGTTGAAATTGGGAAAATTATGAGCATGAGAGTGCATGAAAAATATTACATTATCTCGCTGGGTTTCCATAAAACGGCATAGTTGTGAAAATCCTGTGTTGGGTCGAACCAAAGATGAAACCTCAACTCTCTTCCTATAATGTTTCCGTCTCCACTTCCTCTGATGTACACATTTGTCTGCAAGACATAAGGCTTATTTGGGGTAGTACCAAGGAACTCAATGTCAATTTCATCATGGTTTCCCGGGTGGTCTTGGTTGTTTGAAAGCTGAAATTCTCAAATGACAGAACAATGGGTTGAACAAAAAGATATTAAAAATTGCACTTGAAAGAAGATATTCAATTTTTAACATTAACTGAAGTTGTAGAGTAATAATTCTCACGTAGAAAGACGTGATTACTCCCGCAGTATAACCAGGTTGAAGCTTAATGGAAGCGCCAAAGTATCCAGATCGATAAGAGTGAAGTGACTTGAATCCACTTCCTGTGTTACAAGAAATCTATTGGTAAGAGTATGCTTTAATGTCGTAAGAGAGAATAATGTAGTGTTGAAAAAACTGAGTAGGAGGTGAATTTATGGGAAATTTGAAGCTAAATTTTAGTGAGAGTGAGACTGGCGTGTTTGGATTAGCATCAAATCCACTCAAAGGTAGATTCATTATAACGCTGTAAGTTATAACTTTTACGTTTTGGTTTTATTTGGTGTCCAAACACGTATATACCTGAGTTAGAGTCAAGCCAAATTGTCAATGAGCCTTGGTCTAGTCTTTGATGCTGAGGTCCCCAGAGGTTTCTAAGTCCTTGATCAAAGCTAACAGGACCAATTTTGGAACTTGGGTAGTAGCCAGGTGAAGGTGGACCCTGAGCACTAGAACAAATAATGAGTGAGAGTACAAGAAGAGAGAGGAGAGGAAGTAACATATGGAGAAAAGAGGATATTGATAATGGCATTGTAGTAAGCAGAATGACTCTGCTAAGTTCAGGGTGGGGCAGAAGGTTATAGGTTTGTTGGTGCTTATTGAAGAGCATGGCTCCATGGTTTGATATATAAAGGGGTTTGGAGGCCCTACAGTGCCAAAAAGGTGATAAGTTAGTTGATTGGGGAGTTACACACGAGGACAAAAAATTATCCCATTTGTGATAGACATTAGGGGAAAAATGTTCAAGTTGTGTTGTGGACCTTTTCCTTGTAATGTCTTCAAGGGAAGGAACTTCCTCTTCAAGTGAATACCTGTTAGTTATAAACTTGTAATGCATCACTTAGACAGGTTAACATGAAGGAAGAATGACTCCTTGATAACTTCCTTGATGATATTGATTTGGTTACTTCTGACGAGGTCACATAGTAGAGGGCAGGGATAACTTTAAATATGTATGGCTCACCTTACCAAACCACAAAACATCGTCCTTGAACACTAGGACAAGGTATATACTGAATAGAAAAACGTGGGCAACTAATGTATCACCATGTTTTCTTTGGGAAATGTGATGGGAAAGGATAACTTCGTAATGAATGATTATTTTCTTCTTGGCACTTTCTCATAATTTCAGACAATTTCTTCTTGCTACTAAATAATCAAGGTTATTATTATTATTATTAATTTAAGGTAATTCAGGCTGACACAAAAATGAGTTTCAGTTTCAGTTTTGAATGCTGGCCGCACAGTGGTTTAGTGGTGAGGCTTAGTAACTTAAATATTGTAAGGCTTTCGAGATATCCGTACAACAAAACAGTGCATTTAGATTTTAGAAACTGATTCTCTTCCATGACTTGAATTTGTCATAATGTTATATGCTATAGTGGGGTTTATATTTGGTGGGTGAGTCAACATTGTGCAACTTGAGTGGACCTCATAACCACCAAAACCGATTTTCCACTTTGCATATTTTGACCATTGTTGAGAGCATCAAGCTGAAGTACATTTACTTTCAAGATCACATTTGTTGGGTCTGCAGTATCAACGACCTTGGAAGTTTTCTATCTAATCATACAATTAAATTTTGTATAATATTTTTAACTGCTCTCGGTCTTCTGTTGATCTAAAATAGCAACAACGAAATCTCAACAACTCGATGGAGTAATAGTAGAACTTATGGTCACTTCAAAGAAAACCTGCCTCAAAGTAGTTAGCAAAATATGAAGATTATGTAAATGCTTAATTGATAACGACCAGTGTATAGTTGAAGGGGGTTGACAAACTACCATATAGTACCATTTTTTAATCTTCACTCTGTCGGCAACTTCTTAATTGTCACCACTTCATTGCATAAGCCAAGAGTAGTTTTTAACAAGTTCATGGTTCATGAATTGAGGAAGAGTGCTCTTTCATAGGAAGCAATCCTTATTTTCAGGTACATGAAATTGTACCAAAACTTATGTACCTAAGTTAGTAAAATAACTTAATTTGAAGGAACAAATAGATTGCTCAAATTTTTCATGAATGTCACATGTAGATAAGTTACTTCGTTTGAGTGAATTTGACACTAATCTAAACAGAGCTAGTCTCAAGCCTTTTATGATTGAGCAACATTTCTTGGCTAGGAAATTAAGCACATCTAAAAGATTATTAGAGATTTAAAGAGTGTAACAACCAAGTTGTAAGATTGTAGATTACCCTAATGAATGCAAATTAACATATAGCTATAACGAGTTTATGGATGTATATAATTATTTTTATTAAAGAAAACAATTCAGCTACGCAAGTTCTTGTCCACATTACCATCTATAAGTAAATGCGTCTACCATATGTTTCGCAGCACTGTTTCCATGATTTCTGGTTATGGTACAAAATAATTGTCATTCCAATCCCAGCATGGAAATGTATTCCAATTATGAGAAGACTCATTGCTCTGATACGACAACGTCATAGAGAAAGCCAAGTTCAACAATTTCAGATATTAATTAGCCGGCAATAACTTGTAGAAATATAATTTTCAAATCAATTATTTGCATGAGGTAGCCTCTTCTATAGAATGCTGAAAAGATGAGACAAACGTGTTTATTGGATCATTGTTGGGAGGCTGTAGCGTGCAGCCTTTGAATTTAGTTCAAAATCCTAATGGCCATAAAACAAAAAGCTATCTGCAAGCTTCCTACCACGTTGTTCTGTCTCTCCTAACAAGCCAAATGGTCTACTACTACTAAATATGTGTCAGCCTCTATATGGAATATATGTACATCATTTTAAGAACCACGCCTTGTGTTTCAAATTCCAACCATAATCTAAGAGTTTGATTAAGTAATTTCTCATGTTAAATTCTTGTAAATGGAAAAATTAGGAGTTGAGATTTGAAAAATGATTATGTCCTCATGTTTCATTTAACGCTGTTAGCTCAAGTTTTTCATTTCACTTTTATAAATTTTTCAATATGTTTATAAACACACGTTTATTAGTCAAAATCAAAACTCTCAAACTTGGAAGTGAAAATTGTCTAGAATTTAGGATGAACTCTTACTAGCATTCTCTAGTATAATATATAGTTAATTACCATAAAAGTGTTACTTTCTATTAATTCTTGTGTTAATCTTCCATAATAAAAATAAAATGGCAAAGCTGTTTAGCTAAGAGCTGCTGAAATTCAAAGACACAGGGCCCCAAACAATTTAATTGGTCTACATCCGCCACCTTCCTTCCATTGTGAATAATAATAAAGCATTCATTCTGAAAGCTTTCAACCCTTCAACCTTTTGGTGAAGTCTTGAAAATGGTTTATTTTCAATTCAGTGTTTGGTAATAATCAATATGAGCTTCAAGTGAAAATTCTAATATAACGTTAGAATTAGATGTACTAATCCATGTGAAGTTTTAGATATAAATGAAATATCACATTTTATGTAGGGATGTAAAAAGATTTAGACAAAAACTAAAATATTTATTAATTGTTTATTATAATATATTTATGTTTTTGGTAGGCCTTGGTTTTTCCTTCTTTGATGACAAAAATGATATAAAAAAGAGGCGACAGGATAAGGAGTGTTGTGTCTGCCAAGATCTTAATTTTTGTCTGTTATAAAATGTATACAGAGGACGGAAGCAAAGAATGGGAAACATGCTTACGTTAGAAGGCTGGCTGCGATTTTGAGTTTTCAATTGCAATTTGCCCTTTTATTAAACTCTGGTATCAGTCGTTAAAATTTTAAGTTACAGACATTTTAATCTTAATTTTGTAAAATAATATAAATATATTATAATCTTAATTTTGTAAAATAATATAAATATAAAAAGTTTGTTTTTTTTAATTTATTAAAATTTAAAGGGGTTCGGATCAAGCTTCGGCTAACAAAACAAAAAGGCTTTCAAGAATCAAGAAAATGGTTGCAATACTTTTTATAGCTTGCACACATTACAAAATATATAATTTATTAATGGATTGAAAATGTTAAGAATTATATTTAACTTTTTCTTAATATAACATTCGTTTAATAAAAAAATAATCGTCAAGGATTCACATGTCTTATAAATTTTAATTTTAACTATTTATTATAGAATGTATTAATGTTTACATATAAACTGTAAATTATCAAAATCAAATTTTGTGATAATAAAATAAAATATAATAATAAAAAATGTATTTTAAATTTCTTTTAGATTAAACCAACTGTTGATTTTCGGCAAAAAAATATTATTTATTAATATATAAAATTATTAAGTATAATAGTTTTTATAAATATAATCTTTATCTAATAAGAAATAAATTGGTATAAACTTTAAAAATTTATACTAATAAATTATGTTTCATAATAGATTACGTATATTCATATTTTTACTAATAAAGTTAGTTGTTGGCATAATATATCGTAATGTTATTATAAATTTTTAAAGATTATGCTAATAAATTTTTTGTTAGACAAAAATTATACTAATAGAGACTATTACAACATTTGAAAAAATTATTTGTTAGTAAATGATAATTTTTATAGTAGTTTTTAAAAAATATATTATATTTTTATGACATTTTCATCATTAATGTTTTAAAGATAAACTATTTTAAATGCATATTGTTCTAAAATGAAATAAATAAAAAGTTAGACACGGGTGAAAATTCATTTTATTGTTCAGAACTGCTTGCTACTACCATGTAAAAATGTTGAATGTGGGGTACATTTAGATTTAATTAAAGTTTCCACCCTTAATTTTGTAGTATAAAAATGAGTTGAAAGCGATTATTTACCCTCCAAAGAACGTTAATGAGTGATAATGGAACTGAAAACTTCCCTATATTTTTTATTTCAATTCATTTCGTGCTACTTTGGTTAATTATCTGCTCACTGCCAAACAATTTCTAAAGGATGGGATAGTTAGCCACATGAATTTTAATGCACATCCAATGGCATTTTCTTAATTTTCTTTTAACTTACTCAAACACACACTTAATGATGTTGTTATCTTTAAACATGAAAACCCTTTTAAGCTCGAAACATGAATTAATGACCCTTTACAAGTTCTGACCCAAAACACAGCATGATACAAAGCATTGCATAGGAAAGAGAGTAACCCAAAAGTACGAGTTGCACTCACTAAACTCCACTGTCATGTCATGTGTGAAATCTGAGTTTGTATCAATATAACAATATTATGCTCCCTAAGGCATTATAATTCTGCTCAAGTTTAGATATTTCTCAATGGCGTTATGCGTCAAAGAAGAATAACAATAATTGCAAAAGTGGATTGAAAATTTGTAGGGCCATTGGATTCTCAATTCTCATGGTCCCATGATAATATATACTCAAATTTTAAACCATGGAGATCAGGTATGAATTATTGCGCATAAAATACATTTTTTTTCTACCCACCAATTGAATATATCAGTTTGGAGTTTTTCCAATTAGATTTTGGCTTGTCAAATTTAATACATTGCTTTCACCTAATCTTTTGTTCAGATTTGGGACTAGAATCAGCGACATGATTTGAATCCATGAACACAAATATATGATGCTGATTAACGAACTTCACGTGCTATATCTATGATGATGCAAATCAAACGGTGAACTACTAATATGTTATGGGGATGGATTGCATCCGTTAAAATCTGTAGAAATTGTCAGCATATGGAGTGATCAAATTCCAAACGCTTTATGAAATTCATGTCGTTTAGTTGAGATGTATCAGTGATAATGCCCCTTTGTACTCGTACACATCGTAAGCTACTCTGCCGACAGTTGATTGTACCACAGCACCCAACACAGTATTAACCCTTTTGGCTTATATCAGGTTTTGTTTAGTACTGTATATTTATCAACTTGAATCCTGTTTTTATGATTGTATGTATAAAACGGGAGACAATTCTCTTTAGTTAGTAAACGGAGTGCAGTAAAAAGAGAAAATTTTGCAGTGAAAGTATAATAAATGTGATTTTTTTTAATAAAATTATATTATTTACGAATGAGAAAGATTTTATTCTGGTTTAAATTTTTTTATTTAACTTATAACGAAGTAATAAATTATAATTCGCTTAAATCGAATATAAAAAATTTTAAACACAGAAGATCTTGCTTTATTTATAAATGATTAAATTTAATTTTTAATAAAATTTTGTTTTAAATTATTAAAAAATATTTTTAAAACCAATGTTAATATTTCTTTACTAATTAAAACGCTTCGTTGCTTGTGTTTATGCTGAGGAAATAAGAATGTGTGAAAGCTTGAAAGTTTGATTGGAGTGAAAGGAGAAGAATGTACGAAATGGATTAATGCTTAGGTATTTACGTACCCCCTTCACTTCCAAATGCTGATAATCATTTATTAACCCAAAAGATGTTCGTTACACATCTCATCTCAAATATATGCAGATCACATAATCAATGTGAAAATGACTACAATTAGATCATAAATATTTTATAAATATAAGATAATATGTATGCAAATGTTTATACTTTTTTTTTAAGACAACTCTAAATTCAGTGCTCTAAAATTACATATGTTATTATATTAGCTTTTTTAAAATTTTAATAACTAAATTAATTGTTTAAAATTTGTTTGTTTCTTAAATTTTCAAAAGATTTTATTATTAAATTAATTCATTTGTAATTGAATTTATTACCAAATTAATTATTAAAAAAATTAATTAATTGAAATTATAAAAATGATATTAAAAAAATTATAGGAGACTGTGCGCTTCCAAAAAAATATTTTTAATTTTACTTTTAATTATAATTTTTTTTATTGTTTCTTGTATGAGTACTTGAAAATAGAATGAAATAAAACAAGATAGCATATTTAAAATTGAATACCAAAATAATTTTTTTAAAAACCAAACAATTTATGCTTTTAACATTTTTAAAATGATTATTTTGATAATATAATGTTTAACAGATTAAATAATGACAAATAATAAATAAAAATGGCGACCGAGATTTTTAAACGACTATGGCATGTTTATTTTTGTTTTATTTTTTAATTTTTAAAATTTATATTTTAAAATGATTATTTTTAAGAAGAAAATAAAAATAAAACTTATTTGTTAGTTTAGTTTTCATGACTGTTTTAAGATGAAAAACTTATACCAAATCTTTAGAGACTGTTTTTATGTTTTAATTTTAAAAACTGAAAATAAATATTTATTTTTAAAATTTTAAGTTGACATACAAACTTTTATTATATTTTTATTTTTAAAAATAAAAAGCTATATTTAAAAAAAAATATGAATATTATTATAAATATTTTAAATGCCTAAATTACTATCCTCTAATTATGAATATTATTTTACAATCATTATATTTCATCCCAAAAAAGATGTAGACATAATTTCAAAGAATTAAAATTTCAAATTATTATAACCATAACCAGTAAACAAACAACATACAACGGCAGAAAAAATTAAATATGCTATAAAAACAAGTGTTCCTTGCCTCCAAATTAAATGAAAAATTAACCATAGTGTTAAAAACTTAAAAATCCTTTCACTTTTTTGTTTTTTTAATTTTATGAATAATCCATTCTGTGGAATACGCGTGAAAGGGGAAAAGGAAGGTGGTGGTGTTGGAGGGGTGTTATTCGTAGCATCGAACAATCGTCTTTGATGAATTGATTGCTTCAGTGAGATCTGATCTTTATTGACTTTGACAAAAAGAACAGGTTTTGAAGCAATTGTCTCTGTGGGTAACGTTCGTTCTTTTGGATCCCTCAAAAAACCGATTTTTGGTTTTGGGATCAGTGGGAAATGGAGAAGGTGATGAATATTCTGAAGCCGAAGGCAAACCCACAGCAGCTATTGAGGGAATGGCAGCGCCGGCTTCGTCAAGAGTGTCGTAACATTGAGCGCCAAATTCGCGGTACTATCCTCTCTCTTAAACCCTAATTAATTTCCTTTTCTACTTATTTGTTGTTATGCCTGATTTTATGTTTATGGGCTTCAATCAGATATACAGAGAGAAGAAAAAAATGTGCAGAAGGCGATTAGAGAAGCTGCAAAGAGGAATGACATGGGTTCTGCAAAGGTTTTTATTTTATTTTTTTGACTTGTAATTAGTTAATATTTTTAGTGCCAGAGAGTATATATATTTTTAATTAATCATTTTTTGGGGTAGTGTCACTGTCATGCAATAATGTGATTGAGTTTTAGGGATTGAGAAACGAGTGTCAATGTGGTAAAGCCCATAGATGATGACAAAAATGTTGGGGGAGGAGATAGTGTATTCTTTTGTCACATGCCCTTGCACACCTGAAGAGGGGACGGAGGGAGAGAGTAGATGGGAGAAAAGCCTTGAATATGGACTCGTGATTCATTTTATCTGCTTAGTGATGAATGTAAGGAATTGTTGGATGGGCATTACCCTAGCATTGAAAGCAGAACTGGATGGTGATGTTGCTAAAAGTTTCTATGAACTATGATGGACTTTTTAGGACTAGCAAACATTAAATTCAGTGAACTAATAATGAAGCTATTTTTGGTTTGTGCTAGTGTATGACCTTTTAGGTGGTAATTTGTTTTATCTTTTGAGATTTCAATGTTCAAAGGGGTAGGTCAGTATTTTAAAAAAGAAATAAATTCTCCTTTTATGATATTTGTGCTATTTGCAGGCACTTGCTAAGGAACTTGTGAGATCTAGGAAAACAGTGAACCGCCTTTATGAAAATAAAGCTCAGTTGAATTCAATATCAATGCACCTTGGAGAGAGTGTTGGTAGGTTTTTCCATGTTTAATTGGCCTTAATTTTACCTTATAACAGATAAGGACTTCATGTTAGTTACTTGTACTTGATACCAGCCTTTTTTTCTTTTCAAATTGATGCTTATTTGAAGAACTTTAGTTTTCCTTAATTCCTCTTGTTAATTGAATGGTATTTGTAAATTTGTTGACTTCTTTAATCCCATGTGAGATTAATTGTGAGATAGTATAATTCTACGGCTGCCTTGAGCAATCTTGATTCAACAGTGCAGCATGTTTTTATGAGATCTGCAAGATAGATAGAACAATCTTACTTGTGAAATTGTTGTATCGAGCGATCTTACTGATCTTCCAGAAGCTCGATTGTTTTTAAAATAAACATGACAAACTGACCTTTTTAGGAGACCTGTTTGATTAAAAACTTTTGAGCATTTCACACCTGTTGATTTAGTCTGGCCTTTTCTTCTATTTTCTTCTCTTCTTCACACAACATACATTCTAGGTTTCACCCCTTCTGGGTTCAACTCCTTGAGGTTTGTTTGCTTCTCTTCTTGGTATTAGTGTGCTTCAGCCTTTGCAGGGCTCTGCACAACTACTGATCCCTGCTCTTCCTTCCCAGTTTTGGTTTGTTGCTTCTGGTCAAGGACCCAATTTCTGTTTGGGACCTTGGGTTTGACTTCTGAATTTCTGGGAAAAAGAAGGACCCACCTGAGTTGCCCTGCCCTAGGGCTGTGCTGTTGACTGCTTTTCCTTTGTTTTGTTTCTCTATTTTTGCTCTCTGGTTTGACTTGTCCAACTCGTGCACTCTTTTAGTTTGTATGTCCAGCTTCTGCACTTTTAGAGTGTGTTTGGATAAGTAGTTTTATTAAGTGCTTATTTAATAAATTTTTATCTTATTAGAACTCATACCAAAAATTTGACCATGGAACTCATTGGAATAAGTTAAAAAGAATTTATAGAAATAATAAGTTATTTTCATTAGTCCACATAAGCTCCCCCACAAGCCACAAGATCTTTCAAATACGTTGTTAATGTTTTAGTTGTTATCAGAATTTGTCCATATTATATTATGAATTCAAAATTGTCACTTGTCTTTCTTATTCATTTGTAAATAGATTTTATTTAAACGTTAGTTGTAATTTTAAGGTGGTTGTTAATTGTTGTTATATGCCTACAAAATTAATTTTATATTTAAAGTAAAATCTTAGAATTTTTTTTACGACTGCATGTTTAGGTGTTTCACTCCCTTGCCAATCCTAGGTAAGATATCCAGTTTCAGCCTTGTTCACCTGAGGTAGAAACTCCAGAATTTACAAGGACACATACACATAAAAAATAAATAAAAAAAATCAACCCTACTTGGTGAAATTGGCTACATGAATGAAATGATACCACTGGTCCTATTACAAATCATGTATATAGATAAACTGAGAGAAACAGAATTCAATGGAGGATTCGTATTATTGGAAGTATTGTAATAATAGTAAAATAAAAACAGAAGCTCCCAAGCCAAAAGATGACAATCTCTCCTACTGCTAAACTGAACCTTGTAACCAATTGGATTTGCTTTCCCTATCTACAAATCTACTACTGACTTTTCCATCCATCTCCCACTTGACACCTTTTCCACTATCGCTGGGCCTTGAGCCTAGGCTTATATGAGTAAACTTGTAAGGCTTTCTTTTTTGGCTTAATTCATACAACAAATTTTAAATCTAAGGAAACTTAAAAACTCATTCCGATGATGTGACAAGAAAAATATTGTTGTATGTTTTTTTACAAATATGAGGCCATTTTATGGGCATAACTGAACTTTATTGGCAAGTAAATCTTCAAGTATAAAACTTGTAAGGCTATTTTCATATGCTGTCTATAGACTCTTCCAAAAAGGCCCATAGGCTGATTTGTGTATTGTTTGGTTCAGCTTTCTTTGCTTCAGAATTTGATTTGGCCTGAGGCAATGACTAATGTAACAAATCATATATACATAGTATTCTCCCTCTACCTGCTTATTACAAATAGTTAAATATAATATTTAGATTAATAAGTTCATGTTTTAGCTGTGAACTCTTTTGTAATTACTCATCATGACCGATTTGAGTTATTACTTAATTAGAATTTTGTTCCTTGGAAATTCATGATTTTTGTTGTTTTTGCAGCAATTGCTCGTACTGTGGGACATCTATCAAAGAGTGCTGAGGTTATGAAGCTTGTCAATAACCTCATGAAGGCTCCTGAAATGGCTGTGACAATGCAAGAGTTCAGCAAAGAAATGACAAAGGTATGCCTGCAACGTAGAAGAATATCACTTTTCATAATCCTGTCTCCCCTCCCTGTTGTTAGAAAACATAATTGCATTTGTAGTCACCTTGAATCTCGTCTCTTTCAGGCAGGAGTTATTGAGGAGATAGTAAATGACGCCGTTGACACAGCACTGGATTCGGAGGACATAGAAGATGAGATAGAAGAAGAAGTTGATAAAGTCTTAACTGCAATAGCCGGTGAGACAGCCGCACAACTTCCTGAAGCTGTGAGGAAAGAAAGGGTTAAGCAACCTGCTCAAAGCGTTGGTGCTGCCGAGGAGGTATGTACTTTGTATATGTAGTTCACTTTCCTTATAACACTCTTCCCTGCCTCACAGTTACACTAACTGTGTCATACATTATTATTTGTAGGAAGAGGCTATAGCTGAGGGTGTTGATGATGAGGAAGAAATGGAAGAAATAAGGGCCAGACTTGCTAAAGTTAGGTCATGAACAAGTTTCATGTCTTGCACTCTCTACGTTGTACCTTGGTATATTATAAGAGATATTTGCAGGTTTGTAACCTGTTTGTGATATTTACATTGGAAAAGATAATCTATGTTCCTAATGGGAAAGAGAATATTGGGATGGGCAAGTTCTTATGTAAATTACCCGAAGTTCTTTTAAGATAAGCGCAGAGCAACCTCATCCATGCTTTGAGGATTTTTTATTGTACAGTGCTCAGAACTGCCTCTAAGCAAAATTTAGCTAATTTCAATGTTTTTCTCAATAAACTTTTACTATCCAGACCTTAACAGATCCACCTGTGTGAAATCTTCTACCAATAAATTAATCAGCAACTTATTAAACTTACTTTATACAAATTCTTGCAAGATCTGGGTATTCCGTGTAAATCACTATTCACTAGTCGACAGGAATAAAAAGGTCTTAAACTAAACTCGTGGACCCATAAATCATATTTTACAACTTGGGTCAACTAAATTTATGACTAGCGTTTTCATTGTTATGATTTCCGTGTTTACTCCCTCTATCGTTTTCTCATTAAGCAGATTTTTCAATGATAATGTGATTTTTTTTTGTCCAAGACATTGTGAGCCACAAGTGATTGAATTTGGACAACGTTATTAGCGCATTTGAAACTATGTTTGAACATATTTTAAAATTATTTTAACATAAAAAGTACAACCAGTAGCATTAAAGTAGATATGAATGTAATTCTCTATTACCAAAACTCTACTTTCTTTGCCTAATAAAAAAAATTAAATGTCGAGTTTCTTTTGCAAGGAAAAGCACATGCTTTACTCGTTAATGAAAATAGAAAAGAGGGTATCATGGGAAGCCAAAGAAACTTGACGGAACTTTCCAATATAAAACAATGGTTCGTGTGTCACATAAAACATGATGCTTCTCGGGATAAACCTTTCTGTTCTACGGATTTAAAGACGAGTAATGCTGAAAAAAAAACTCTCTCCAATGTATTTTTTTTAGTTTATTAAAATTTATTGAAAATTAAAAAATTAAAAAATTAAAAAAATATTTTTAACTCATAATAAAAAATTATATTAGAAATAGTGTCTTAGTGGGCCTTTTCTTTACACCTACCATATTCCATTATCTATGAATGCTTTTGTATACTAAAAGCAGAAAAGTGGAATGGTAAAACCATGGCACATCAATTGTGACCACTTGAGAGCCGTGTGTTACACTTGTCTGTCTCTCGCTACAGCGATGTATTTCGCTGCAGCAATAGTTTCTTTCGTTACAACAAAAATTACACTTTAATTTTTATAGAATCTCGTTATAGTGAATTTTTTTTTTTGTTTAAATTAACTTATTTTTACTTCAACGAAAATGCAAATGTTGAATTCAAGAGAAAAATCCAGATTCATTAAATATTTACACATGTGATTTACGGGATAATATAAAAATAATGCAAACTTAAATTTTAATTTATTTCACAATTTATTGTTAATTGCATTTCATTGTGAATAGGATTACAATGCTAAGCCTAAGAGCATCAATAACGGATCAACGCTCCTTTTCACTCTCACAGAATAAAAATTAATGAAATAAGCAATTTCAAAACAAGAAATCTTCCACCTTTTATTATAAGCAGTGACGGAGGTTTGGTCACCCTCAAAATTTTTCAATAAATGTTTATGAAAAATAAAATAAATCAATTTTTTAGTAAATTAAAATTTATTTATATACCTTAATTTTTTTAAATTCTCTTATTTAGTTGTTCAAAAGTTTAGTTATATAAGAAATTTGATCTGTTTTATCCTTTGTCTCTTTTTTTATAAATATTTATTGAGAAAATTATTCAAACCAATCTTATTTATATTTTATTAACTCTATATAAAATTTATTATACACAATATACACAGTATTGTTGATTTTTTTATTTATAGTTACACGTTCTTGAATTTTATCCCCTTTAATTAAAAATTCTGGCTTTGTCCTTAAATTGAAGCATGCGATCTCTATTTAAAAAATAAAGTTCAATTAAAAATTGAATCCTTATATTTAACATTATTTGTTAATTTAGTTTCTATATATAAAAAAAATTCTATATTTTGGTGCATACACAAACTTTTTTTTTGTTTACAAATTAGTCTTCATCTTTTGTAAACAACATAAGGGGGTTAGATTATTATTTTTCTATATAAAATAAATTGAAAAAAAAATATTAAGCATAAAGACAAACATGTAAAAAAATTCATGCAAGAGATAAAATAAAGTATAAATTTATTCATATAATGATTAAAATAAAAAAAGTTGTTAAGTATAAAAATTAAATCTAACATTATGGTAACATCAACAAATGACAAAGACTATTTTTGTAAGCTTTTTTTTATATATAAAAACCAATATATATAATTTTTCATATGGACTAGACTAAAAAATTATATTCTACTCTTAATATAATTTTTTGTTTAACAAACACCAATAATTGAGATCGTGAAAAAATACATCACCCATAAAAAAATTTGTGAAATTTAATTTTAAATTGTTAATTTTTTTAATCAATAGGTATAATTCCATTATTTATTTTTTTAGTGTGTGTTGCTCATGTAATTAAATTCAAAAAATTGTTTATCTCCATTTTCCATTTTCCATTTTCCATTTTGGACTACAGCTATTTTGCTAGACCATTTGTTCCCTTTGCCTCTTGAATTTCTGCCTCCATAGCCTCTCCTTGATTATATTTAGTGTTTTCTCCTTCAACAAAATTATGGTTTATTCTAAGTGGTAACTTAAAATGACAAAATTATCTATACTCTTAGATATTTGCAGTTAAAAATTTATCACTGATAAAAATATTTGTGCTTATTAATATATATTTTTTAATTTGCTTATTAATGGAGTGGGTATTAAGGTATTTCACAGGTATCCGTATGTACTAAAATATATATATATATATATATATATATATATATATATTTAAGTACATATTTTCTTTATATTATCGTTTTATGATAATTTTGATGTGTTTAACTTATTATTGCAACAGAATATTATATTACTTTTATAATTTAAGTATTCTATTTTTTTAATTATATATTTTTATATAAATTACTTTAAATTAATTTATTTTCTACTAATTCAATATCCACAGAGGTATAAAGGGGGTATGGAATGAACTTTTGCCTGCAGCTATTATCCCTAATATAAGCAAGTTAACATCCTAATTGCAATATTTGCTCAACGTTTACTTGCACCAATGCTAATTAATTTTTCTTTTGCCTTTTCTATGAATCATCGACAAGGTTCCTAACTCGTTCACAATATAAGGATCAATTCTTGATGTGACTAAGTTGGGTCACAATCTTCAATGAGACCATCAAGTGTAGCACCTATGGAACTTCAACTGATAATGGAGTCTACTGCAGACAACAAAAATTCCAGGATATTCTTTATTTTTAGCAGAGTATAGGCCGAATTGATATCCACAAATAAATAGTTAATATCAACTTTAATCTTTTACTTCTTGATTTTATTAAAAAAAGTATTATAATTTTTTATTTTACAAATAATATTTATTTTGATATAAAACAATAATAAAAAATAAAATCATATTTTTATAAATCTTTAGATTAAATAATTTATGCTTACAATTAAAGAGACTGAAAGAGATTAAAAAAGAAAAAACCAGTGTGTTATTGTTGATGAGATGAGACCAAAAAGGCATATAGGCTTTAAATATGCTTAAGGTGGGTAATTAAAGTTGTTGCTTTTCAACTGGGAATGTTATATTATATATAAAAAAAAGTGCTTTTTTTAAAAACATTTTTATTTATCCTTTTCACATATATGTTCTAACCACGGAAGTTTTGCTTATTAAGGGTATCACTTTTTGTTTTTTCTCTTCATGACAGATATTAAAGCAGAAGAAAGAAAAGGATCTATATACACTTTGTCCAAAGATGTCACCATATATATACAAAGTATAACATTTGTATAAAAAGCATATAATAGAATAAGTGTTATTTGAATCAAATCTTTAAAAACATTAATTATATCTTGACTCTGTTTTTATGGTTTTTTTTTCAAATACTAAAATAATTCCTGAATTAAACATTGTTATAACAATCAAATATTATCCAACGAGTTGGTTATTAAATTTAGTTGAAGTTTTAATTTTTTTAATATAATTTATTATTAGATTTATTTTAGTATATATTTTTAAAAATTTATGGCTCTTTCTTTGTTTTATTTTTTAAAGATTTATTTATGTGTGCAAACTTGTGTTAAGTCTTATTAATTGTATACTTTCAACCAATCAAAAAAGTAAATTTTACACTTTTCTTTGTCTTATTTATTATTTTCATCATTTTAATGTATTTTTTCATTATTTTACAGACTCAATTCTAAGTATTTAAATTTGAAGATTTATGATATTGTTATATAATCTTTATTTAAATTTTAAGTGTATAATCTTTATTTTGTTTCTGGCTAAAATGACAATACGCATACTTTATTTTATTTTTTAAATAAAATATCCTAAATTCTAAAATATGTCTAAATATAATATTTTATTTAATTCTTTTTTTTTCTACTTTTTTATTTAATTCTTTAACAAAAATTATGTCATTTATAAAGGACATGTAATTAATAATTTTTTTTTTATATTTCACTCGTAAACGCATGTAAAATTAAGTTAGACAAGTAAAAATTTAAAGTGAAATTCTAATATAAACTTATTCTTATTTAAAAGTCTTTGAATGCATTTTTAAGAATTTTCAAATTTATAACTATCTTATTATATATGCTTTTATAGTCTAAATATATAATACAAATATCGTATCTTTTAAACCTTTTCATAAAAGTGAGCTAAAATAAAAAAAAATAAAAATAAAAATAAAATTATATATAACATAAAAAATTATAAATAAAAATATTAAAAAAATATGTGAATTAATTTATATAATATTATTTTATAGTTAATACAGAATAATACTTAAAATATAAATATAGGTAGTCGATACATTAGTTTTTGAAAAAAAATGAAAAATATGTTTAATTAATAGAAGATTGTTTCAATGGTAATTAGAAAATATCTTATTATATTTAATTAAATAAAAATATATGAATATTGATTAAATATTTAAGAGAATATTAAATTTTTATATAATAAATATTTTATTTCATATAAATAAACTTCTATATTGTAATTTTGACTTTTCTTCTGAAGTTGGAAAAAAAATAATTTTAATTTTTTTTCTTATAACGTGTAACTTTATCATTATTGAGTATTTATATATTAAAAAAAACAAATTATTAAATGTTTCAAACTTTCCTACAAATCTCAATTTTAATTGCTCTAAAGCTTTTCTCTTTAAATAAAACTTTCCTTTTCATTAAAATCTCAATTTCTTATGCTTTTAAATTATTTTTAATTTTTTAATTTAAGTTTTTAGTATTATTTTATTTCAATTAAATGTGTTCTATTATTTTTAAATACTTTTCTTTGTATACATGTGCGTGTGGGGATTCACAATTATACAAAACACATATTTAATTTTATATATATATCAGACGCGGCATGAATGAATATATTACTGAATTGAAAAATACATTTACATTTTTAAATATTTATATAAAAATGATAAAAATCAAAAAATAATTTTAGTGATTCTTATACAAATACTTAAAATAGAAAAATAATTTTATCTTTTTCCTTTGTAGTAAATGGCTATACCACTGCTACCAAAAAAATGGTTATACCATTATTTATCACTTTTATAATTTTAAAAGTTTTACCTTTTTTCTAATTTCCTTTTACATTGAGATTCTATTTTCTTTGTTTGGATTTGAATTTTAATTACTTTAAAATTTGTATTTTATGTTATAATATATAAGCTATATCCACTATGGATTATCATATTAGTATATGTGTATTAAGAAAAGACTAACGCATATTTATTATAAGCAAGATATTTGTTTTGGAATCTTTAAAAGGTATATTTTTTCAATTAATGAAAAATTATTGAATTCCCTTGACATATAAACTTAATAATTTTTGGATAAATCTTAAATTGAGTTTATATATATTTAAAATATCTAAAATAAATAAAATTTTGCATATGACACGTTCCACGTTCAATGTAGTAAAGTAGTTCCTAAATTTTTTTACCAAAAAAAAATCAAATCATATCTTCTTTTATTTAATTCAAAGGCTATTGTAATCTTAATCTATTAAAATTTAACCATGTGTACACTTATTATTTAATTTAGAGACAATATAATTTTATAGAAATTTTAAGAAGGTTGTTAGTATATTAAATTTTAAGATATCTTGTAATTTTTAATAAAAAATATTATACATATAACTTTGTTTATGTATTTTTAAACACATGTTAAGGAAATTGAAATAAAAATTATCACCGTTAAGAAAAAAGGTATTATTCGGATATTATAAAGGAAAAAATTAACAGATTAATCATTAATTTGTCATTATTCATTAAAAAATATTATTAAATTTGAAAAAAATAAAAATAGTATTTTAAAAATGTTAGATGCTTTGGAGTGTATGATGAGTCCTAATCCAAACCGGAGAAAAAATAATTAATTTTTTTCCCATTTATTACAAAAAATTAAAAATCAATATGAAAGCCAAACAAGTGGTCGAGTGTATCACGGCATCATTCACTACCATGCGTCAAGAAAGACCCATTGAAGTCCAAATAAGAATTAACAATAAGAACAAAAAATTTGAAAGTAGTTTACATTTAAAAAATGAAAAGAAAGTATTCTGAGTTCGAAAAAAGAAGTAAGAAAACAATTTAACATGCGATTTTTTAACTTATGTTGAAAGATACATGATAAATAAACAAATTATAATATTTAATAATATTAATATATTAAATTAAAAAATATTATCTAAATTTAAATAAACATTTATTGCACATAAATTTATTCATTGTATCTATTACATTAAAAAATTCAATCAATGAAAAAAAATACAATGAAAGTAGACCATAATTACTAGTAAAAGAACATTACGAAATACAAAGCAGAAAATTGGAGACGGTTAATGAACCCTCCCATACTCTACGGCTTTGCATTGCGAGTGCTATAAATATCCACTGATTGGCACACGTTTTCCGAAATATCAAACAACATGGCATCATCACCAATCCTCTCCAAACTCTCTCTGTCTCTTGTGTTATTCTTCTTCGTGTTACTTTCACCCTCTTATGCAACTTCTCGTTTGACCCATCACCATCTCTTGTCCACAACAACTTCACCACACCAATCACGCGCAGAAAGGCTCATAAAGGGCCTTAACCTATTCCCTAAAGACCCAGTTAACATAAGGAAGGGTGATGTTGCTGCCTTTAGCCCTGGAAAGATTGTGGAGACAAAATTTTCGTTTCTTGGTGATTCTGGGCCTTCTGTTGACGACCTTGGCCACCACGCAGGTTACTATTCGCTTCCTCATTCCAACGCTGCAAGGTGAGTAAATATATTTATGTAAATATGTCCTTTTGATGTAAACATATTTTCTGTGATTTAAAAGGGTTGTTTAGTTTGTATATGATCTGCAGTAAAGAGAAATCGTGAATGACAAAAGAACTATGAGATTCATAGAGATGTGAAAATTGTAAATAGTGACAATATGAAGGATACTTTGGTTAACACTGTAAATGAATAATTCATGAATTTTATTTATTAGTTATTATTATAATTTAACTGTCATGTCATGTGATCAATTAAATTACTTTGCAATAAAAAAAATAATTATTTGAGAATTTTAATATACAGATAAGTCTCATTAATTCATTTCAAATAAGGTTAGTTACTATACTAACTTAAACAAATGCACAAAAAACTAATTTTCTTCCTAATAATGAAGGTCAACTATGGTTGCACCACTTAATTACCTTTTACGTTTACTTACCATGTTTTTTGCGCTTTTTTATTCTATCGTGATGTTTTCAAAGTGTGTACAGATCTTAAAGAATCATAAAGTTGTCCTACAAGCGAAGTCCTTATTGTCATGATGCGTCAAACGCGTAATATTATTATATCACAGTTAATATAATTTTATAAAGTTATATATATTTGTGTATGACTTTTAAACAATTATTAATTTGTTTATATATCATATCGCAACCATTATTGTTTAAAACTGGTTAATTAATTCGAGTGCAGCGTTTTTATTTTAATTAATTAATTTTATTTATTTATTTCTTTTAATCACTCACTAACATGTGACAGTGATTTGAAAATTGGCACATATATAATTTTTCTTGACTTGCAGGATGTTCTACTTTTTCTTTGAATCACGGAACAATAAGGACGATCCAGTGGTCATATGGTTGACTGGTGGACCAGGGTGTGGCAGTGAATTAGCTTTGTTTTATGAGAATGGCCCTTTTCATATCACCAATAATTTGTCTCTTGTTTGGAATGACTATGGCTGGGATCAGGTAACAATCTACTTCAATCTCTCTTCTATAGAAAGAGTGTGCTCAACCATAATGCACATTGTCATACCAAAGGCAACTTTTAACCAATAGAATTTGGTCGTTACACCAAAATTGTTTTCTTATTGGTGTTAACAAGTTGTTTTCTCATTTTGTAGGCATCAAGTATTTTGTTTGTTGACCAACCTACCGGGACAGGTTTTAGTTATTCTTCTGATGATGCTGACATTCGTCATGATGAAGAGGGTGTTAGCAATGATTTATATGATTTCTTGCAGGTAATATAAAACCTCTTTTTTCACATGACCTAGTTTTCTTGTGTATGAATGAATTAAATGTAATGAATTCTACTATAATATTACAGGAGTTTTTCAAGGCACATCCTGAGTTCGTTAAGAATGACTTTTATATTACTGGAGAATCATACGCTGGACACTATATTCCAGCTCTTGCATCACGGGTTAGCAAAGGAAACAAAGAAAACCAAGGAATTCATATAAACCTCAAGGTCTTATACTATTTCTTATATAATTTATATTCAGTTTTCTGGTTAAAGGCATATTTTAATTTTTTTAAAATATTAAAATCAGTAACATAGTGTTATTAATATGTTAAATTTTATAATATCTTATTATTTTTAATAAAATTTTATTATACATTAATTTTTTATTGTGTATCTTCGAGTACAGGCTAAAATAGTCTGAATCTGTCGAAGGTAATATAATTATGTAAGTTTTCTCTTGCTTTTATTGATTTCATTTGACCACGTATGTATCAACAGGGCTTTGCTATTGGTAATGGATTAACAAATCCTGGGATTCAGTACAAGGCATACCCAGACTATGCATTAGACAATAAATTAATTACCAAGGATGATTATGATAAAATCTCCAAGTTGATCCCGGACTGTGAGCAAGCCTCAAAAACTTGTGGTACAACCTTTTGAGTCTTTCCCTTTTTCACTCTCACAATCTCTTTTTACTCATGAGCTACTTGAAAATTTAATTAAGTTCTTCCACTTTTGATGTTAATAATTATTTGTGTTTGATTTCTCAGACACTCAAAGTGGACAAAGTTGCGCAACTGCATTAAATATTTGTGAAGAAATATTTAATGATATCTTGACCATTGCTGAAGGCATTAACGTAAGTAATCATGAAAGAAATGTTTTGAGAAAATGGTACAGTTCAATTTACTTAACCAATTTGTTGATATGAAAATTACAGTACTACGACATCAGAAAGAAATGTGTGGGAAGTTTGTGCTATGATTTCTCAAACGTGGAGAAGTTTCTAAATGAGGAGGAAGTGAAGAGTGCTTTAGGTGTGGGGGATGTGAAATATGTTTCATGCAGTAGAACAGTTTATGATGCTATGGGGGAAGATTGGATGAGAAACTTGGAAGTGGGTATTCCTGATCTTCTTGAGGATGGAATCAAATTGCTTGTATATGCAGGAGAAGAAGATCTCATATGCAATTGGCTTGGTGAGCCTAATTATTTCATTTGAAACCAAATTGCTTCTTGTGTGCTGAAAAAGGTTATGTATGTCATATTGCAATCTTGATGTGCTTCTTCTCATTTGGTAGGGAATTCAAGGTGGGTTCAAGCTATGGAATGGTCAGGCCAAAAGGCTTTTGGGGCATCTCCTACAGTGAAATTTGTGGTTGATGGAGCTGAAGCAGGCGCTTTGAATAGCTATGGACCGCTTTCTTTCCTCAAGGTTTGTGTTTATGGTTGTATCTTGAAAGTGAGAGTGACACATTGTACATTTCACTTATGTTAACTTTGTTAAATTTTTGTGATACAATAGGTATATGGTGCCGGGCACATGGTCCCAATGGATCAACCAAAAGCTGCACTTCAGATGTTAAAAAGCTGGATGGAAGGGAAACTGGGGAAAGAAGATATTGTTCCTCATAATTGATACGCTCACCTCAAAACCAGAACCAAAATACTCAGATGGATAATGATCACAATTTTTTGTGCATGATTTCATGTATAATGTTTCGATGGTGGATTTTATATATTTTTTAACCTTTCTCAAATTCTTGATCTTTGTGCTCTAGTTAAACGAATTGAGCAATGTGCACCATATTCGGATTAACTTAATGTATTAGAATATCAATCCTAGAATAAATAATTAAACATATTCAGCATTATACCAAATGATTGGTGGTGGATTCATTCCTATGACATTGTAAATTAGCAGTAGCTTTGACTCAGTCTAATTTTATTTATTTTTTTACCTTATTTATTTAGCTAATTAAGTAAATAAATTTAAAGTATTTAACAAATCAAGTTTTAAGTATTTTATTAATAACTAAATCCATTTACATCCATATTCCTAGATATGTAAAAGTGAGTTTTAACTTGTAAGCAATCCTAATTCATTGTGAGGTTTTAGGAAGCAGGTTATAAAACAAAATTAATTGTAAGCTATGTAAGTGTTTTGTTTTACTTGTCTTACTCAACTCACCATTAAAATTGGTCAACTTGTGGCGAAATGGGTTAATATATGATTTTAAAATAAATAAATAATGTTTATAGTTGTATTATTTTATTATAATTTTCTAAGGTCTTTTAATACTTTTTTTTTTTAATTTAGTAAATCAACTAAGGATCTAATCTATTAAATTAGTAATTTAAACCGAATTAGATTTTTATTTTATTTTATTACAGAGGTGAATTAAATTATATCAGACCACTGTTAAACGCAACCTGTAATCAACCGATTCAAACTATTCGAATTAATCAATTTTACAGTTTTATTTTCTCCAGTTAGTTATCTTTGACCTGAAACTTTATCCATTTTTTAGCACATGATAATTCACTTATCACTACTCCCAATTCTTATGATTTGATTAATAAATTAATTCTAATGTTCTGCATATTATATAAAAAATAAAATTATATTAATTAAAAATTATTTTGATATATACATTATTAGTCTAAATTTTTTAGATTACCATATACTAGAAAGTATTTTACTCATGCAGAGGTAATATAAATATAAACAAAACTTTAAAATTTATTACTAGATATATTAAGAAAAAGATTGATTTAATTCATAACACATTATTTTATGAGGAAAAAATAGTATATATTAAAATACACATTTAATCACCTGAAAACATTCGTTTTTTGGGAAAACATAAATATGTTTAATTAATAGATGATTATTTTAATGTTGATCAGAAAGTATCTTACTGTATTTAATGCTAAATGATAAATCTACACGAATATTGATTAAAAATTCTAGCTAGGAACTTTTTAATGAATAAATAAATAATTAAGAAAAATGTTATATATATATATATATATATATATATATTATAAATATAATTCTTCATTCATAAAATGTCAAACCATTTCCTATTTTACACACAGCTAATGCATATTATTATTAATATTAATTATAAAATTAATACAAAATAATTATATATTATAGTATTAAATAAATTAGTATCTTATATATTAAATAAATAAACATATTAATCTATATAAACGATATATAAATATTTTGGACATAAATATTTTGTTAATATAAATCTTTCTCTCTCTATATTTGATCGGTAGTATTTTTATGCCATTTTAATTATAAGTTCAAAAACAAAAATTAGTATTTTTTTATTATATTCTTTCCTTTACAAATTTTTTAATTATTTTACACATTTATCATAATATAAATTATTAATTACTGTAAATTCTAAAAATTAATTAAATTAAATAGTACATATCTTCTTAAATCATTTAATAGATATGTCAACTGATATATAATATAGTTCAGACTTAATCTATAATTTTGAGTTTAAGCTATAATAAATCTAACTACATAGAAGACACATTTGATATAGATAAAAAAATAAATCTCTTTATAAATTACTTTCACATTGATTATTACAAAATAATTTATTTTTAATATTGATAGCTAATGAATAAGATTAATAAATATAAAAAATTAGTTAATTGAAAAATGAAGGGCAAAATTGAAAATCAGATTATAATTTTTATATAAATTATAATATTAATTAATTATTTTAATCTGTATAAAGTAATCTTAAATGATTGATAAAAGAAATTAGAAAAACTATTATTATTGATTGATTCTTTAACCACTGTCTAAAAAGAATTAAATAATCTATACATCTGAAAACATATTTTTATTTATTATAATTAAAATAAAATAAATTAATAATTATTTATTACAGTAACTAAGGTTTCGGATAGTATAAATTGAAGGATTGGCGCGGTAAACACAAAATGCGAGAAACATTAGTTTAAGACCTATTTAGACTTTGAAATACTGCATGGTCATTGACTTTTTTTAAATAAAAAAAAACCAAAAATAGTATTCATTGTAAGAAAGATATCATTTATTATTCTTAGAATTTTTAAAAGCTTACATTTTTTTCAATTTCATAAAAATATTAAAATCTCTTAACCTAGACATAATCAAAGTATGTCCTCCATTATTCAACTTAAAAATTATTGGACAAAAAACAGAAAAATTATCATAATCCTAACCTATTAAAATTTAATCATAAATATATATTTATTTGTCTAATTTGGTGACAATATCATTGTATTGAAGATTTTTTATAATTATTTTATAATATAATATAATCACCATTGGAAAAAAATTATGATTCAGATTTTATAAAATAATAAGTTAGTGGATTAATCATGGTTTTTCACAAAATAATATTACAAATTAAAGGATATATACTAAAAAGTTTTAATCTTAGTATACATTAATGTCATAGTTTATTACTAATAAAAAATTATCAAACGAATAAAAAAACAGTATTATCATTAAAACATTGAATGCTTTGGAATGCAACATGGCAAGAGATGGGTAGTAATATATATTAAACTTGGAGATAAAATTTACTACCAATATTTTGACATTTATTGGCAAAAATTAAACAGCAAATATAACAGCCACTGACAATTAATCTGGCATGCCCAGGCACCAACAAAAACACAAAAGAGAAGTCAACAAAATATTTAATGATAGGAAAAAAACAATTGAATATAGTCTTCAGTTAATAAAATGAAATCAAAGTACTCTTTAATTGAAATGAGGACTCTCCCATAGTTTACGGCTTTGCATTGCGAGTGCTATAAATTCACTAAAAAAATGTAAGCATTTTTCACGAAATCAAACAACAATGGCATCATCACCAACCCTCTCTAAACTCTTTCTGTGTCTTGTGTTACTCTTCTTCGTGTCACTTTCTCCCTCTAATACAGCAACTTCTCGTTCCACCCATCACCGTCCTTTGTCTGCAACAACGTCTCCACCTCGGTCACATGCGGAAAAACTCATAAAAAGCCTTAACCTATTCCCCAAAGAGCCAGTTAACATAAGGAAGGGTGGTGACGTTGCCGCTTTTGTCCCTGGAAAGATTGTGGAGAAGAAGTTTTCGTTTCTTGGTCATTCTGGACCTTCTGTTAACGACCTTGCTCACCATGCAGGTTACTATTCGCTTCCTCACTCCAAAGCTGCAAGGTAAATAAAAATAAAAAAGTTGTTAACTTTAACCTTTTTAAATTATTCAGATTAAATAACTAATTAATTATAGTATTTTAAAAATTTTAATAAAAATTTTTTAATGCATAAATTCAAATTTAAAAGATAAAATTAACAAAAATTCACGTGTTATATATATATATATATATATATTCTTATAATTATGAATTTTCACATTTATTTAATATTTATTTATTTTTATTTAATTATAAAAAATAAAAATATTTTTTAAACTCATTAATTGTTAAATTTTTTAATATTCTTATTTATTAATTTTTTATTTTAATTTTTCACCCAATTTAATCTAAATTTGACTCAAATCGTGAATTTGGATGTGGTGAGTGAAAATCCAAAACCTTACTTAAGTAATATTGAGCCGTTTGCCACTCACACTAACTTTCGTTGATCATTTATTATAATATTACAAAATAGTCACAGTCCAAATGCCTATGGGATCCAGGCAAAAAAAGGTATGAGGGAAAAGAAGCTGAATAAATATAAGAGAAAGATAGTAAATTATCTAAACCTAACTTGACTAAATAACCGGTACAAGAAAGATTTTATTATAAAATTTACACTAATGAGATACTTACTTGTTAATTATATGATTATGTATGATAAGTTTTTATTAAAATCTATATATAATTTTTGTACTGAGTCCATAATTTATTACATGCTTTAAATCATCATAAAAATATATATTTAATACTATTTTATGATTTTAATCACACGATATTACTTAATTTAATATATTAATAATATTAAATATTATAAATTTTATTTCTTATCATGTACTACATACGTTACAAAAAGGCCAGTTATAAAAATAAATAAATTTATTTATTTAATATATGAATTATTCATTTATGACATATATATATTAAAATGCATTACCCACAGTATTCGACTTATTCTCTCTCTCTCCCCCTTAATTTTAAATCTAAATCGCTGTTATCTTTATGCATTTCACACTCCTTTCCTGATTTAAAAAAAAAAAAAAAACTTCCCTTCTATTTATGAGTAATAGCTATTATTCTAATTAAAATATCATGTGATGAGTTAATGTGTTTTGAAACAAGAACTCTTTTTCTTCTCTTCATAATGATTAACGTCAACGATGGTTGTGCTGTTTTATTCCTTTCTGTTAGTAGCTGTTTTCACTTTTTCAGTATTATTATTCGACTGTGATAAGTACAAATCTTACACTATATTTGGATGCTATATAAACAGTGGAAAAGGAAAACAATAGAGAGAAATATTTAGGGAGGGGGATCGCGGAAGAAGGGTTAATTTTTGGTTTATTATTATTTTTATTAAGTTATTAAAAAATTTAAATAATAAAAAATTTTAAAATATTATAACAAAAAATAATTTTTTATATTCATTTTTAAAAATAAATTATTAGTTAATCAATTCAAGTGCAGCACTTTTATTTACTTAATTAATCAATTTAAAATTTATGCTTTTAATTAGACGCTAATATGCATTACTGATTTGAATCGTCAATTTTTTTTTCTGTGACACGTAGGATGTTCTATTTTTTCTTTGAATCACGGAATAGCAAGGATGATCCAATGGTGACATGGTTAACTGGAGGACCAGGGTGCAGCAGTGAAATAGCCTTGTTTTACGAGAATGGCCCTTTTCATATCACCAAAAACTTGTCCCTTGTCTGGAATGATTATGGCTGGGACAAGGTAACAATCTATTCCCAATGTCTCTTTACATAAGGCACACAGTCACATCAAAGACATTGGTTAAATTAGAAAATCTTTTTGTTACACAAAAATTGTTTTCTTATTGGTATTAACATGTTATTTTCTCATTTTTAGGCATCAAATATTTTGTTTATTGACCAACCTACCGGGACAGGTTTTAGTTACTCTTCTGATGATGCTGACATTCGTCATGATGAAGTGGGTGTTAGCAATGATTTATATGACTTCTTGCAGGTAATATAAAACCTCATCTTTCGTAGCACCCAATCTTTATGTGTATATAAATATAATCAACTAAGTTTTACTATAATTGGCAGGAATTTTTCAAGGCACATCCCGAGTTTGTTAAGAATGACTTTTATATTACTGGAGAATCATACGCTGGACACTATATTCCAGCTCTTGCATCACTGGTTAACAAAAGAAACAAAGAAAAGAGCGGAATTCATATTAACCTCAAGGTCTTGCTTACACTATTTCTTATATAATTTATATTATAATTGTGAAAGGTTAATTATGTTTTGTGTCGATTCATTTGATCACATGTATAACAACAGGGCATTGCAATTGGTAATGGGTTAACAAATCCTGGAATTCAATACCCAGCATACCCAGATTTTGCTTTAGACAATAAATTAATTTCAAAGACAGAATACGATTATATCACCAGTTTGATTCCAGACTGCAAGAAAACAGTACAAACTTGCAGTGAGTTCTTTTCCCAGATCCATTTTTAATTTTTTACTAATTTATTGCACTAGTTGCAAATGATATTGTTTCAGTTTGTGATGTTATATTTGTTTGATTTGCTAGATACTAAAGGTGGAGAAAGTTGCATGACTGCATTACATACTTGTCAAGAAATATTCAATAATATCGTGACCATTGCTGAGGACATTAATGTAAGTATCATGAAAGAATAGTACTTTTTTTCCTACTCCATGTTCAAGTAATTTGTTCAATTCAGTTTACTTACATACAAGTTTTGATATGCAAATTGCAGTACTATGACATCAGAAAGAAATGTGAGGGAGAATTGTGCTATGACTTCTCAAACGCGGAGAAATTTTTAAATATGAAGAAAGTGAGGAGTGCTTTAGGTGTGGGGAAAGAGAATTTTGTTTCATGCAGTAAAACAGTTTTTCATGCTATGCTCCAAGACTGGATGAGAAACCTGGAAGTGGGTATTCCTGATCTTCTTGAGGATGGAATCAAGTTTCTTATGTATGCAGGAGAAGAAGATCTAATATGCAATTGGCTTGGTGAGCCTAATTATTTTCATTTGAAACCAAATTGCTTCTTCTGTGTTGAAAAAGGTTGTGTATATGACACATTTCATTCTTGATGTGCTTCTTCTCATTTGGTAGGGAATTCAAGGTGGGTTCATGACATGGAGTGGTCAGGCAAAAAGGCTTTTGGGGCATCTCCTCCAGTGAAATTTGTGGTTGATGGTGTAGAAGCAGGATCTTTGAATAGCCATGGACCCCTTTCTTTTCTCAAGGTTTGTGTTTTGGGATTATATTTTTGGTACTCCTTGTAGTACCTACTCCTTTGTGGTTACATTTCCTTATTTAGTAACTTCTTTATTTATAATTTTAAAAAAATTAAACAATGGGAAAACTAACTATACATAAGTAGGTATTTATTTATACATAAAGGAAAGAAGTATGTACTCTAGGATGACCAAAATATTTCCATGTTCGGGGTAGTATCTAGAGTGAGAGTGACACATTGTAAATTTCACTTATCTTAACTTTGTTAATTTTATGTGATACAATAGGTACATGGTGCTGGGCACATGGTCCCAATGGATCAACCAAAAGCTGCACTTCAGATGTTAAAAAGCTGGATGGAAGGAAAACTGGGGGAAGCAGATAATGTTCCTCATAATTGATACACTCACCTCAAAACCAAAATCGACATCTTCTTGACATATATAGTGACCATAACTTTTGGTGTACATGACTTCATTTATAATGTTTGGAGGGTGGAGTTTATATTTTTTCTGCACCTTGATCAAATTCCTGCTCTTTGTTCTCATGTTAAACGAATTGAGCAATGTGCACCATTTTTGGATTAACTTAATATGTAGTAACATATCAATCCTCGAATAAACAATCAAACATATTCAAGATGGCCTAAGTGATTGATGGGGAATTCAATCCTTGTGACATTGAAATTAGCAGTAACTTCTGGTCGAAAATTAAAACAAAACAAGCCGTTTAAATGTACTGGGGCCGTGGATAAGTCATGATTCTACCAAAAGTGAAGTCATATACAATTAAGAAATATCAAATATGGAGCTCATATTCGTCGATCGATGTGATAAATTTATAGTCTCAAGATATCTATACTATACTATAAACACTTGACTTTCAAGAAATACTATTTATTCTTTTAAGATACAGGTGGAGGAGTGGAAGCTTCGGTTTGGGTTGGGTTGGGTTGGGTTGGGGAAAGGGAATATACGCATCAAGTATGGTACAGGTTTGGGCCGGTGAGGGAGAATATAAATTGATTGCATCTTTTTCTCAACTCTTTTTTAGATCTACACAGGTTTTTTATTTTGTTTTACCCTTCAAGACCAAATAAACACTTACAATAATTGTAACCATTTTACTTCATCAAAATTTGGTCTGCCCGTATCTTAAACATTAACCCATGTAATTATCAACTACTTTCGTAGACTATAACCATCCTATGCATCATTTTTGTTTTTCTCTCTTGTACTCAATAATTAAATGCAATATTTGCACTATTATTTTTCTTATTTCTCATTAGTCATTCACAAAATAATTATGTATAATGTGAGACTATATAATATCGACCAATTATATCATGTCATATATATAATTTTTACAATTTATAAAAAAATTAACACATGATAAAATATGAGTGATTATAAATCATTCAATTATTGTCATCCATTCATAAAATTATATGAACCTCATTTATTTAAATAATTTTCTTATTTTGTTAAGTACTTACGTAGCTAATTTATGACTAACCAACTTATTGATCCAAAACCTTTATTCATTTGACATCCAGCAAATACCATACTAGAACTTACGACTATATTTTCTTTTTCATACTTTATGTTAAGCTCTTTAACAAAGTTCCCCCTTATGTATGTGCAAAATAATAATAGTCCTCCGTTGAGCTTACATCAACACACAAAAAACAGAACAACCATAAAATTGTGATTTATAATTACTTCAAAACAAAAGCATGCAATAAAGAGGAATAACAGGGCATCAAAGGTTTCTAAATACGAACAGTAGTGGAATCAAATCATTTTTGCCTTCATATCTTCTTCAAAGACAGTCTATTGTCCAATTTTTAATTCTCACTCTCCACCTATTATTTCAAAATACTCTCTTCTTTTGCTTCCTTGCATTTAGGTTCCAAACACAAACCCAAACAATGGAGGGATGAGGGAATATGTAATGCACCCATAAGACCATACTTCACTCCTTAAATTCCACCTTAAACATTTTATTTGCAAAATAGGATATTTAGGTCCCACACATATAAGGTCATTGTCAAATTGATTCTCGAAAAAACAAAAAAAGAAAAAAAATTTACCCAAATTAAATACGTCATAAATGAAAGAGGTGTTAGTGTCACCCTGTTTCTGTTAGATTTTAAAATATGAAGTTGTAAGTGGCTAACATTTTTAATTCTATTATACTTTATTATCATTGAACAATAATAATTAAATCTAAAAAAATTAACATTGATTTCATCAATGTTTCTTTTATTTTGTAATGCATAAAAAAGGATAAGAATATGGAGCAGAATAAAATATACGCATGAATTTGAACTTTTAAGTATAAACGCACACACTCATCGAACCTTGGCTGATCCGAAGTTGAAGTCGTACTTCACCTGGGTGCTGCTGTCTGCTGCCACTAGAACTGCAAATCGTATGGCTCCTGTAATCCGAGTTCAACCCTTCCTGTTTCATGGTTCACTCTGCCACCTTGTTTTTAAATTTTGTATCTTTTTTAATTTTTTATTTCTAAAATAATGTGATAAATATTTTAAATTGGCTAAATCGACTGAAAATAATGGAATTCAACTTTTAAGAATGATTTGATAACGCTAGGGTTTTGGTTAGGATAAGCGTGAATGTTGTTGTTGCCCCTTTCTAACTGTGCTCGATTTTCTGCACAGTTAATTAAGTTTTTTATTTTTCTTTTATTTTCCAGTGATTTAGCGCATGATCTTTGGTGGGAAGTAGGTCTTCTAGATTCGTCTTTCGTATTAAGGATTTTTCATAGCAGGCTGTGATCTTATGGAACCTGACAGGTATGCATTCCTTTTTAATATCTGTTCTTTTCTTTCTTTCTCTTGGAAAAAAAAATTGTATCTTTGCACCCAAATTATGATATAGTTTATTTGAACTTTGACATTAACATTAGATTGTTATTTGCGCATTAGCAAATTATTTTGTTGGTATTGCCAATACTATATGGGGTGTTGTAATTGATCATTAGTTATGATTTTATAAACCGTTTGCTTTTCTTCAACTTGTCACACAAGACTAAAAATTGCAATGGAACTGTGGATATCTTTTTTTATTTAAGGCTTTAAGAGGTGTGTCCTAGGATTTATTGATTGAAAGATTAGCTTAGTTGTTTTTTTCTCTGGATATAGACTTGATGTTTTCTCCTTTACTTGGTTGTATCTATTGTTTAGCTTTCATTAAAATGAGATGTGCAGCTTTGACTTTCTCTTGTTATGACGGGTTGCAAAATTGCCATGTGGTGGAATTTGATTGTTATGCCCTGCCTTTATCACTCTCCATCATGTTATTTAGTTGATAATTGGATTCAACCTTCTCAGCTCAATTAAGACCTCTTTTTTTCATATTTGGGAAAAACTTATATGGTGAGGTCTAGCTTTACATTGTTCATTTACTGCAGTTGAACATGCAGAACCTATAACTGTTAAGAGTTAAGACTATTGAATGGTTCTTCTTAACTATGATTTGTTATGAATTACAAATACTTATTTCATGATACTCATGATTGTTTTAACAGGTTAAATTCCCCAACCACATTTGAGATGCCGTTGGAGGTTTTGGGCCATGAGCTGCAGTTTTCCCAGGTATTGTACCATCTTTAAAATGTGTTTGGAGGGTGCTTTGAGGAGAGCATTCTTTTCTGGGATAGGCCAATTGAACTTTAGTCATGTTAGATTATTGCATCCAAAACCTACTTCCTTTTAGAAAATTCTAGGTACATTTTCTGTTAAGTGTTGAATGATATGCATCACAGTGAGGGGATAATTTGAGTTGGATAATGATAGTTCACTAATGCACTAAGGCCTTTCAATGTGCATAAGAGACTTTAACTTTCTGTTTTATCAGTAAGTATTCCCAAAATATTTGGAAAGAAAGAAGAACAGGTTAGATGTAACGAAATGCCATGGCAATATGCACTAGAAATGAATGTCCTTTGAAATCATGACTGACCAATATGGCATATGCCTACAAATCATATGTTGGCTGACTCTTCTCTTATTGCTTTGGCTTCTAGGCATTGGCTTAACTATTATTTTATTAAAGATTGACACTGATATTTTTTACGAATGCCATTTTTTCTTTCTTATATATGTTTCTAGAAAATCTGACATTTCCATCTTATTTTCAATAGGATCCCAATTCCAAGCACTTAGGGACTACAGTATGGGATGCATCACTTGTGTTTGTCAAGTTTCTGGTAAGTTGTGTGTCCTCACATGCTCTGGAATGTCCTGTTATTTTTTTTATGAATGAAAATTTTGGTTAGACCTTAACTGTATCTTTACTTAACTGCTGAATTTAACTGATTTGTTCTTTAGATTCTAAATTATTATAGCATATATGATGCATGCCTTGTAATTTTGGGGCTTACATGAATCAAAGAGATAGGGTTGAAAAATTAGATATCCTGGCAGATAAGCTTTGGACTTGAACTTATTCTTGAAACTGTGGATGAATTAAGTTTATATGGAATGCATATAAATCACCTTCATGGTCATAGAACTTTGCTTCCAGAAAGTAATGGGAACTGGGAAGAGAAAACTTACATAATTTGAATAAAAAGAAGTCATGTTCTCTCTCTTCATTGGGGATATGATCTTAAGTTTGAGAACAGATCCTTTGAGGATGAACTGGGTCATGAAATATTTTAGATATTGCATTTAGTTTCCATTACTTGGTAATATTTCTAAATTCCCATTATCTTAATTCCTTAGGATGCATCTTATATTGTTTCAGGAACGGAATTGCAGAAAGGGAAGGTTTTCCCCAGCCAAACTGAAAGGAAAACGTGTAATTGAACTAGGGGCTGGCTGTGGGGTTTCTGGTGTTGGTAAGTTTTCAAACTATCATTAAAAATTGTTTACTGAATCAATTCCATTTTTCTATATGCGACCAATGGTTGAAATTGGTCTTGCTTTGCCCTACTTTCAGTACTTTGGTAGGGGGTGATACCTAGTCTGATATGCACTTGATTTGCAGGCATGGCTTTGCTGGGGTGTGATGTTGTAGTGACAGACCAAAAGGAGGTTTTGCCATTGTTACAGAGAAACGTTGAGCGTAATATTTCGAGGATCATGCAAAAGAATCCTGGTTTGATTTTGAACTTTGAATCATCCTTATTGCCATATGGATGTGATATTTATTTATTTGAAATTCAATCTATCAAGTATAATTTTTAATTTGGTTATTGTATGTTGGTGATTCTGTCTGTGGATCTGAATGATAGTGATATCTAACTTGGAAATCAATTGTTTTTAGAGTCATTTGGTTCAATCCAGGTTTCTGAGCTTCAGTGGGGAGATGAGAGTCACATTAAGGCTGTTGGTCCTCCATTTGACTACATTATTGGCACTGATGTTGTAAGTGTTGAACAGGCCTCTCTGCAAACAATGCAGAGCAAATATCAATTAACTTGTTGATAAATTGTCATTTAAATGTCATTTTACTGTATTTCTTTGAAGGTTTATGTAGAGCATCTATTGGAGCCTCTGTTGCAGACAGTACTTGCTTTATCTGGACCTAGGACTACAATTATGGTGTGTTACCCAACTTTTCTATTAATTTATGCTCTTATTTCTTATAGTAAAGTTGGAGAATCACGTAATTTTTATTTTATTTTGAATAACACATGAAGTTGGGCTACGAGATCCGTTCCACTTGTGTCCATGAGAAGATGCTTGAAATGTGGAAAAGAAACTTTGATATTAAGACTGTCCCAAAATCCAAGGTATGCTATATATTCTTATGCATGATCATGACTATCACTACATGCATGTCTTGGATTAGCAATATTATTTTCAGTTATGTTAACAAATAGGTGAATTTGGAGAACTTCCCTTTGTGCAGATGGATGAAACATTTCAACATCCAAGTATTCAACTCTTCATTATGGGATTCAAAAATTCAGCAGAGTGCACAGAGAGCTCAGGTCAGACAAGTGTTGAAAAGGTTGATGTTGAAACTGGTGTGGAGGATAAAAACAATGAGGAAAATGTTATGGTAGAAGGGTCTGGTCTCGTTGAGGAAAATGTTGAGGATCAAAGTAAGAAAACCCCTCAAAATGCAAAGCTTAGTGAATGGGAAGCCAGAAGATATGGCTCAATTGCAGCAAGGATTTTGCGAGATGTAAAAATATCCGGATTTTGAGGGTTAGTCCGATTCTATGGGACATTTATTGCCATAGTAAATATAGTATATCATAACGGTCATATTCATATGCATAGGCTTCAAGTATTAGTGTATCAGTACTCATAAATTATTTGTTTTGGTTAGCTTTGAGATTTTGAAACTAGACCACTCCCCCCCCCCCCCCCCCCCCCACACCACCCCTCCTCTTTCCCTTTTTTAAAAAAACAAAAGATGTTTCCAAGCATACACTTTCACCTTTACATCCACTTTTTGTTATGACTAGATGGACTCCAATCTTGCCATTAATGTATGTGTGCAAATGACCAGGTAGTGACCTTAATGGCTATATTTTTGGACAAAAAATAAAATAGAGAAAGAAATAGAAAAAAAATATAAATAAGAGGGTAATGAATAAAATGAAAAAAAATTGAAAAATATAAATAAGAGGGTAATAAATAAAATGAAAAATATTTTATGTTTAAATTGTCCATTGTTAATAATTAAAAACACATAATTTGTAAAATATTTAAGAAATTAATATAAATAAAACTTAAATATCTAGAACTGAAATCATATTATATTTGTCAAACTAGCGAGTAAAAAAAATAAACATTTTACAGAGATTAATTTTTAATAATTCACTTTTTTAAAGATAACAAAAAAAGGATTTAAATCAGTTGTTTCCTTTTTTGTTGTAATCAGCTATTAAAGTAATATGTAGAGTATGGCTTCCTATTTGGGTCAGGGGTTTGTAATAGCCCCAGCTCCTTTAAAAGGGGCTCAACAAAGCCCGTACCCTACACTCTCTATGGGTTCACATGAGAATGTTGTCAAGAAAAAGAAAAAAAAAAAGAGTGAGCTTTAAAAATACTTAATTATAATAAAACAAAAAATTAAAATAAATTAAATCTCTCTTAATATTATATTATGTACATTAACTTTTAGATAATTTAAACGAGTGAGCTTTTAAAAAGGTAAAATGCATAAATTAATTTTAATAATAAAAGAAGTTTTTTTTTTCCTCTTCTAGATATCTATTAATATATTTATCCAAACTGAACTTGATTTTTTTATTATAAAATAAAAAAAATTGAGATATAACTTAATCAGTTAATTTTAACAGGAGTGAATCAATTTTTGGATCTATACAAAATAGTGCTGTTGGTGGAAACCTCAAATGCAATTTTGCTTTGACTACTGTCTGATTAAGCTCATTAATAATTTAAATTAATTTTATTCAACTTTAAACTAAACATACTCATGTGATACACAAACAGGAAAGTATTGGCCTTCCCAACTTTGGTTTTGCGCCATCTTCTGCTACTTTTAGTTTGCTAGGAGCTATTATTCTTGTTTTTCTCTCTGCAGCACCCAAAAAAATAAAACAATAATTACTGTTTCTAAAACTAAACTTCATGTGCGTTAATCCATTCAATTGGGCGTTATAATTTACAAAACCCAAAGCCTGGCATGTATAGTGAATTTGAATTAATTTAAAATTAAAATAAAAAACAAAATAATGTTCCAAAATCTAAAATAAAATAATTTTAATAACTTTTAAAACAGAAATATTACTCAAAACACACTCAAATAATTATCTTTGAAATATCATTTTGTTAAACTCAATAAATTGTAAAAAGAATAAAGAGTCAGACTTTGGCCATTATTGGTTCTTCTGACATAAAATATCATGAATTGCAGTGAATTTCATGAAGGGAGGGTCATGTCACAAAGATTAACGTGAGAGAGCAGACAACATATATAAGCGGTAACTTATGAATCAAGGCAAAGGACCATGAAATTGCTGTCAATTGTGTCAACAGAACCAAATCATTACCCTTTGCTTTGACTCCTGTGTGTGTTTGTTAGCGAGGCCTTGTCATTTTTATACCCCTCAATTCGCTACCTAGTTCCAAATATTTCAAAGTAGCGAACCAATCTTCACCAACCTCATCAAACTAATGGAAATTTCTAATCCACTAGTAAATATAGTTTCATTGTTTAATCTGTCACAAATTACGTACCTAGCAAGTGAAACAAAACAAGGGTCAATGTGATGGAGCTGGAAATTAAAGCCTAGCAGTTTTCAATTTGTTATCTGCTTGAAGTGACTCATTGAAGATTCTTGGTTACTGTTATCGGAGCGTGCATGCACGTGCGGCTCAGTCTGAGCCTTCAGCCACCCCCACTGAATATTTCAAACCTTGTAAATATTAATTATTGGGACAAAAATTATACATATATTAGTGGTAAATTATGAACCTCTAACTCTATAGGCTCTATATAGCACAAGTTTTTAATTTAGGACCATGTGATTATAATTAATCATCAAAGTGCTCAATATAAAACCATGGCTAAGCTGTGTAATTAACGACGTAGATAGATGCTACAGTTATTTTGAAAGTGTTGTATTGGTTAATGTTATTTTTATTGCAGCTTGTTTTTCATGGAGACTATTCAAACAAAGGTGTGTATATTTTGAAAAAAAAGGATTAATATTAGAACTTTCCGTCATTATAATATACACGCATCTCTACTTAGTGTTATATACGAATACGACCATCTTTTGATTCTCCCTTGCTTCAGACATGAACGCAATTTTCATTTGTGTCGGCAATTTTGACTATAAGTTCGTGTATCTGAGCGCAGGCAGGGAAGAGACTTCCAGACACTACATATATAGAAGATATATAGAAAGATAATATTCTCTTGTCAAATCATATCATAATCATATATACCAACCAAACTTGGTGAACTAAAACCTTGCCTAATTCCATGCCTCTTTCTATAATTTCGCTTAAACATTTATCCTACTGAGTTCAACCCATAATGATCATATGATACGTGTTACCTCTTTATTCTTGTTCGTTATTATGATCTATAATTTAAGCATGTGTGTTATATGTTGTATATGTTAAAGATGTGTTATGATAGTCATAGATTATATTGAATATCTACACACGTTCAATAACAATAAAGTGTTTTTATAAAAAAAAATTAATATAAAAATCAATAATTTTTTATAAGTTAAAATTAATTTATTTTCTCAAATTTTAAAGAAGTTGAATAAAAAATCCCTAAAAAATATATAAATTACTTTTATTTGATTTATTACTTAAATTTTTTATTTTTACAAGGTTATTGAATCCCTGTTTTACCTCAATAAAGAAAAATTCTACACGTTTGACATTTTACATGATTATAACTTCTTATTTTATTTTCTTTTTATATATAATATAATATTATATAGATCAGCACCAACTAGAAGGGGATTTTAAAATTGGGCCACGGGTTACAAGTGCAAACAAAAGGGTATAGAAATAACAAGGCTACGCTGCTTAACTTCATTATCATTTTAGTAAATTTAATAAATGACTGAATATCAATATTACACTGATGCAAGTCGATCATCACAGCCTACACAAATTTTCCAGTTTACTTTGCCAACCGTTGAAAAAAGGGGAAAGTTCATTTGCTGTTTCAGAGTCAATTATGCAGGACTATGACACCTGTCCTCTTAATTTGATTATGAATGTGATGAATGATTAATTACTTTTTGGATTAAAAAAATTCATATGTTTGTCCATACGTTGAATCGTGAGATGTGGTCCATTATTTGAAGTTCACGGGGATAGGGAAAAAGACAAAGGAAAGAGATTTTGCTTGACAGGAACAGTTGGAGGAAATATGAACAAAATAATCCCCGTCTTTTCTTTTGATGTCAAATTATGGTTCTTACGTATTAAATTTTTGTTAATGTGGAAATGGATATAGGGTCCATCCGAGCATGCTTGTTCGTGTCTACACCAATTAATGGGTGTATATATGATTCATTTTTCATTTTAATTGTTAGACGTATTTATGGACATGAGAGAACATTAAAAAACAGAAGTTCATAACTGAACATAAAATTATTGGTAATTTGATAATAACATTATTTCAGTTTCTGACCATTCATTGGCACAATTAAAACACATGCTCTTGGGCCAATTTTTAATATTTAAAGCTAGATATTAAAAATTTTAGAATTCAGTCAACTCAGCTTCTTTTCAGCATCGTGATATGCATCCAATGAAATGGAAACATAACCTGGTTTGATGCTACCGTATTTAATTTCAAGACCTAGAGATATATGTGTATATTACAAAATATTTATACCCTACTCTTGCCCCATATCCTGTCACCATATTATGCCGCTGCTTTTGAACTGGTAATTGTCACAACTTTGTACAGCATCAGATTATATCATATATACGACCACTGAAATATTTTGGGTACAGAAGCAAGAGATTTAATCCAGTTCATACATAGCCCCTAAACCTCATAGACATGCCTTTTATGTTATCCTGAATAAATCTAGCTATTCAGTTTGAAAGCAAGAAATTTTGAGTATATTATCCGAGCAACAGTAATTAAATAAAAGATGCAATTAAAATTTTAAAAAAAAGGAAAGAAAAGAAAAGATTTGGTGGGTGGAAGCAGATGGATTGACTTTATGCAGGTTGATTATGAATTTTTTATTCAGGATGATTATATTTAGACATGAAGTTTTATTTAATTTCTTGATATTAAATAATGATTGTCTTATAATTATTAGGAGTCAACGATTATTGTTACTGTGAAGAAGCACTATATAAAGTGATAAATATAGCTAGAAATGAGAACAAAATGCAGGCATTATATGTAGATAAGTTAGCTAATTACCAACTTTAGAGCAGGCATATATCTTCCTAGATCCCTGCCTGCCAACTGAGATTATGATTTTGCTTTAATTCATTTAAATAAGTTTTCTTTATGGCAGCCACCACGACACTTTCCTCGTCTACATTCAATGATTTAGGTAAAATCAATTGACAAAAAGCAGCCATGCAACCCAACAAAAATGTTCTTTAAAAAATTAGTGTATCTCCATTACTTTTAGACAATCTTCTTCCTTTTTTTAAAAATTTTTAACTTCCAACCGACATTGTTAACATTGATAAAGTAAAGAAAATACTAATCGGTACGAATTTATTAATTGTACAAAAATTATTACCTACGAAGAGAACGGGAAATGAATTTCGTTAAAAGGCTTTGTTTTATTTTGTTCTTTTTTCTATGCTGATTTATTTGTTCCTCAGTTTATCCAACTATTTGTAGGCACATGATCAATCAGCTGCAAATTCAAGCGAAAATTTTTCGCACTGTAGTATACAAACACATATCTTTACATGCATCCAGCATATTTATTATTTAGGTGATACATGATCTTATCAATTTCCAATATTCCATGATAATCAAGGACATGCAGAAAACTCCATGGCCGCTATAACTGTTACAATACGTTAGCAATGACACAATTGAGTTCATTAATTACATAAATTAAACAATAGTTCCACTGCAACAGTATTTATTTGATATGAAAATCAAAGATCGTGACTTGTCAACCTTCGAGGGTATAAATGATGAATTATCGCTTAGAAAGATTAAAAAAGAAAGACACTACCATACTGATTCCTCGTAATCCTTTCCAAATAATGTGGGAAGAGACCTTTTATCTCTGTTAAAACAGATCAATTTCATAAAAATTGCCACTTCCTTGATAATATGTTGTATTTAAAGGCTATATTATTTGTAAAACATATTATTATTATTATTATTATTATTATTATTACATTTTTATTTTCATGCGTGTCTTTAAAAATGGAAAAATGATAAAATAATTCGTTAAAAATCAGAATGAAAAAAACCATAGTATATTCATGGAACTGATTCACTTAACCTTTTCCAATGACGTGAGGGGGACTTCTGTTTTTATTGATACAAAAATCGTTTTGGTTAATGACAGTATCTAATAATATTTTCTATTTAGAGATATATTTTTTAAGAGTATTATAGATATATTATCTGTGCACCATGTACGTTATTATTTGTTAACGTGGAAAGTAATTATTATTTTTATTAATTACTTAAATACTGAAAATTTCACTTTGAAAATATTAAATACAAATATTGTTATTTAATCATTTTCATTCTTAATTACTAAATTATATGCTTTAATAAAACAGTTAACAAAATTTCTTCTTTACATATCTTTAGACGCACTCTTTAGCAATAACTTATAATTAAGCTTAACTAAAATTTTAATCTCTCAAAATTTCACTATATATATATATATAATTTATATTTATATTTATATATAATAATTCTTAATTCATAAAAAAATAATTTTTTCTCATTAAATTCATTTAAATATCATTTTTTTATTTGATTTTCTAAAATGGTCCTATTTAGTCTTCTAATTTTTTAGGACCAAATGAAAAAATTATGATAATTATAAGAACTAAAACAAAATAATTTATGATATTTAGACTATATCGTAGATAAAAATGTACTATCATGTAAATAAAAATGTTTTAAGATAGAATTATTTTAAAATTTTAAAACACAGCTTATATGCGTTGATCACTACATAGTAGTGAGTGTAGGCTCATGAATATGAGGCAAATCTCATAATCTACGAAATCGAAGTAGGGTCTTTCCTGAGTGTCCTTAGGTCTCTATTCCTGTGTCGCCAAGCACCGCGAGGCACTCTAGGAATGTTACAATGTGGCAGAACAAATATCTGAGAATTGTTTTGCCTAATTTTCACAATAAATTGCTGGTGACAATGGCTAGCTATGTATGAATATGACCTGTACAAGCTACCATTGTGTTGATTAGTCAATCCCAAACTCCTTATCAAATTAATCCAATGCCAAAGAATCTGATCCATTGGGCCCCTTCAAATGTGAAACGTTATGATCATACTCGTGCATGACATTTATCACCAATCATGCAAGAGTACATCATGTTAGAAGCTCAACAGTTACCACTGCATGAAAGAGTGTAATAGCAGAAACAATAACTATTTATTGTTTAGAAAATAAATTAGTAGTATCAAATCATTTAATTTAGTAAATTAGACGTCTATAAAATACTATTTGAACATAATAAACTTTTGAATCACGAAATTCCAATAAATACAGGCATTGCCGTGCTGAATTCCATTTTTTTTTTCTTTTCCAATTTCATAGGGAGAAGTTTTGCCATATACACAATGCAGCGGTTGCGCATACTACTAAACCAATCAATAATAAACTCTGTTGTCACACAAATCTTTGTATTTTAAATATTTATTGTTCACTGGCTTTATACACCAAGTGATGTACAGTATATATTAATGAAGAATGGGAATTATATTTATAAATTATTTTATTACTTGGGAATTTTCTAGTTTTCATAAAATTTTAGAATTTTATTTTATTTACCAAATTTTTTACTATTTTTAAGAATTTTATTTGCAATATGTCAGGTGTAATTGAAAAATATTATCAGTTGAAAATTTTATTTAATCTAATATTTTATTTTGATTTCATATTTTAAAATGATAAATTAACATTGTATTATGATTTTACATTTAATTTAATCTATTTATAAATTTTATTATGTGTGGAATTACCCCTTTAAATTATATTTAAACCTTTTCTACTCAAATGGTATAAGAAATTAATATATCCTAGTTATAAAATACTCCGCCTTAGATAATTATTGGAAGGTTTCTAATACAGATGAATCTATTTAATATTACATTAGAAGTGTAGAGTAGAAGATGCTGATAAGATGCATAGCAAGAAAGTCATATATACAATTTTTGAGTTATATATAAAGAAATTCTCATTGAGAAAGTTAGCTCCACCGTAATATAAATAGTCATGATTTAAATTATTATAATTTTCAATGTGAACTTAATTTAAGTTTTAAAGGACGTACTTATCTAAAATATCTCAAAATCATTAACGTGTGACTTTGTTATTTTAATATTCTTCTTCAAATGTAATTAATTTTGACCTAATTGTAACTTGTATTTTTTTTTTAAGTCTAAACTTTTGCCTCGTGTTTTTTTTTTTTATTGTTTAGAGCTTGTGGTCTTTTATTTTGAATTTTTTTGCCATAGGTTTTTTTTGTTTGATTTTTTAAAAAAATAATAATGAAAATTTTTAATTTTATTTAAACTTTGATACTATATTAAAATTGTAGTTTATATACTCAGTAGAAGAAAGAGAGGAAGTGATTCAACTTAAACTAAAAACTTAAGTGACTTATATATCTAAAATTGCTTTCAACAAATTAAATTAAGACTCAATTTATTCATATATCCTTTTGATATGTTTGTTAATCTATTAATATAAGACTTTATTAACATAACACAAGTAAGACTAATTCTGTAAAAAATATTTGTAATTTTAAAAAATAATACATAATTTATTTTAGTGTATATTTCTTCGCATTCAATAGGTCACAAACGCATACAGGCATTATAACACTAGAATTTCACTCAACATTGCTCTTTTGGTATACATAAATCTTAAAATCAAACTCAAAATTATATCCTTTTAAAAGATCTCTTTCTATTCTAACCAGCTCACGCTGATACAATACTGCACAGTTAAAACCATTAATTTTAAGAAAATCTGGTGTGCCCTTATCCAACGCATCTTCCAGTCAGATAAGGATTTAGTGAACAAGATTTAATATTTTAAGTAATTGTTTTCAATTTGTTTGCATGTCTTTACCTAAAATACACCTGGCTTTTTACTTTTTGCAAAGTGTCAATGCATAATGTGCATTCATTACCAAATAATAATAACAATAATTAAATAAAAAAGTAAGCAGAAGAAAACTAGGCCAATCGTCACTTTGGTCCTAGTGTTTGGAAAGTGTCACAATTCTGGTAGCTGTACCCATCAATTCGTAGTCCTGTTGTGTTGTCTTTCTTTCTGTATTTCAAACATTGGATGCTTTCTCTTTGAGAAGGGGAAGAAGAGAATGAGTGAGATTTCATATGGCTTGGCCAGGTCTTCAACGTGGAAGATTAGAAACCTCTCTCTGACCCTGAGTACCCTTCTTATATATTAATTATTAATTAATTACTAACAGTGCGTGGAAATTTGAATCAAATCGTATGTATATAATGTTCTGCCCTTGCTTTCATTTGACTTGTGTACATCTCTCTCTCTCTGTGAAATCATAAAATAATAATATATTTAACTGTCCAAAACCAAGGTCTCTTATTTATAAGGCACAAGCACTACCCACCAAAATTTCACTTAGATAAGAAAGTGAGTGTTTGAATCCTCAAAGAAAGATTGAGATTGCTTGAAACACGGAGAGAAAGAGATGGGAAGAGCTCCTTGTTGTGACAAAGCAAGTGTTAAGAAAGGGCCATGGTCGCCAGAAGAAGACTCAAAGCTGAAGGAGTACATAGACAAGCATGGAACTGGAGGGAATTGGATTGCTCTTCCTCAAAAAGCTGGTTAGCTCAAACTGTGATTTTATGAGAAATGCTTCAATTTGCGAAGCTGAAATTGAACCTTGTGTATTTTTTAAATTAAATCTCATATGCGTACACTCTCTCTTTGTAATAAGATTTAATTTGATTCTGGATATATGCATGTTCAGGTCTCAAGAGATGTGGGAAAAGTTGCAGATTGAGATGGCTCAACTATCTCAGGCCCAACATTAAGCATGGAGATTTCTCTGATGAGGAAGACAGAATAATTTGCAGCCTCTATGTTAATATTGGAAGCAGGTATACTGGTACTCGCTACCACTATAGTGCTGGTTATAGATTTTTTTTCGCATTTTCTACCCAACCTAATCTGAAATTAAAGACTTAAATCCATAATGTTTATATGGTATCTTTTCTCCTTTCTTTTTTTCTCCCTTTAATCACCATCAACTACATGCTCTAATGAAACACTATAAAGTCTCCATCGAGGCATATGTCTAAAAGAGGTAAAATAAAAAAGAAAGGAGAGAAACAAAGGGAAATACCTAGTTTTTATTTTCTTTTCTTTTTCTCCTTTTAAGAACCTTGATTGTCGTTTAGAATCTACCTACACAAAGATAGCATTTCCACATGCATGCCAAGTTTAGATCCAAAACACCAGCATCCACTACTTTTAAATTAAGAGATTGAGAGAGTAACTTCATGGGTGGAAAACTTAACTATCTTACTTATTCATATTTATGAACAGGTGGTCAATTATAGCTGCTCAGTTGCCAGGCAGGACTGACAATGATATCAAGAATTATTGGAACACTAAGTTAAAGAAAAAGCTCATGGGTTTGCTTCCTCTATCTCATCACAGTAAACAACCTCAATTTCCATCTTCTTCCCTTCAAAACCCCCCACTCTCTCCTTCTCACCAACTCTATGGAGATTACTGCCCAATAACAACCTCATCTTTCTCATGTATTGAACCCCTTTCACTCCCTTCAAGTAACTATGCTAGCACAAGCTGCACAACCACCTCGGGTTCTCTCCCCTTTTACCAAAACCAAGAGTCCATGGTTAGTATTAGTCCCATGCAATGTTACTACCCTATTAGAGACAACATGCTCATGTTTGGAAGTGAAGGAAGTTGCAGTTCCTCTGATGGTAGCTGCACTCAAGGAAGAGAAATCAAGCAAGAAGAAATGGGTTATCAGAGCTATAATGACAATAACTTTATGCTTAGTTACAATAGCATTAATGATGGCGGTGAAAATGTTAACCAATATGGAGAAAAGTTGGGTGTTGGAGGGTGCTTTGACCACAATTTAACACCGTTGGATTGTGATCTGGAGGATATCAAGCAATTGATTAGTAGTAGCAGCTTTAATAATCTTGATGAAAACAAGACAAGGGAGAAGGGCATGTACTACTACTACTACTGACTGCAACTGATGGCTAACTACATGTAGAGGATATGATGAGGGAAAAGATTCATAAAGTTTGAAGACTTTGATGAGATATCTGGGGTTCTGTGTTCTTTGATGAAATGAAACACTTCTTGTTTTGACAGTACATGGTAAAGTTTCTTCATATTTTGTGCATATCTTCTTGGAAGTGGTGACGATGACGACCATGATGTTAGATCTTTGTAAGCATGATATCCTCTCCGTGCAAATGCAACCTCCAATGGGAAAGTAATGTTATGAAAATTAGAAATCAAGGATTTGTAAATTGTGGGAGAAGTGAAACGAGCCTATGGTCGATTCAAATTATTTTATTTTATTTTATTTTGGAAATTATTACATAGTTTAGTGCATTAATATTAATCTTCTGGATTTTATGTATCGTATAGTATATATGAGATTTTGTTATTGCTATTTAATTTGTCAGAAAAATCTAGTATTAAGTATTGAGTTAAGCACCCCCCCTTGAGGAATCATTTGCATAGTAGCAAGGTCTCTGGAAGAAAGATAGCACGTTTAAAATGAACGTCAATTTTATATTAAGGAAAATAATTCATAAAAACTTCATTAGGGGTATATAGTTACACAAAGATAAGAAAATAATAATAATAAATAATAAAATATAAAAAGTGCTGAAATTATTAAGGTATTTAAAAATAATGATTATCATTTATAACATTAATAAACGGAAAGCAATGATATATGTCCAACAAAAGGAAGACTATGATGCTAGAGAAATTTTGTTGTCTTGTGTGGAAGCTTTGGGTGCTCACGCCGTAGCACTCACTTCGAATTATCAAATAAAATATTAGCCGTTTTGAACAATTTTTGCTAAATTACAGAGACGACTAGAAGGCGGCAAAAGACATGAAACATTTTTCCTAGTTTTTGTGAAACAGATGTCATTGTTGACAAATTCACCCTTATTAATTTACTAAACTCGATTACTTTTCAAATTTAGTTATGCATATTTTTATAAAATTTTGAAAATTCCTAATCTATATCTATTTAAAATTCTATCAAAATCGTGTAAATGTAATCTAATTATAATAATACACACACACACACAACTTGAATTTAAAATACTAATAACAATAGTAATCAGCAATTTTAATTATCAAAATTGCAGATGACTGTTAGAATACTATGTATCTTTTCTTTTTAATTTGTCACAAATTTATCTAATATAGTGAGTGAATGATCACCATCTCAAGCATCAATGGGCATAACTATTGAAAATTGAGATCATTTAGTGGGGGGAAAAATAACGTATTAAATCTGAATGGACCCATATACAATGAAAGATTGTCAGCAGCAAAATCAAACTCCACAAAAAGTACTTTTATTTATATCATAATATCATCTTTATAGGTTATCTATCGCTCTCAACGTATAATATAGTATGCCATCAGTAATCTTTGGTAAAAGGGGCAAAAATAGAATAAAAGGATAATGTTTTTCAATCAGAGCCCTACGTATACGGTGGATCTCAATTTCTTATGTGTTTGGAAACAAATACAAGAGATGTAGTTTAAATTATATAAGTGTAATTATATTAATAATCATTTTTACATTAACGTAAGAACTATTCATTTAAGTCTTATGTTAACAAATTAAAAAAAGAGAGAGAGATAAAAATTTAATATAAATATTTTACCTCCAAATCATTTTAATCTTTTAAATATATTGACTGTTCAGGAGGTAGTTGTAATTTAGAAGATTTATGTTTTATCGATTACAATATTATTTTTATTGATCAAGCCATTAAATTAAGATTATGTATCATTTAGTTATTTATATTAAAATTAAGTAATGATAAAATTATAGTTAATAATCTTTATTTTTATATATTTAAAAATATATATTACGTTAATTTTAATATAAATGAGTAATATATATTAATAAAACTTAATCCTTACTATGGATTATAATGACATAATTTATTTAAGAAAAATAATGAGCATGAGGCGTGGCATTGGCATATCCTAATCAAGATTGACAGTAACTTGGCTTCTTCCAAAGGCATTGGGGATTGGGAGTGCAGTGCAGAACAGGAACAGCATCAGTTTCTGCAAACGACAAAGAAAGTTAGATAATGGAAGTCGTTTTATATTTAACGGGTTCTGTGATGTGGTGGAATCCCCATTGGGAAGCCAATCAAAAAGGTTCCAAAAATACATAATCTCCAAGATTTTTGTCAGACCAGACAATAATAAGATGGTTGTGAAATGTATATATGATAATTACGATATTATATATTGAAAAATATATGATAATCGATCATTTTTAAACATAGCTGATATAAGAATTCTATCTTAACGATTACGATGACTTATTTTTTCGTTTTTTCGAAATGTATAGACAAATTTTTGTTTAATTTATTATTTTAAAACATAATATAGTAAAAATAATATTAAAATTAGGAAAAATATAGGTTAGTAAAGAGTTACAGCATTAGCAAGATTTTATATTATCGTTAGGCTATGAAACTTAAAAGATGTTTGAAAGAGCTAAAAGAAATTATAAGAATCTTCATAATTCTTAATCATACACGCCCATGCCATAATTTCTTATACGACAAAAGTTTATTACATAAATGCTTAAATTATTTATTCAAATAAACATTTATGAAAATAAACTGTAAAAATATTTTATAAAATAATTTATAAAACCATAAACTATTGAATAAATTATTCATAAAACTTTAACTTTATTTTATTTAGGGGAACGCATGAAAGACTGAATGTGCTACTGATATAGCATCCCCTCAGAGACACATTCACATGCTTTGAATTTGACCACTTTGAAGCTCTGTTCTACAAAAAGTGAAAACTAAACCAAAATGTTAAACTTTATTGTTGTTAATTATTTATTCATATTTTTTTCCTCACTCAAATTTTTATTCTCATCGATTAATTTGAAATTCGTAAAATTTTCGTACTAAATTCTTTCATGCTGTTTAACATATTTTAATATTGATGCTTAAAAGAAATTTACAAAAATGTTTAACGATTAATTTTACAAACCGCTTTTAAATTAACCAGATATTATTTTAACTTTTATCTTCAATCTTTAGTTTAACTTGTTATCTTTTATCTTTTTAACTAATTTATTTACTAAAAATACTACTAACATATCTTGTAAAACAATTTTTTATACATTATTTTAAAAAAATGATCAAAATTATGTGTATTTTATTCTTAGTTTAATAATTATTAATTATAATTTTATAATTTTTAATAGATTTCAATCAACAGAATAAAGTATATTAAAAACAATTATTTTAGCCTGGATATTAAAAAAAATAAACATTTAATTAAAAATATTTATTCCACTTTATGACTTTGGTGTAATCGATATTTTTTAATAAATATATTATTCTTAAATGCTTAATTTTTAAAGTTAAAATTAATAAAAGAATATTAAAAAATAATAAACTTTTAATAATACTCTTTGTTTCCTTGGTCAAACTGTACATGTATCAAGTAAGATATTCCATTTTATTGAATGAATAATAAATTGTGAACAAACATGGAGAAGGATTTAACCTAACAAAAGAATGGTCATTTTAGGTCTTAACCTTCCAGCTGGTGGACTCTGATTGACTGTTTTCTGCGATTTATATATAGAAAACCGTCATCTTTATCTTCATCATCATCCTCATCCTGTAAATTCGTTTACTTTATTCGTTTCACATATGGCTTCAACTTCATCGAATAATTTCCACAAATAATACATTGAACGATAACAAAGTGGAAAAAAATTCATTGACCTGATGTCAAAGTTAAAACATTTTGAGTATTCTTGTTCAAATATAATTAAATTAGGTTCATACGTATTGGTAAAAAAGAAACCAAACACAATTTGACTAATCAATCGTTTCATTTGTTTCTTACTATACCGACGACTATTTACTATAAATATAGAATATTTATGATCTCTCTCGTTGAATATTGGACATGTCAGACACCAGACCTTACCTGCATTCTTTCTTCAGTAGAACTGGGATTTTCATATTCCTGCACTAACTCTTCATCTATTATTGCTCTTAATATTTTTTTTATTTTATCTGTCATTTTTTATGAAATTAAATTGAATGGCAAAAAAATTCCGATTAAAGATAATTTTTAATATTAAAAATTAATGTTTTAAAAATTTTAATGAATTAATTTAAATAACACTACATATTTTAGATACTAAAATAAATGTTTAATCATTTTTAAAATATGTATTTATTAATTTATTTAAAATTTTAAACTAGTTAATTAACATATAAAGTATTTTTCAGTACATGATAAAAGCATAAAGTTAAATAGATCTTATACTAAATTTATGCTTTTTATTTAATTTACATATAATAAGTTATAATTTATTACTTCAATAGCCGTTAAATGTAAGTTAAATGAAAGGTTTAGATTGAATGTAAGAGTTTTTAGAATTATACTGATATAAAAAGATTATTTTCTTAATTTATTTAAAGATAATTTTTAAATTTGTTTAAAAGTCTCACCATTAAGTAATTTTTTTAAAATAGAAACTTTAATATAATTTTGAAAAATAAATTAAACTAAAAAAAGAATCATATCATATAAAATTATAAATAGATAAAATTTAAAGTGTAAATCTATAAAATAAATCAGACTGTAACCTCGTAATGACTCCGATCAGCAAAATCAAATAACTAAAATAGTTAGGGTCCAAAATTTTGTGCATTGTGAAACAAATCCATTATCGATTCGCCCTTAAAAAATGTCACCAGCTCTTTTATATGTAGAATCAAGCCATGGTAGATTAATGGAAGGATTAAAGTTTTGCTTAGGCATATATTAATTGGACGAGAGAGTATATGAGGATTTGTACTTCTGATTTGAGGTGAAGGTACAGTTGCATTGACCTGTGATTATGAGCAGAGAGCATAAATAAGGGTACCTTTCATTATCAGCTAGTCATAATCATGAGCTTCTCGGGACTGGTTGCAGTGTTGCACCTCTCCAAATCTTGTCGCTTCTGACAACAGTGCCAGAGAAGACAAGTACACACTCTGCGCTGAGATCGCACATCAACAAACTATAAGTTTCAGCTTCAAAAGAAAGTTCGTGCCATACTTTTTCTGGTTTAACGAAATTACTAATAAATTCTTATGGTACTATTTGGATGTATTTTTATCTGATCAAGAAACAATCACTTTTAAAACGGGCAAGATGAATTCGATCAATGATGTGTTTATACGGATGATGAAACAAAGAGGAAAAAAAATTTAAAAATGTTTTGTAATAAGACTGAAAGTTTTTTCCCTGTAGACAAAAGCTTTTTTTAGGTTTGAACTGAGAGCTTAAAGGTTAATAAGATTTCTAAATAAGCCGACAAACTTATCTCTAAAGGTTAATAAGCCATGTTCTTCTGTTGGTCAACAACTTAAGGTTTTAAATAGTTCACCAAATATATACTTTTTAGGATATTGCTATAAAACATTAATATAATAATTATAGCAACAACAATATTTAACACTAAAAGAAAAAATTAATTTGGCTGGCCCGGGGGGTAAATGAATAACCATGTATGTTTGAAAGAAAATTCCAAGTGAATGGGAATTTATTACCGAGAAAAAATATGATTTATTTTAGTTGATATAAACTATTAAGTGTGTGTGTGTATATATATATATATCTGATCCCTAAACTAAGTCATAAACACCCGTCTCAATGGATCGCACATCAGATTGTAAAAAAAAACATCATCGACTGGTGGAAGGACTTCTGATGGCCCTCTTATGTGAAAAGTGCAAAAAAAAAAAAAAAAAAAAAAAAGGATGAGAGACGCGATAGGAAAAGCTAAAATGGATAATACATAGATGCTCTGGACCCAATATGGGGTTAAGACCCAAACGCCATAAAAAAGATACCCGAATCTCAGCCGTACCTGCGCAAAAGGCCTGATTCTAAAATATTTCCATCCTATGATTCTCAGATCATGGTCCTTCAAGTAATAGCTCATTAATAAGAGAAAACAAGATATATCGCTGTGACGTAACAAATTCCCACCATCCTACTCCCCTACCCCAATCAATCCCTCGTGATCCAAAACCAAAAAAGGACGTCGGCGCTAACCAGAGGAATTAACATGGATCGCGTAATCATAACTCGTGCCTATGTCGTGCACGACTTCTAGTATCGACACCACTCTCATATATTGTTACTTTGCTGAAGCCTCTACTAACTCAAGAACTAAAGTACTTTAATGGCCTAAAAAAAAAAGAATTAAACTACTTTTGTAGATAACTACTCCCTCTACATACCAGCACCCGGTTCTGCAAGGATAGAGTCCAATCATTAGTTTGGATCTTGGCTAGCACAATTATTCTGGTCATTCTATGCCTCCCAAAATTGCACGATTGAATGTCAGTAGGGCTTTAGGAGCAAGACTGAAAGAAACGATGTGTCACAAAAGGTCTCGTTTTGTGAAGATATGCAACCAACTCAAGCAAAGTGACCCTGACATCTCGAACAACCTTTCAACTTTCACGAACTATGGGAAGGACATCATTTTTGAACCCAATTCAGGCTTTAGGCCTATACACCACGAAAGGCTATGTCAAAGACCTAGACCCAGATAATCTACCCAAATCTAAGCCCAGCCCACGCAAAGGGACTAATTCTGGAATATTACCCTTGGGAATATTTCCAATGACCTAATCAGAGGCTATCCGGAAGGGCCCATTAGCGCCTATCCAGGGGCTGACATAAGTCACAAAGTAGCGAATGCCCCGCACCTATGCACTATACAAGATGATGACATGCAGGACTTCACTTTCTTGGAATCTTACTTATGCGAGCGTTGGTGGACCCTAGCAGATATACCATCAGTTGTTAACTCTGCTGTAAAGAAGCTACGTCCCCTTGCAAGTGTAATGTGCAGTCACTAGTTCCAATCTTGGCTTGTACAATAGAAACTATGAGGCATTTCGAATTCCAAATTAAAAAATATACACATAAGATACACAACAAAATTATTGGTATTCTGGTTTGACTACAAATTATTCATTCGTCACAGGAAGCTTCAAGAGTGCTAGATACTTAAAAAGCAACTAGTTAATTTTACACAGGAGCAAAGACCCAATTAAATCTGCAGAGACGAAAATGTATAACACAAGATCCGGGCCTGCAACAAAAACCACAAGATTTCACAGTAAAAAATAAAAGATGTGTGAAAACATACTATTGAACAGCCACGGACCAGAATACCAAAATGGAAGGAAAAATAAACAAAAAATTCTACCTGAAGGTGTTTATTTAAGCAGCAGTTTCTGTTACATTTCCTATTGTTTTGCGATCAAAGATTTCAATCCAGTATCCATCAGGATCCTTAATAAATGCTATACCTTTCATTTTCCCTGCAGAAAATTACACACAAAAAAAAAAGAAGTTGAAAGTAATGTCTGAAGCAGTACCGGTGGGAAAATTCCCTGATGGAATTAGCAGAATTCAGACATTTAACATTTGTACATCACAAGTTACTCAAAAATAGCAGCCAACAATCAAGATATGCAGTGTGGTTTCAATCGTCACACAGCATTATAATTAGGGTAAAAGATATTTTTAGTCATTAATAATATAGTGAAATTTGATTTTAATGCCCCAAAAATTTCTTGTTAGTTTTATTCCTCATAAATATTAAAATTTTTCAAAACAATATTTATCATAAATTATTGATGACATGATATGCATCTAAATATGCCAAAATGATAAAAACTATTTCTAAAATTTATGAGAATCAAAATAAAATAAAAAATAAAAAACAGAAGACTAAAATCAATTTTAGTTATGAAGACTAAAAATATATTTAAATCTTATAGTTTAGGGTTTAGGGTTTAGGGTGTACTATGTATCAATGACCACAACCCATCACTTGCACTTCATGGTTAAATATAACAAGATGAGAAAGCCTAAACAGAACAATGCCATTAAAATAAATCTTCTGTCTCTTTCTCTGAAGGAATTTTTTTTACCAAGGCAAGGAAGGCCATTCAACAAATTAGAAGTATTCGTTGGATAGTTACATCTAATCCCAGGCAACTCAAATATGAATACAAGTTGAGAACTATGGAGCCAACTAATAACTAACCCATTTAATTCAAACTCAAGCTTTTAAGAATAGTTTTCATCCCCAGGTTTCTAACTATTTTAAAATTTCATAGTCAAATTATCCCTTCAAAAATCTATAAACATGGATGTCATCATGCACATGAACAATACATACCTGAACAAAAATATTGTCATGTAGGAACCAAAACAATTAAGCAGTTATCTATGGTACAGTGGACCTCAGATACAAATCATTTGTAGCTGTTAAAAACAGTGATAACATATTTGCAACTGTATATGGGCAGCTCTAGAAAGTATTCAGAACCAAGAAAAATTGTTACCATCATCTGGTTTCTTAACAAACTCAACTCCCAGATTCTGAAATCTTTCACATGCCTTGTAGGTGTCATCAACAGTTATGCCAATGTGTCCTGTATACAGAAAGACAACTTACTACTAGAATTCAATCTCATTAAGTATCCAATAAGACAAACAGTATAAATAAATCTAGTAAATAGCCAATGGAAACAAATAACTAATTACAGACATGTTAATGACATAAAAACTAGTATAAAACATAGGCTAGTAAATAGCAGGAAAAATTAACTTTTCCAGTCCATCTGCATTATGGGGTAATGCACTGAAACTTAAATGGAAATCAAACTCACATATAATGGTGATAAGCATACTCTCGTGTGAACAATAACAACTTAAACACCTATTAGGTAGGCATTTTTTTAAAATGGTTTAACACGTGATTGAGTGTCATAAATCCATCTGACTCAGTTATGACTAATGACTGACAACTTATGATTTTGTTTTATGAGACTTGAGGTTAAATTATTTTGTCCATTCCTAATTTCCTAGTTTAAAATAATGTTGAACATTTTTCATTGTCTAAGTTTTATGGTTCAAAGTAACTCCGTTCATGATTCAAAAATTAGCTTGGCAATTCCCTATATGAATGACAGTTTGATAGCGTTGAATCTGAAAACAATGCAAATCATATTGCCAAAACAAATTCAGGAAACGCTTCCCATTCACACATTTGATAGTTAAGTATAGAGGGAAGATACAGTATAAAGATTAAATATCATAGATTGATACTGACTTGATATGATGTGACATATTAAAATGTGATGATAAGATGATAAAACTTAGAATCCTTATTTATACTAACCATACTCCTAGTTAAATAGGAAACATATCACCACGTCTGGAAATATGATAGCCAATCCTAATAGATAATGAGGAAATATAGAAACTAATCCTCCAGGATAATCCAAGATATTCTAAGATACCATCAAGATAATATCCGTGTATTCAAGCAATTACTACAAACATTTAAAAACTATGGCCCACTACATTCATCATTGATAAAACCACAGTAGTTAGTATCATACGAAACGCGATACAAATCTACCGATTCGATACGAATCTTTGCGGCAATGATACAAATTAAGATATGTATCGTTTTGAATCCAGAATCGTTTTACGAATCACATGAATTGATCGAATTGGTGCTGAGATGCAATTCTGTGGGCGGCACAATTAATCCTGTGAACCAGGTACAGTAAAAACCTTAAAAAATCATTTTTTTAAAATTTATTTTTACAGAAAGGCCAATTTTTACCTTAGATTGTTTCTGTTGGTAAACCTACTATGTAATATTAAAAGAAAATCATGTTTTCTCATTCCCCTTTCACTCTTTTCTTTCCTCTTTTTTCCACGTACACAATGTTCATGCTATTCCCTATTGCATTGTTGTCATTATTGTAATTTTTCTCACTTCCTATTCAATATTTCTGGTGGCCCGCTTTTCCTCTGCCACGGTTCCTTTTTTTTTTTTTATTTGGTTTCTTCTCTCTTTTCTACTTGCTATTTGCTGTTTGCATTGTTGTCATTAGTGTGAATCTTAATTTGCTTACAAGTATATATCACATTGTTAGTGATATATTATTTACTTCAAAATATTAATATATAGATGTTTTTTCATGTTACAATACTCTTATCTTTATGTTTTTTATGTTTTAAATTATTGATCTTGAATCTTCCAATTCAAAATACGATTCAATTTAAGATTCACAATTTAAATCCCAATTTAACTACTTTGGATAAAACTAATGCCTCTGTCAAGACAGTTTCTGCTGTACGAGAAAAATTTTTAGTAAGTATTCTATTCACAAGTCACAACTAAATGTAATTCATGAAATATGTTTCCTCAGAGCATCCAATAATAACCTAAACTTTACCACTACATAGAGGGCAAGAAGAATAGTCAGCAATTCAACAATTTTCTAAGATAGTAGACTCAAAATGTAACCAGCAAATCAAGAAAGGATTGGGGATTTGGAGTCAAACTCTATCAAATTAAATGAGATGTCACATACCAAAGCCACGAGGTTCAGAATTGCCATTGTGGTACCCTTTGAACTCTGGATCACTTTCAGTACCCCAATTACTGTACATTACATTATTGTTAAATAAGAGACGTGTGGATAAGTAAATCTGACAAATTTAGGGCTTGTTTACTTAGAGAAAATGTTTTTCTGTATTCATTTCTTACTTTTACTTTTACTTTTAATTACAAAAATGTCATTTTATTTTTACTCTATTTTGTATTGAGAAATGCTATATGTGCAAAAAAATTATACAATTTTTGTTACAAATTAAGGAAAAAGGACAAGAAGAAAAAATTATAAGATGGATGATGTGATGAAAAGAGATAGAACAAAATTTGCGGTGGGAATATTATAACTCTTTTCTATTTTCAAAATTTTTAAACCAAAACACAAAGCGAAAACAATATGGAGGTTTTATAATCAAACACGAAAATAGAAAACATTTTTTCAAACCAAACTACTCTTTATATTCCTTACTGTGTCAGTTCAATGGTAGCCTTCTGAGCGAAGGTCCAAACTGTTCTATCAACTGGATTACTTGGAGCTTCAGCTGTATCCTAAACAAGAAAAAGATGTCAGAAAAAATCAAGGCATGAAGTACAGGCACAACAGCATACACCGTACCTCATAGCCCATGAAGTACAGGCTGAACTTCATCTCTGGAAAATCCAACCTCTTAAGTAAACTAAACCAACCAACAAACTACCATCAGCATTCATAAAGTGGTAGCACCATTGATTCAAAATAAATAAAATTTCGTAGCTAGACATATAATATTCATAAATTAATAAAATCAAACCCGTGCAGAGCGTTACACTAGACACAACATATTAGTTCCATAGAAGGCAAAGTCCAATTTCAAGCACTAAAAAATAAATATATAACCAATCCAAAAATAGTTGTATCTAAAAGAAAAACTTACGACATGCCCAAGACGCGAGAATAAAAATCAAGGCTCACTTTGGGGTCTTTGATTCTAAACATCTGCAATTGAAATAAGAGTTAAAAAAATGAAATCGGAACAAAGACGCAAACAATAACAATAATAACGAATTAGAAATGTGAATGGATGAGAACTCACAGTTTGTTGCATGAAGTAACCCTTAGTAGCTTGGTCTGGAGTTGTATGGAGGCCGGGGTTGTTAGAAGGTGACTCCTTGGGTTCCGCAGCCATTGAGAAGAATCGGAATCGAATCGATTTCTGAGAAGAAAAAAGAGAAGGTTGAGAACATTGAGATAGGAAACAAGAGTGGAGATTGAAAGCAGAAGGGGGGATTTGGAACCTTGGTTTTGGGGGTGAGTGAGAAAGAGAATGGGATTAGATGAGGTGATAGGAAAGGTTGAGGATTGGCGATGAATCGAAGGCGAAAGAGGCGGTGTAAGGAAGCGGCAGCTGCCATTTGGCAGATTTGGTATTTATAGGAGCGATTCAGAGAGAGAGAGAGAGAGATTACGTACCTTTCGATTTTGGAGATGAGATGAGAGTGAGTGCATAGCCTGCTAATGCTGCGAGTGAATGAAGCCAGACAATATCCTATTTTTATTTTATTATTGTTATTTTCATTTTAATGTTTATTTATTATTAATTGAAAGAAAGAAAAAATGTGCTTATGCCACACAGATATTCTAAATTATTAAGAGCAAAAATATCAATGCAATGAAATTGAGTTTTTTAAATTATTATTTTATAAATCTTGTTAGGAACTTACCAAATACATCATTCTTGATTAAGTTATAATTTTTTTATCCAATTCTGCTATTTTCTTCAGAGCTAATTTCTTTCTTCCCCCTTCTCTGATTTTGCATTTCTCTCTTTTTGTCTTTCTAATGCTTGTTTGAATAAGTGAAGTAAAATAAAAATAAATTTTAAATGAAATAATGTGTTTGGATTTGTAAAAATAATAAAATGTAAAATAAAATTATGTAGTTAAAATATAGAAAAACCATAACACCTTTATTAAAATGTATTGAACGATATTTGATAAAGATAAAATAGAGAGAGCAATAATAATTTCAGTGCTCATTCCATTTCACAGCAACTTGTGCAATAATAATTTCAGTGCTCATTCCATTTCACAGCAACTTGTGCAAGAAACTTGTAGTTGTGAGCACTAAAATTAAGCAATTTCTCCTCTCTTTTTTAAAGCCCAATCAAACTATTGAAATACAACAATTTCACTCTATATTCTAATCTATCGTATTTTAATGAAAACAAATAACACGTAAAGATCCTTCTCTTTTTCCCTTGTTACTACTTGATCTCTGTATGCATGGCTGATTTTTGGAATCAGGGATTGATGATTGGTTATTGTGATTTGTGATTATTGCTGATTGTCATTATTCGTGGGTGGCGAGAGGTTGGTGAGTTGTTGGGAATCTTTGATACAGGAGTTGTCATTCATTGATTAGTAGTATGATAGAAATTAGGACACGTGTAGATTGCTATCACCCATTGATTAGTAATATGATAGAAATTAGGACACGTGTAAATTCTAATTGAATTGATTAGATTCTATTGTAATTTGAGAGTCGGTTAAGTAGTGAAGTATTATAAATAGAACGGTTTGTGAAATGTCATATATACAAAAAAATATACTGAATTCTTGTAAACCTTTTTTTTTCAATAATATTGCATATCGAAGTTCATTCTCTATCTTGAACTCCCTTGCTTTCTTTTGGTTCTTCGAATAATACACTATTCCTAGTTCCATCTATATCAATTGGTATCAATCTGGTTCTTCCTTCGAAATCATTCATGGCAGAAAACACACGCACTCAAGCATCTGTTCGTGAAGTTGAAGAACGTATCAGCACTAAGATGGAAGCGAAATTCATGGAACTTGCAGCATCGATGCAGCGAACCTTGATCTAGAACATGCAAGAACTGTTTCAGCAACATGCACACGATAATCACCATCTTCTGGGTCTAGAAGTCCAAAGCGAAGTGGGAGATCTTCTTCCTATTCTTGCAATACAGGATTGGCACGTTTAGATTTTTCAAGATTTAACGGCGATGTGGTTAAACAATGGTTAATCCAGTGTGAGACTTTCTTTTCTGTTGATAACACACCTGATGATTATAAAGTGAGGTTAGCAGTTGTACATTTTGAAGGAAAGGCACTTCAGTGACATAGTGCTTATGTGAAAACAGTGGGGTTCAAAAATTTACCATCTTGGCTTGAATATACACAAATCTTGCTTGATAGATTTGGGGAAATTTGTGAGGATCCAATGGCAGATTTGATGAAGTTGAGACAGAAAAGTTCTATTGCAGACTATCATGAAGAATTTGATTCTATTGTGTCACGTGTGGAATTATCTGAAGAACACCAATTAAGTTGTTTCTTAGGAGGGTTAAAACAAGATGTTCAAATGATGATTCGCATGTTTCAACCTAATTCTGTGCGAAAATCCTTTTCCCTTGCAAAAATGTATGAATCCTCTACCTTAAATAACCCTAAATTCAAACCATTTCTAAAAAACCAGAAGCCACAATCTTCTTCTAAATCACCTATAATTTCTGACGCACCTAAACCAGTAGAATCCACACCTATACATGCCAAACACAAAGCACAAACCATTAGGAACATGACACCTGCATATATGAGTGAGAGGAGAGCTAAAGGTCTATGCTACTTCTGTGATGAACCTTTTACCACAGAACATAGATTAACCCACAAAAAGCTCCAAATTCATGTGTTAGAGGTTGAGGACTTGGAGGATCAGTTAAGTAATGAATCAGACAGTGAGGATAGACAACAAGATCATCGGTTAGAACCCTTGATTTCTGTTCATGCACTCACAGGAATAGCTAGTTTCAGAACCATGAGAGTGACTGGTTACTGTTGGAAAAAACCATTACACATCTTGATAGACAGTGGTAGCACACATAACTTCTTAGATGTACAATTGGCTCAAAAATTGGGGTGTAAAATTGCTATCAGGGAACCTGTCTCTGTCACTGTGGCTGATGGGAATAAGGTGTCAATATCTGAGGTAGTTTAAGGGTTTTCTTGGTCCATTCAGAATACAACCTTTGTTTCTGATATGCTGTTATTGCCACTTGGATGCTGTGATTTAGTTTTGGGAATAGAATGGTTGGTGACCTTAGGAGACATCACATGGAACTTTCACAAGTTAACTATGGAATTCTTTGTGCAAGGAAAAAAACATGTTTTAAGAGGAGCTTCAGCCAGTGGACTTAAAACAGTAAGAAGACAACAACTGTATCGGACACTTTCTTCTGGGGTACATTTATCAATGCTCAATGTTGGAGATGATAGTGGAAACTCTCTTCTGCATTCCTTGACAACTCATGCCACTCAACCAGAACTTCATGCTGACATTCAAACTCTTTTGCTTAAATTTGATGATGTTTTTCAGGTGCCTACTGAACTTCCCCCTGTGAGACCAGGTTATGATCATAAAATTCCCTTAGCACAGGGAGTCAATCCTGTTAGCAAGAGACCCTATAGGTATGCCAAACAGCAAAAAGATGTCATTGATGGGTTAGTTCAAGAATACCTCAGATCTGGCCTTATTCAGAATAGTGATAGCCCTTATGCTAGTCCAGTCGTTTTGGTAGGGAAGAAAGATGGAGGGTGGAGACTTTGTGTTGACTACAGGAAACTTAACAAAGGCACTATTAAAAACAAGTTTCCAATTCCTCTTGTGGATGATCTATTGGATGAGTTACATGGTTCAGTGGTGTTCTCCAAAATTGACCTTCGGTCTGGATATAATCAAGTGCAAATGGCTATAGATGACATTCATAAAACTGCATTCAAGACTCATGGTGGGCACTATGAATACTTGGTCATGCCATTTGGTCTTACAAATGCACCTGCAACTTTTCAAGGCCTAATGAATGTTGTTTTTCAAGAGTATTTGAGGAAGTTTTTGCTAGTATTTTTTGATGATATCTTAATATACAGTAAGAGCTTGACATATCACCTTGTTCACCTACACATGGTCTTACAGACAATGAGGGCTAATTCCTTATATGCTAAGAAATCCAAATGTTATTTCGCTGTTCTTAAAGTTGAATATCTCGGACACTTTATTTCTAAAGATGGTGCTCTACTGATCCTGCAAAAATAGAGGTTGTAAAGCAGTGGCTATTACCTCAAACACTAAAACAGCTAAGAAGTTTTTTAGGATTAGCGAGTTATTATAGACGATTTGTTAGTAGATATGGTTCCGTTGCTAAGCCCTTGACAAATATGTTAAAAAAGGACAATTTCTGCTAGACTCCTCAAGCTAAGGAAGCTTTTCTTCACTTGAAACAGCAACTTATACAAGCACCAGTCTTGGCCTTACTTGATTTTTCCAAAGAATTTGTAGTAGAGGTTGATGCTTCTGGATAGGGGATTGAAGCTGTCCTCATGCAGGATCACCATCCCATTGCATTTATTAGTTGAAGTTAATCAGCAACAATAGTCCTTGTCCACTTATGAAAAAGAACTTTTGGTTGTAGTGTTTGCAGTCCAGAAATGGAGTCATTATTTGCTCAACAGAAAATTCATCATCAAGACTGATCATCGCAGCTTGAAGTATATTTTAGACCAACGGCTTACAACTGCCTTTCAACAAAAATGGCTAGTCAAGTTGATGGAGTTTGATTTTCATATTGAATATAGACAGGGACATGAGAATGTGGCAGCAGATGCTTTGTCAAGGCTTGAACATATCCAATGTAATGCAGTAGCCATCCATCAACCTGATTCTGATATGCTTACTAGGATTCAACAGTTATGGCAAACTGATCCTGCAACACAAAGAATCATTGCAGAATTGCAATATAGTAGCTCTTCTCGTAAGCATTATTCATGGCAGAAGGAAGAACTGAGAAGGAAAAGGAGATTAGTGGTTGGAAAGGATATGCAGTTGAGGACTGATATACTGTTATAGATTCATGCTTCTGCTTGTGGAGGTCATTCTGGAAGGGATGCCACTTTGCAGAGAATTAAATCAGTTGTCTATTGGAAAGGAATGTCTCGGGATGTGAAGTCATTTGTGCACCAATGTGTTACGTGCCAGCGAAATAAATATGAGAATGCAGCTTCCCCTGGACTGTTACAACCCTTGCCTATTCCTGAGTTTGTTTGGTAGCACATCACTATGGACTTCATTGAGGGATTGTCTAAATTCTTTGGTAAGCAAGTTATCTTTGTTGTTATTGATAGATTAAGCAAAGCAGCTCATTTTATGGCCTTGAAACATCCTTACTCTACTTCTGATGTGGCTCAAAGTTTCTTAGATAATGTTTTCAAGTTACATGGGTTTCCTGCCTCAATTACCAGTGATAGGGATCCTATTTTTGTAAGTCAATTTTGGAAGAAATTCATGTCACTTCAAGGTATACAGGTTCAATTGTCAACTGCTTACCACCTACAAACAGATGGCCAATCTGAAGTGGTAAATAGATGTCTTGAAACTTATCTCAGATGCATGTGTTCAGATACTCCAGAGCAGTGGTCTAAGTGGTTGACACTAGCAGAATTGTGGTACAATACTACTTATCACAACACAATTAAAGCCAGTCCTTATGAGATAGTATATGGTCAAGTTCCTCCTACTCATCTACCTTATCTTCCTGGAGAATCTAAGGTTGAATTAATAGACAGAAGCTTGCAGAAAAGAGAAGAGATGCTGAAATTAATCAAGTTCCATATGAAGAGAGCCCAAGAGAGGATGAAACAACTTGCCGATAAACATAGATTAGACAAGAGCTTTCAGATTGGTGAATTAGTCTATGTAAAATTACATCCCTATAGGCAAGTCTCAGTTGCATTTCAAAGCAATGCCAAATTGTCTCCCAAGTATTATGGTCCTTACCCAATTGTGGATCAAATTGGTGCAGTAGCATACAAGATCAGGTTACCTGCAGGTTCTCAAATTCATGATGTATTCCATGTCTCCCAATTAAAGAAGTTTGTTGGCGACGCTGTTGTCGCTAGTCAGTGTTCGAGTACAAATGCAGATACAATTGTAAAGGAACTTGAAGCTATTATTGACAGGATGACAGTGAAAAGAGGCAATCGGGCAGTCACCAAGGTTTTAGTGAAATGGAAACACCAGCTACTTGAGGAGGCCACTTAGGAATTCTTTTATGATTTGAAAAAGAAATTTCCCAATTTTAATCCTTGAAGACACGGATTCTTTCAAGCAGAGGGGATTGATACAGGAGTTGTCATCCATTGATTAGTAGTATGATAGAAATTAGGACACGTGTAGATTGCTATCACCCATTGATTAATAATATGATAGAAATTAGGACACGTGTAAATTCTAATTGAATTGATTAGATTCTATTGTAATTTGAGAGTCGGTTAAGTAGTGAAGTATTATAAATAGAACGATTTATGAAATGTCATATATACAAAAAATAACTGAATTCTTGTAAACTTTTTTTTTTCAATAATATTGCATATCGAAGTTCATTCTCTATCTTGAACTCCCTTGTTTTCTTTTGGTTCTTCGAATAATACGCTATTCCTAGTTCCATCTTTATCAATCTTTATTCTTTTGCTTTTTGTTTTTATTTTACAGTATTTACACCACAAACTAAAGTGTAACTTTTTCGATGAATTCATTGTCTATGCCATAGTTTCTTATAGAAGAAATCCACTCCTCAACATTGTTCAACTCTACTTCTGCAACTCAGATATGAAACTATTTCCTACGATGTACAGCGTGTTAGAAAACTTCATTAAAGATGATCTAACGGTGATATTGGAAAAGTTGCATAATCGATTTAGCCCTAAATGAAAAATCATCACTACCCATTATCTTGTCTTGTAAATCATGTATAAAACACTTCAATCAGTGTTTGAAATTTTAGAAATTAGTTTTGATGTGCCCACAGAAAAAACAAACAAGCACTAAATAGTTTTAAGACCGTACAAAATAAACTGAGTTTTAAGATAAAATTATTTTATGAAATTTATATGTACATATGAATAATTATCATTATAAAATTATAAAATATTAAATTTAATTCATAGGCATGTTTCAAAGTGTTTTTGTTTTCTTATTTTTAAAAGATATTTTATAAAATGTTATTAAAGAAAAGGGGAAGAGGGGGAGGGAACTTGTTTGATGAAATCATTTTGAAAACAAATTTTGAATAGAAGTGTTTAACAATGGAAGATGAAGTTTCATAAGAAATTGATTGCTATCTACCACGAGTCCACGACCCATTTTATTATTAACCTTGTCATCACCACAAAGATTCCAAAGAATGGGAGTTCCAATGTTGGATAGTCTGGATTATTATATGTCCTTAGTTCTTACTAAACACATGATTAAATTTTAATATTTTTTTTGTGAATTAAAAAACTTGACCATATATTACATGATAATTCAGTGACTCATCCAAATTTTTGCTCACAAACACACGGCATATATTTCATTTGACTTTTTCTTGAATTGGTTCTGCCAAACCTTCCTTCATCGAAATCCTCGACAAACTTTCCAAGACTTTAATTTCCCTTCACACTAGCTTGCATTCTTTGAGTGATCAACTCCTTAGGCATTATTAATGATTCGTTTGCATGCAAGCACCAGCTTGAGGAGGGACCGTTTTTGTCTCAAGGTGATGTTTAAGCTCTAGGGAGTGTTTCAACGAAAGATAAAACAAAATAGAAAATAAGAAACAGAGTCAAAATAAGGTATAAAACATTTATTATTTAGATGAGCAAATATAGAAAAGAAAACAAGTGAAAATTTTCTCTACTTATTTAAATGAATAAAAAACACATAACAGCATCGGCAAGAATAGCATCTAAATTCCCTCCGTGCACGGATGGTGGAGAATGAAGGTTCACTACTCGATCAATACCTGAAACGTATTAAACTAGAGATGATTCACTTAAATTTATTATCCTAGAGATGATTTACTAGAGACTTGGTTCTCGCATTTATTAGTTTATATATCAAATAGAATTCATCTTTTGATTCCTTGATAATGATACATTAAGTCCTTTACAATGAAGGTAGTTCATGGAATATGACATCTTTCGTTTTCTCTTGTTTCCAAATTACTTGTATAAGCAACTCCAATAATTCAGCTAATATTTTTCATTTTTATTCAAGTTAAAAAACTATACAGATTAAAAAACTAATTATCATTAAAGTTAGTTAATAAATTATCTTATTTTTCTTCTATTAATAAATATTTTCTAATACTCAAACAACACAAATAATACAGATATTTTATATGAATACAACAATATTAATAGCAATAATAATTAATATTATTTTAGACTCATAAAAACAAACAAATAAATAAGAATAATTTTTTCTAGACAGATAAATATAAACATGAATAATATTACAATATATGCATTTCCATGTAAAAATTATGAGTAAATTGAAAAACTATGAACTCAGTTGGCTATGTATGTTTTATGATTAAATTTAATTTAGAATAACGTATAAATTATACCTTTTTCTCACAATATAATCTTATTTTTTACTTACTTATTTATTAATTTCATATTAAAATTTGAAAATTAAAATTATTACTTATTTTTATTATTTTATTTTGAAATTTTATTTTATATATATATCAAAGACTATAAAACTAGTTGGATTCTAAGAATACTTGGGGGATTTATATGGAAACATTCACTCCCCTTGGGTAGGAAAAATCACAGTCGGCATCATAAGCCATTTATGGTCTGACACGTACGCAACACGACACGTGCCTACCATAGATTAATCTTCCCTCAGCTTGACAATTTCCCACGGCTTTGCCTCATTCACAAACGAAAGAGGACAAATCAAAAGGCACTTCTATATCGTCTGACTAACCAAAGTTACATAACATGACGTGACTATACATATCTTATCCACGTGGTCGTAAATTTAATGTAAACGAGCCTTGTCCTCAACGTCTCAACGAACACTTGCTTCAACTACTCACATTTTCATACAGCAGCAAAGCCACAATCACACACCTCTTAATCAATTCTTCGCCGATGCAGAGATCAGGTTACGGTCGCGATGGAATATACAGGTCATTAAGACCTTCTTTGCTTCTCCCAAACGATCCCAACCTATCCCTCGTTTCCTTCCTCTTCGCAAGAGTTTCTTCTTTCGCCGCCAAAACAGCACTCGTCGATTCCCATTCTTCCCAAACTCTTTCATTCTCACAACTCAAAACCCAAGTCGCAAGGCTCGCCCATGGTTTCCTCCGCCTCGGAATAAACAAAAACGACGTCGTTCTCTTGCTCCTGCCCAACACCATCCACTCTCCCATATGCTTCCTCGCCGCCGCCGCAATTGGCGCTGTCGTGTCCACCGCCAACCCTATTTACACCGTTGAGGAACTCTCCAAGCAAGTCAAGGACTCCAAACCCAAGCTTGTTATCACCGTCCCCGAATTATGGGACAAAGCGAAGAATCTCAACCTCCCCGCAGTGATTATCGGCGCCGAGGAAAGCACAAGTTCGACGGTCACGAGTTTGGACGCCGTGATGGAGGGCACGGCGACGGAGCTGCCGGAAAACGGCGTGAAGCAGGGAGATACGGCGGCGCTTTTGTACTCCTCGGGGACCACGGGATTGAGCAAGGGGGTGGTCCTGACGCACCGGAATTTCATCGCGGCGGCGTTGATGATTGGCATGGACGACGATTTGGCGGGAGAGGTTAACGGCGTGTTCCTCTGCTTTTTGCCGATGTTTCACGTGTTTGGACTGGCGGTTGTGACGTACGCGCCGCTTGTGCGAGGGAGTGCGGTGGTGGTGATGAGGAAGTTCGAGTTGGAGGCCTTGGTGAAGACAATTGAGAAGCATAAGGTGACGAACATGTGGGTGGTGCCTCCCATTTTGCTTGCTCTGGCGAAACAGAGTGTTGTTGGTAAGTATGATCTTTCGTCGTTGAAGCGTATTGGTTCTGGTGCTGCTCCTCTTGGAAAAGACTTGATGGAAGATTGTGCCAAACGATTACCTCATGCTACAGTTTGTCAGGTAATTTATCATCTTTTCTCCAAAAAAGTGAAAATTGTTAACCTTCTAACAATAATATCTTTTTCTTTTCTTTAAAAAAAAAATGTTGTTTGTAGAAACTACACGTCCCCCTTTATGATTTATGGCATTAAAAAATATATACAATTAGTGAGAGATAAAAATAATTATATTGCATCTTACATATTACATCAATTTTTAATGATTCAAATTACTATTACAGTATCTATCCAATTTTTTTTATGCTCATTTTGCCTTTATTTTTAAATAATAGAATTTACATAATGTTCTTGTGCTCTCAGGGCTATGGTATGACAGAAACTTGTGGCATAGTTAGTATGGAGAATCCAAGAGTAGGGATTCGTCATAGCGGGTCAGCAGGAACTCTGGCTTCCGGAGTCGAAGCTCAAATAGTGAGTGTGGAAACACAGAAGGCGCTACCTCCTACACAGTTGGGTGAGATATGGGTACGGGGTCCTAACATGATGCAAGGTACAGTGCATGCCGTGTAGCATTTATTTTTCTCTTTCAAGAAAGAGTGTCAAATAACCCTTCAGTGGTGTCTCATTTTATTGTACTTGAGTCTTAAAAACAAAAAACTGAAAATTCCCATGTCATAAGTGAAAACATAACACAGAAGGAACTCCCTCCTACACAGTCAATCTTCTAAGTGTGATGTAACAAATTATTGGCTTTTTGGAACAAATTAGAAAGCAGCACAAATACAACAAATGCATTCCTATCACAAAATGTGTTGGGCCGGCTGAATTCTTAAAATACCCTTGTCCTTCAACATTTCTACCATCGTATTATAATCTTATTGGAGCAAAATCTTCACACACGGTCAGCGTTCCTTCTTCGTGCTTTTAAATAATTTTGTAATCACATAAAATGCATTCTAAAACTGTGTTGACCCTAGAATGACCAAATTCTTCTTGTTTCACTCAATGTTTTCTGATGGGATGTGGGGGATCGTGTTTTTACTTCATATGGAGTTTGGCAGTTACTCGTTCTTTACTCTTTTTCTATATAAACCTAGTGGAACTGTTACAAAAATTTTCAGGTTATCATAACAATCCACAGGCCACAAGACTGACTATAGATAAAAAGGGGTGGGTACATACAGGAGATCTTGGATATTTTGATGAAATTGGGCAACTTTTTGTTGTTGACCGTATCAAAGAACTGATCAAGTACAAAGGTTTTCAGGTATGTAATGCAAAAGCCATGTCAATAATGAAAGTTAATTTTTTGGGTATGCAATACATTTCATGGTGGTATATCTGAAATGTTAAGAAAATCCTTGTCAGTACTTGATTATCCGAAAGATAATGGGGGTGTTAGGATGCACTAAATAAATGTTTCATGTCCCAATTTGTTAGTTTCAATCGTAGTAATGTAAGTCCATAATTATGCATGAGCTGATCTGTTTGGGTAATTGTGTTGTATATATTAAATCCTTCTGGACTTTCATCTTACTGAATTATGAGCTGTTTGTCTCATTGTAACTAGGTTGCACCAGCAGAACTTGAGGGGCTTCTAGTTTCTCACCCTGAAATACTAGATGCTGTTGTTGTCCCGTTAAGTATCGCATACTTGATCTGTACTTTAATTTTTCACTTTTTGTATCTATTATTAGAAATTCATAGTTGAGTTACTTCATTTCTGTAGATATCCGGATGATGAGGCTGGTGAGGTTCCAATTGCCTTTGTTGTTCGTTCACCCAACAGTTCACTGACTGAAGAAGAAGTTCAGAAGTTCATTGCTAATCAGGTAAGAGAGAGATAAACAACGAGCTTTATCCGATTTTCTCTCCTAAATTAATAGACTTTGTCTTGCCAAGATATAACTTAGGAGGATTGCAATAAATGAAAAGATAGTTGTGAGATTTTTTTTAAAAAAAAAATGTGCCCGCTTTTAAAGAAAATTGCTTTGTTTTAAACACCAAACTCTTCTAGGCATAGGATACTGAGTTGTTTAATCCTCTTAAGCAGGCAAAATATGGGTAAGATAGTTTGTGTGCTATTAAACTATGAAGCTTGAATGGAGCATTTGTTCATACTTGTTTTCACTGTTGGTCCGTTTATCACATCTGAATGATTGGTCTATGTGCATTTATCAGGTTTACTCATTTATATTATTGTTTACAGGTTGCACCTTTCAAAAAATTGAGAAGGGTGACATTCATCAGCAGTGTTCCTAAGACAGCTTCAGGAAAAATCCTCCGAAGAGAGCTTAATGCAAAAGTCCGATCCAAAATATAACATATTACAATTTATTTTGGGGGGTCAATTTTCTGAGATAGAGTGCAAGTTTGGAGTGCATCCTGCAGAATAGATAGAAATAGCCAACCAGTAACCACGTAACAATCCCGCCGTAGTTCAGAGTGAAGTAGCATTGCTTTGCACCCAAATGTTGTGAATTTTACGGTAAGCAATGGTAAATCTCGACTGTTTACATCAGTCAACAGAGAAAAAGAAGAGCGAAATTGACCGTTTCCTAGTGTTTGTGGACTGAATTTGTCTCTTTAAAATAACAAAATGTGTAAAGTTAAAAATAAATGTAAAATAGTATTTATGTCTGATTCAAAGTAAAGATTTGCATGTAACTTACATTCACATGTGTATAATTTATTTACGTACAAAATTTAAATGCAGTATAATAAATACTTTTTATATTGATGTTTAATTATAATTGAAGTTTTATTTAATAATTTATAATAATATTAAATACAAAATACTTTTATTAAAATAAAATTTTAATTTTAATTAATAAACAGTACAAACAATATTTAAAATGTATTGTATAAGTATTTTGTTTTTTATTTATTTAGAAAGACGTCATGTCATGTATATGAAATGGAAATGTTATATGCAAAATTTTCTTGGGTCAGCGTAACAAAAAAATTACAATCTTCAAGTCTTTTAAATTTAAAATACCTAGTAGTCTAACCTTGAAAAGGATATGGATCTTGCCAATTAATAATTTAAAAGTACGTATTAAATAAAATTTTTATTAAGAATTAAACTAGAAATATATTAAAACTTATAATGAGAATCTATTAATAATATTTTTAATAAAATATATTTTCACTTTTTTAATCAATATTTTAATTGACATTTTTTCTTAAAATTTATTGTAAATTTAATTTTCTTTAGATCAATAATAGTTAAACTTTTATTTTCTTATTTTATACAATTGTTTTTACTTTTTTTTTATAACATATAACTTTATTATTATTTAACATTTGCCTTATATTTAAAAATAATAATTTTTAATTACTTTCAAATTTCTTTTTTTTTCCCTCAAATCTTACATTTCTAAAATTAATTTCTTTCAAATTTTAATATGAATATTTTTACTCAAATTTTTGGTAGATATACTTTAAAAATAATTTTTTAGTTTTTAAAATTTTCTTATTTCCTGCTTAAATATAAACTACTAATAATATTTATTTTAAAATTATATTTTATTTAACATAGTACAGTGTAATTTTAGAAAATAACCAATTCTCCGGTAAATCCAACATATTAAATTAGAAATCATGGATAGAATTAACGTTGCTACCACTTCATGGCGGCACAATTTAATACAGTCACTGGTTTTCTAATGTAGTATAATATCTCATAATTTTAACATTTGTTATATCAGCGTTGGAAAATATTTATTACTTTTAATTTTTCAAATAAATTATTTTTATATTTAAATATCTTCTTTTATCAAAATCTTAGTTTTTTTCCTTTCATTCTCAGACCTGAATTAACCATTGAACCATACCTTTTTTTTGTATTTTTTTTTTCAAGTTTGGACTTTTTTATATTTAATTTCTCAGCGAAGTTTAGCTCTGTGTTATAACTTCAAATCTTGGAACTATAAGTTTGAAAAAATGTTTACAGAATAATCACTCCTTCAAAGAGGGTTAATCTCAACACTATCATTCAATGACTTCTCTTTTGTATGTCCTTGGAATTAGGCACACGATTGTATTTAATTTTATTTTTCTCTTTCGATTTCTACAAACAGATGTATAGAGTGATATCATTAGGTAATAAACATAAAAAATATATTATTTTATCAGTAAAACTAGTTAACAAACTTCTTTAATTTTTATTAAAATGTTTAAAAAAGAAAAAAGATAAAAAAGATAAAGAAATGTCTCGTTTCAACTTTCAAAATCAAAACAGGCCAAAATTTTCAGTGATGATTTATTCTGACAGTTACATATCATTGCCAATAAATATATAATCAATGTATTATAAAATTTTACTATCACCAATCCTTATTAAAATTTCAAAATAAAAATATCAAGTATTTATTGTGTCAAAAACCAACTAAAAGAAATTAGTGATGTTACATACAATATCATTTCTTAATATTGAACTGATGAAACTTTTGACTCCCTATAGTTCAAGTTCCAAAATTTAAATTAAGGAACTCCTTCGTTTTATATTATTTGTCTTTTAGAACACTTGTGGTACACATGATATAAAAGAAAATAATAAAAATATTAGACTTGATTTTAATTAAATTCTCAAGTATATATGAGAGATAAAAATAAAAAAAAATTAAATAAACTTATATTCTTTTATTTTTTTAATAAATTTTTCAATTTCTTTTTCAAACATGAGATGTATAAGCTAATTTTAATTTATTAAAAAATTATATATTTTATTTCATTTTTGTTTCTCTTACAAATATTTCTAGTGAAATTTACTCAAACTGAACTATAGATGAAAATATAATAAATTTATTTTATTTTATGTTTAATGCATATCAATATAATAAAATAAATATATTATGTTATTATGTATATCTCATTTATTTTTAATTTACACTAAATTTAGACAAAACTTTACACTAAAAACTGATAAGATAAGTCAATAAAATAAAACTAACATATTTTATTAATTAAACAAAAGATAAAAATAAGATATTTGCCTAGTTAACCCTTGAGATAACATGAGTTTCTTTTACTAACATCTTCTTATTAAAAAAAAGTTAGAATATAGTTGTGAATCTGTCATAGTATTCGTAATTGTTAACTAGTGCACTAAAAATAATATTACGCTAATTTCTAATGCACCTCTAACGTATTTTAGATATTAAAAGATTATTTATTGATTATTAAAGCAGTATCTTAAAAGGATCAGTTAATAAAACTCTTAAATATTTATACAAAATACTAATAAATATGGATATTTTAAAAAAAATTTAAAACGACAATTATTTTAAGATAAATCAAAATAAATAAAGTGCTGTATAACATGAGATAGAAAAAGTAAATGTGTTTTAATGGAAGCACTTCACTTTTTTCAAAGGTCAAATTGCAGATAAGAAAGACAGGAGGGAGTTTTTTTTATTTTTTTTAATCAAATCTTAATTATCTTTAACGTCTAAATTTTAACTCTAATAAATGTTTATTGTATTTATCATTTTCTCCCCTTGTTTTTTTCTTTCGCTTTTTGCCAGAAAGCTACATGCACCCACTCAGATGAAGATATGTGTGACATTTTGTTTTTAGTTATCAAATATGTATAAAAGGGAATGAAAAGAAAGTGATGATTAAGAAGGATTCATTCAAGATGTTTACAATACTGACTATGCACATATGTATATATTATACGTGTACAATGCAATGCGTTTTGGCGTGCCAAATGAAAATGGGATTATCTTACAATATCAGAACCTTAATTGGATCACACGCTATCTGGCTAGCTAGGGCATAGTCTTAATGCTCTCTTGGCTCTATCTCATAAATTCTTTCTTTTTGTCAATACAACACAAATATGAACCAGAATTTCATCATGATAATAGACCAAATACTAGCAAAAAAAACTATTGGCTTAGAAGCATTCTGTGGTTTCTCCATCGTTTCGTTGTACGAATCAAGTTATCAAAGTAGGATCTTTTCAGAAATTATAATTAAGCACCAAGTTGCTATGATTCAACTTTTGTCGTTTTCATGAGCCTACTTGTGGATCGAAAGGAAATGCTAAACAAAAGAAAAGGAAAATAATTTGCATGTCCTCTCTCTCTTTCTGATGATGAATTCTAAAGTATCAATCGACCAAAAAAGGAAAGCAAGCCAGCGATCTATTAGCTACCGTCATGTGCATTATAGTATCAACATTTTAATCATAAAATTAAATTAAATTAAATTAAAGATAAATTTTGTGTGTAATTTTTTTGGTGTTGTTAGTGCTGGTTACTAAAAATTTGCAATAATATTAAGTATAAATATTTTATTAAAATAAAATTCTAATTAAAATTGTAACCAGTGCTAACAACACTTAAAATAATTATATCTATTAAAATCCATTAGGATCATATGGATGGTTTCATACCCACGGACTAATAAATTAACAATTAACAATATTCCGGAGGCATATACCTAAATTTCTCATCAGAATTCGGAAAATAAGTTCATCCCAATCCATTGTTTCAAAAGGGTGGCGATTATTAATAGAGCATCCCTCGAATTTGACCCTTAACAAAAATTTAACATACATAAATAGAGAGGATTCCACTTCCATACTCAGATCTGGATCTACACATGTACGTACGGTTTGTAAAGAGGGATAGAGGAAATATACAAGAACCAAAAGGTAGAGTGATCTTACCCTTTGTTCAGGCGCAAGCAACACACAGCCACAAAAAGTTGCAGCGAAATGAAGCTGATATTAGCCAAGATGTCATTCACCTGCAGATGCACCTGCACCTCGTGCTTGGTCCTTCGTCCACACCCAAATACACTAGGTATCTTTCATTTCTCCAATGACATGTTTTTCATTAACAGAGAAAACCAAGTAAAGTGCAGGTGCAAATGCAGGCAAAGGCAACATATGGTACGAAAATAACCCTGCTACGACAAGTTAAGAAATTTAACACGCGTAGCCAAATGTTTTGATGATAAGGATTTAAAGGGGCGAGAGAAAGGTGAGTTGATTTGAAGGAATACGTACATAACAGTTAATCTACGAGTGTTTCAGTGAAGATGTCAATATTTGGACCAATTCAACTACTTGACATGATGTAATGACTAGTATATATATGTGATATTTGTACTAATAAAGCAATTTGAGGCGTAAAAAGCCAATAGGATGTGTGATTATTCGTTGGATTATGAAAGGATAAGGATTTGATGAAGATCTCCATTATAATTTTTTGTTCTGATATCCAAAGTAAGAAAGAGCCGTGCACCCGCATGTCTGCCACACAACAAGCTGGTCTTACATCCCGTGAAGGAAACCATCACACCCACGTGGGATTTTATTCCCCCACTAATGCTACACTGCCACGTGCTCGATTGGACTCACACTTCACTTCATTTAACTGTGTCCCTATGCCTACTCTCTTTATACTTGCAAACACTTCTCATCTCAAATATTAGTCTTTTCTGTTTGTATATTTATGAGATGTAGTTTAATATCACTTATTCAATAACTGTGTCATTTTTTAAAATGTACTAAATATAAGTTCTTTTATGTTTAATAAAAAGGAAGATAAGAAGAAGAGAAGAAAATAAAATAAGGTCGAATAAAAAGATAAGAAAAAGTTGTATTATTAAAAAAATATTCAATGAATTATATAACTTTGTTCATTATAGTAATTAATAACAATGTATGTAATACAAGGAGTAGAAGGGCTGGGTGGGGGGGGCCAATGACCCAGCAATTTGTTTCTTCTCGATAACACCAGATGCGTATGGATTATTGGTTCATCTCTCACCAGAGGTGATAAATTTTTATTATAAAGTATAACATTTAATATATTATTATATTAAATTTTATGATATTTTATATTTTTAATAAAATTACTATAAGTATATTCTTATTACTCCTTTCGTCTCATAATAATTATTACTTGATATTTTTTATTTGTTTTAAATTATATTTCATTTTAGAATATTAAGCAAACATTTATTAGTAGGTAGTAATTTTTTTTTTATCAACCAACAACTAAAATAATTTTATCATAAGTTCTTATCTAATCATTATAATAATTTCATCACTTTTAATAAAATATATTTTTATAAAATTATTTTTTAATCATGATAATTAGCCAACTAATGTTTTTTTCAAATGTGTGATATTAAGTGACAACTAATGAATTTGAGATGAAAAAATATATATTTTTAACACGTTAAATAATAATAATAATAATTATTATTATTAGAATGATGGTGAGGAATTCATTAGATTTTGATTATTATTATTATTATTTTAATTTACAATAACTGAAATTTGATTACCACAAGCAACAAAGTTTAATTTAGCTTAATTAAATGTAAGATATCCCAAATTGGTCTTAATAAATTCATAAAATTGAAAGTATCATAATTTAAATATTGTTTTAAAGCTCACATTTACTTATTTTAAGTAATAGTTATTTTATTAATTAAATTATTATTGACATGTTAAATTATAGTTATGTATACATAATTACGAACATACATTTTTTTTACTTAGACCACATGTTTTTCACTAAAAAAAGTTTGTTTGAACTGTGTAGGATTAATGGAGATAATAATTTTTTTCTAAATATTTAATAATAAATAAACATGTTAGTTCACATAAAATAAAATAACATGTCTTTTTTAAGTGTATCCCAACCAATGTAATAATTTATTACTCCAATATTATTTGTCCAAGAAAAAAGAGAAAAATAAAATAGATGATGTGATAAAAACAATAAAAATGAAAATAAAATATTAAAAAAATAAAAAAATCAAAACTGCTAATTCATGTTTAGTTCAACTGATGTAATTCTTATATATTTATACTTATTTATTTTATTATATCATTAATTATATATATTATTTTTTATTTTATGTCTGCTAATTCATACTCTAAAAATGAAATGTGAGAGTATCTCTTTCCAAAATAAGTAGGGTCGACATGTATTTCTACCCATAAAAATAGCATAAAGTGAAATCAATAGTGAGTTATGTTTATGGTCTTGTTGATGAAGTGAGAACTGGTATCTGGGAAACGATATATGGTGCAATGTTCTCTTCTGCACACTCTGTGAGGTGATTCTTTCGGTGCTCGCTTAAGTGCTTTAGCTTCCATCGTTTTAGTCGTTACCGCTAATGTCCTTCTCAACCATATCAATTTCTTAGAGAATATTCGAATTCATTTTGTTGCATTATCTATTGTGTTAAAATCATTTTTTAAATGGAACAAAAGAACATGCTTTAAATGTGAATAGATGGTCTTTTCCATCCGACTCAACTTTTCATTTACATTAAAACTTTACCCTCAAATTATCTTTTGAAAATTTTAATTTTGACACACTACTAATATAAAAATACTATCAATTAATTAACTTTAAAATATCGTGAAAAATAACTTTTTGAGTATTTATCACCAAAATCAATAATTTTTAATAATATATTAAGTTGTGATTTTTGCTAATCGATAGCTATTACACGTGCTTTGGAATGTAATTCAGTAAAGGTCGTGATGCCATTTTTCTCATTAAAAAAAATTTAACGTTGTTTTAAATTTAAAGTTTATATAGTATATGTTTATTAATATGTATCCCTCGAGAAACTATACTTATGTTTGTTATTATGCTGCATATATATATATATATATATATATATATATATATATATATATTATCTGAAGATTCTAAACTGATTAACTATGATGTGGATCATAGATCTATTATAAGAAAACAAAATAAAATCAATTGAAATGTGTTTTTTTATAAAATATATATTTATCTGTAGTTTTAAATAAAAATATGTCAAGTTCATACAATTGAAATGTAGTTTTAAACTAAAACTAACAAGAAATATTTAAAAATACGAATAAAACAAAATTATTTCCTTTTTTGGGTCAACGGAAAAAAACATTGGGTTTAATTGTTGGGAGAATGGGTGAGAAGAAGAGCGTAGGCCCAGAGAAGAAAACAGTAAGGAAGCGAAGAAGGAGTTATTGCATGGGTCAAAAATAGCTTACACGACACGTTTGATTGAGCTAAGCCCAATCCAATTGAAGAAGGAGGGTGGATGATGAGACACATTTGCTTGGCAAGAGGGAAGAAGTTTCTTGGTCTTTGTTGGACTCTTGGTTGAAAGAAAGGTGCTTGTTAAAGAAGAAAAAGAGGAAAAACCTAACTAAAAGACGTTAACGCGGAACGTGGGTCCATTCCATATGATATACCATACATACAATACAAACACGCACCAATACCATTTTCATTTCATCATTTTCGTTCTATATATATCACACTTACCCCTACCATTGACATAAACCCTCCACAACACTCTCTTCCCCTTCCTTTCCCTCTCCTAGAATCCACAATGGGCGCGGTATTCACTCATTCTCAATTTCATTTGCTTAATGCATATTTGAATTATTCTTTATTTAAAGGCTATTAGATAGTATTCACGTTGTTTTTTTAATCATGCTAACCCTCTCTATGCCATGTTTCTGTTGCAGAAAAAGAAGACCGCTGGCGGAAACAACAATAAGGAGAACCAAGACACTAACTCCACCTTCGTCTTGAAGCTCGACATGCATTGCGACGGTTGCGCTTCCAAAATCATTCGACACCTTCGCGCTTTCCAAGGTTAATTTCCCATCTTCTCTGCGTTTATTTTTCGGATCTGTTTCAGATTTCGTCCATTTTACCTTCAAACTACTCGTTAGTGATGACCACTGTAGTAGTGAGGTACTGTTTCAGATTGGTTTTAGTGCTATTTATTATTTGGTTTTTGTGTTTATGAGCTTTGAGTTCAGATTGATGGTTGTTGTTTTTTAAGGTGTGGAGACGGTGAAGGCGGAGAGCGACGCCGGGAAGGTAACGGTGACCGGAAAAGTGGACCCCGCGAAAGTGAGGGACAACCTGGCGGAGAAGCTAAATAAGAAGGTTGAACTCATCACTTCACAGCCCAAGAAGAAGGAGAACAAAGACACCAAACCCAACAACCAATCCCACAACAAAATAATCAAAGACAAAGAGGTTCACCACTGGTCCCCTACATTGCCCCCTTTTTTAATTCAATTTCTCTGCCACTGCCAGCCTGGGATTTTTTTTCTATTAAATTACAGCATGATTTGGTCATTTCCTTTTAAAAAAAAATTAAGGAAAAATCATAAGAGAAGGTGTATTTATTATATATATCTTTTATTTATTCGGTGCTTATTGTTAATTTATCTTAATGTAATAGGTTGAGACTACAGCGGTTCTGAAGATGGCACTGCATTGCCAGGGATGTCTAGACAGGATTGGCAAGACTGTGTTGAAAACCAAAGGTTTTAATTAATTTATTTATTTTATAATTTTTACTTGTTTAGGCTTTTGGGTTTTGGCTAATTTGAATTGGATATGATATTAATGGGGCGCAGGAGTTAAAGAAATGGCTATAGACAAGGAAAAAGAAACGGTGACTGTGAAGGGTACAATGAACGTGGAAGCTCTTGTGGGGAATCTGATGGAGAAGCTTAAAAGGAAGGTTGAGGTGGACCCTCCCAAGAAAGACAAGGACAGTGATAACAAGGAAGGAGGCAAGAAGAAGAACAAAGGTGGTGGTGGTGGAGATAAGAATGAGAATGAAGAGGGAGGAGAGAAAATGGAGCAAAACAGAATGGAGCATTTGCCACCACCTCCCTCTGGCTTTGGTTATGGTTATGGTTATGGCAATTTTGGCGGCCTTAACTATGTACCTGTCTACCCGGAGCAGATGCATTTTCACTTGCATGCACCACCACCACAAATGTTCAGTGATGAGAACCCAAATGCTTGTTCTGTCATGTGAGTGAAGTGTCAGAGGTTAATTTCATTATTCAACTGGGTGATGAATGAGGATGATGATGGATGGTCTTCGGCAGGGGTCTCTATAGAGACTAGACTATAGTTTGGTTCTATTCTTTTTCACTTTGTGCTTAGTAGAAAAGGGTTTTGATGTGATTAACCAATACCGTTTATATTAATCAAATGGCAATACCACGTAGTTTCAGCATTTGAAGTTAGCTATGCATAATAATAATAATGTAAATGATGATAATATGGAATCTCTCTCCCACTTTGGTCTAATTTATACTGTGTTGTGCTGCCAGTGTTCCGATAATTTAATGATTATATTTGGATTTAGGAAGAAGGACATAAAAGGCGTGACATCTACATGTCCTTATTAGGTGTCCTGAGCCCCCAAGAAAGTGTAAGGGGCACTCATCAGTTATTACGCTTATTCATACAAGTTACTTCTATGTCCTTTCTTTTCTTTCTACCATTATAATTTGTCCTCTGAACCATTGGCCACGCTGTTGCCTTGAAGCCAGGTTCGTTAGTGGGTTTAAAACCTGTCCTTTCCTACCTAGCTTTATTATTTGTCCTATATGTTAATTGCTTTTTTTTCATCTACGCTTTCCAATTTGGCGCTCTCGTTGTTTCCAATGCCTCCACGAATAGCTGCTTTGCTCTCTTTCATCCCTATGGGCTGTGCCTGTGCCAATACGCTAATATAATTGGGTAAAACTCAAGATTTTAACTTTTACTTGATCTTAACGGATAGAAAATGTATTTAAAAAAATGTTTTTAAGTATTTCTCCTGTAACTTAATATTGTGTACACTTGATACTGTGTACAAAATATCCAATAAAAGAGAAGTATAAGTGAATATTTTACGCGTGTTCACATATGCGGATTAATTTTTTTAGAAAAATCTTAATTATCATTGATATTTTGTAATTATCTATTGTTATTAATTGCTATATGCTGCTCTGTGTAATGATTATAACTAAATGACTTGTGGATTCTCTTTATGACTTAACCTGCCTTTGCGATTATCAGTGCAAAAAAAAGTTGTTATATCTCATGTAATGCTAATAACTGAGCCATTTGGGTTGCATGTGCTACATGACTCGTAGTACCAACGTGAGGGATCATGATGACAATGCATTGGGTTTTATGCATGGAATATGTCTTTAGCGATGATGATGCTATGCATGACCAAAGTTCCATTGATTTTTGTCTGCCTTTGGGAAAGAAACAAGAACCTTCATAAAGGATAGGAAAAGCCAAAAACTTACAGAAAACATTTTCAAACAATGTTATAAAAGTCAAATTAAATAAAATTTTAAATTAACATGAAAAGATCTTAGAAGTTAAAATATAATAATAAGAGACTTAATAATATTTAAAAGATGTAGAGTAAGCAAAAAAGAATAACTATGATATAACTTAATACTTCAAGTTTTACCTTCAATAAAAAATGATAAAATATTCAAGCGTACTATATATATAAACAGTAATTAAAAATACACTATACTCTTAATTCCCGCTTAGGATACTAACTAAAACATTCTCTTCCAGCAATTAATGTATAGAACGAAGATAGGGATAAACCATGTATTCTATATCTTGCTTCTACGTACTCAAGCCTTTGAACCTCCGCATCATATCTTTATTCAATTCAAATTTTTTTGGATGAATCAATAAATAAAACAGGCAGTTCGAACTAATAAACCACTTTGAATAATAATAATGTACTTTTTTTTTATCTATTTTATATTAATTTAATTAATTTTTCACCTATTTATTACTCTTTTCTACTGGTTTATATATGGCTCTGCTGCTTTTATGGACTGAAAGAACTAGACACAAGATCAGTTCCGGTCGAACTTGTCAATTTTATCAGAATTTTTAGTCCTACTTTTTATAATATTCATTTATCTATTGTAATTTGTTAATGACCAATTTTATTTTTTTTAAACTTAGCACAGAATCACACTCTTTTTCCCTTTTCTTTTTCATATTTGAGGTAAAAGAGAATTCTTTTGAATAATAGAAGAATATTCTGCCCTCTAAATCATCCTTGCGAGAGGTCAACGTCAACCCAATCAAACGATGACTTTTTGGCCTTTTTCTTTTATTAAGTGTTTTAATAAAGTGTATTCACAAGTAGATACGCTTTCCTGTATATTCACAAAACGAAATATTTTTATGCATTTTAAAGATTCCGTGTCCATGTGCTTAAAGGGTCTTCTTTTTAAAGGTTTTTTCATTAGTCTAGCTCTAGGCGTGACCATGGCGAGCTTGCAGCCACATAGGATTATCAAGCAATGCATAAATATATTTGCAGGAACAAAGAATTTATATCAAAGTGTTAAATATATTTGCAGGAATCGTTTCAACAAATAATGCACACATTGCTCACAAATAGTGCACACACTGCTCACAATGATGGCTAGCTTGAAGGTTAGCAACAGACAATAGGGTGGTGCCTAGATCATACATACATTTATGAAATGAATAAAGTGTGCTTTTATTCAGAGTTGAATTTCCCCCAAAGGGGGCCTCACACGTAAAGGGTCTGGCCTGCACTAAGTGACCTTAAATATTCTTTTTCAAATAAAAGTTATGGGAAGAAAAGGTTAGGGGTTTTGACCCCAAAAAATAAAAATAAAATAAAATTAGGGGTTTCAGAGATTTGTGCAGCTAGCTAATGCCTTCTTGGCAAACTATGTTTTATGCAAAGATTACTGTCAAACTTTCTCCTCTAAAGCCCTTCCTTTTGTGCATAAAGCAAAAGCAACAATCAATTTTCCTTACACCATTTTCTTTTTGCATGCTTCCCTGTAATATACAAACAATATTCACCAAAGTTAATGATAATTTAATTTGGCCAGTGTTGCTATTCATAAACATGTACCCCAAAGTGTTGTAGACTTGTTGCAAAGCAAAACCTATTCCTGTGTGTGTCTCTCGGTTAAGTAATGGAGCCCTCATCCACTTTCTCTGAAATCATGAGCTATTAAACTAAGATTAAATATGAGCTTGTCCTTCAACTATTCCTTTTGATTGTTGAAGACACACAATTGATGGCTGAACATGACAATTGCCGATGCCAATAAGAATCATCAGTCAAAAGTCTTCTTATCTTCTTTATCAAACATGAGAACTCAAAAATTGAGAGTTATAATTAGTCTATAAATAATTGATGTTAAGATCGATGTGCAATTAAGCAACTTGCAGTACAAGTTGTGGGTTCAATAAGGTGGAACAAACAATTTCCAAAGTTTATTATCACCTTTTCTTATCCGTATAGTATCATGGGCCATGGCCAAAAATGTCCTTTCAACTTTAAATCAATGAATTTGAGAGGCGTACGTGACTTTTTTTTTCTATATTAGACGATAGAAAACAAACACAATTATGAAGATGGCCCCTTATATCAAGTTTTAATTGTTTTTATTAACTTGATAAATAAGGTGGTCTTCATAATTATAATTAGAAGAGAGACATATAATGCTTATCCTTTTAGTTGGAGGACACTTGTTTTTATGCTAAGTGTACTACTATTCTATAGTTTCAACTTCCAAGCATTCCTTTTTAAAAGTCATGAACGAGCCACGACCACCATCTTTCAGACCACGATGACTTTGAGCTCAAATTCTACTCAAAAGAAATTGTGTTTGGCTTCTTCAGGAATCTAGCTCTAAACTAGTACCAACCTAACATATATGCCATTTTCTCTCTATAAGTCTTGTTCTATTCCTTTTCTTTTTAGACAAAACTTAGGTTGGTGTTGGTATTGTTTATTAACCAAAATTTGAGTTTTTTTTTTCAGTAACAAGTGAACCATTAGATACAAACATTTTATTAAAACAAAACTCTAATTTTAATTGATAATGAGCACAAACAACGTCTAAAGAACATGTAAATTTTTGCCCTTTTTATTTCTCACTGTTATATGTTGATTGAAATTGATCTATTTACATTTGCTGAAGGAGAGGTACATGGTGTATCCTTAAGAAATACTTGTCAACTGAAAAAAACAAACTTAAAAGAAAAAACTAAATCAATACTACAAAAATAAATGTTGCAGTCATTGGACTACTTACTGCCCAAGTTCCACAATATTTCATTTGTGTGGTTCGCGGCACTTTGGTCATTCGAGCAAAGGTACTACCTCTCAATACTGAGAAAATATTCGAAAAGGAAGAGAGAGAGCAATAGAACCTTTTTCATAATGCTTAAACTGTTATTCATCATGATTGTTTTATCTAATTATTTAAGAGTGATTAAAATGAGATGAAAGTGGATTTGATACTATATTTTTTTTTATCAAGTTTTATTTTATTTCATTCAAATAATAAAATTTGATACTATATTATATTATTTTACTCTATTCCATTGTTTTTCATCCTTAACAAGAACAGAGACGCAAATCTTTCGAACCACTTGATGGGCCAGTTTTGGCCCATGTTACCTGAATTTAAAAACATTTACTCGATGACAGGCTTACCATTGTTACAGGCTGATCACGAGCTTTACAAAATTAATTGGGCTGGCCCATGAATCAGAACAATATAAAACAGGCTTAGAAAGCCCATAACGAGCACCATTACTCACATTTGTCGCGTTGCATAAAAATCAGAGTCCTCACCGCACCACTCCAACTGGAGCACGCAACCATAGCCAAGCCCACCCCTTTCTCTCTCTCTCTCTCTATATATATATATATCACAAACTTCACTTGCAACAACCACCACCTCCTCCAAAACTCAAACAGCGAACCCTAAGCACTCTCTCGGGTTCATCTTCTACGCCGAAACCCTAGGGGATCTACACTAGATCTATCTCGTTCTCTCGTTTCCGATCCAAGGTCAGGTTCATCTCCTATTCCAGATCGAAGATGGTATCTGACGCCAGCAAGAAGAAGGCTCTTCAGAAGAAGGCCGCCGCCGCAGCCAAAAGAGGTGGCAAGGCTGCTGCAGCTGCCATCGCCGCGGCGGCTTCTTCTAAAGCCGCAGATAAGGCCGCTAATGGAATCGCTGATATTCAGATATCGGATCGGACCTGCACTGGTGTCCTCTGTTCTCATCCTCTTTCCAGAGATATTCGGGTTAGTAACAGTTACTGTAACTGCATCTTATACATGAATTTCTTCGTAGTAGGCTATTCTTGAATAATACGTGGTTGCTTTTTACATATAATGAAAGAACAAAGTAAATCCAGAATTTATTTTTTAAAATGTATTTTTAATTTTTCCTCTTTTTTGGTGATTTAAATCTGTCAATTTGCGCTGTTATTCAATGAGTATCAATTTTTATTTATTTGTTTCCGTTTGGATTTAGCAAAAGAAAACGACTGACGTAATTTCATCTAGCCAGTATAATAGGATAGATTTACCTTTTACTAATTCTTCAACGGTGGCAAGCGTTCTTGAAGAAGGTGGTTTTTTTTTTTACCATTTTTTCGGATTAATTTTTCGCGTGGTAGAAATTATCGTTAGAATTCCCGTTAGCAACTAGGAAGCAATCCATCAGCCATCTTTTTGTGCTGCTTGTTTCAGTGTTGCATTATTAATATGCATATAGCTTCTGCTATATTTATTTTGAAATACACTGTTAATTACTAAAAATGTTTATCCGGACAGCATATTGCTTAGCTTGATGTTCTTCCTTTTTGGCCTTTTAAGAGAATTACTGTCTTGGTTCATCAGTTGTAACTATTGGCTTGCTTGTGTACTGAAAATATGAAATATATTTCATTTAAAAATAAATCACTGGAAAATTTATAGTGAACTGTGATTAATTTTAATTCAAATTTTAAGATTTCTAAGATGTGGTAGAAATTCCCAGTTTAGTTAGTCTTACTTCTAGCTTATTGTTGCTAGCATGGGTGCACGTAGTTGAGCGCCTAGCCGAGCAGCTGGCTCTGTAGCATGGGCATTCTACCATGTTGCCAAGGTCAATTACTTGGTTCTCCTTTGTGAATGTAACCATACCTATTACAAATTCTTCGGAGGTAGGTATTGTTGTGCAGTAAAAAGGATATTTCTGCCATATTAATTATGACTAGTTGTTAAATCTAAAAATGTCAGTGTTATTGATACATTTGGTTGGGCCTTTTTTACAGATTGAGTCTCTATCAGTCACATTCCACGGACATGATCTCATTCTTGATTCTGAATTGGAGTTAAATTATGGAAGGTTTGTTGTCTTTACCCCATTGTATCAAATAGGTTGCTATGATGTATACCGTGAAGTTTTGCCAATGATTGTGATTGCTCTGAGTTTCTTTCAGACGATATGGTTTACTTGGATTAAATGGTTGTGGAAAGTCTACTCTGCTTACAGCAATTGGTTGCCGTGAGCTTCCAATTCCAGACCACATGGATATCTATCACCTTACCAGGGAAATTGATGCCTCTGACATGTCTGCATTGGGAGCTGTCATAAGTTGTGATGAGGAAAGGTTGAAACTGGAGAAAGAAGCTGAAACTTTGGCTGCACAGGTTTGTTTAAGTATTTAAGCGTCTGGTTTCACTCCTTTTGTTTTATGTTTTTGTATGGCTTGCTAACTTAGTTTGAGTAATTTTGGTTCTAGGATGATGGGGGTGGTGAATCCCTTGAACGTGTTTATGAACGATTGGAAGCCTTAGATGCAGCAACTGCAGAGAAGCGTGCTGCTGAAATCTTACATGGCCTTGGTTTCAACAAGGAGATGCAGGCAAAGAAGACACGAGATTTTTCTGGTGGGTGGAGAATGAGAATTGCATTAGCACGAGCTCTGTTTATGAACCCGACCATTCTTCTACTGGATGAACCAACCAATCATCTTGGTATGCTCTCAGCCCAGAAATTGTCCCCATTGTTTGTCTAAATATTTTTTTGATCTTTTCGTCATTCTATGCACCAAATTGGTCGTGATGGTAATCTCTGTTAGATCATCAAAATATTTAATTTATGGCCCTGATTATGCTTTATTTAGTTGTTTTGAGTTATGTCTCAAAATAAATGCAATGATCAATTATCAAAAGCTTTCTAACCATCAGGTAAGGTTGTCGGAAATTGCATGGTGGTATTACTTCCAGATTGGATAGCATAGTGGATGCTTCATATCAACTTGTTGGATATGTGATTATAAATGCTAGTCGCAATCATTTGCATCTTGTAATGACTTATGCTCTCTCTTGTTACCTTCCTCTCTTTTGTCAATTATGTGCATTATCATTTTGTCATTTGTTGGGCATGTTTCTTCTAGTGCAACTGGTGCAATATTTATTAAGATTAGGCCTCTATTGATACATTTATTTTGAATTCTGTGTATTTGTTTTGTATGTTTGTAGTTTATTGTTACTTTTCTTTTGTGGAAATTCCTGTCTATTACTTTTTTCCTTGGTTAACTTTGTACTCGTTAATTTTTTAAAACCTGTTTGCAGATTTGGAGGCATGTGTGTGGCTGGAGGAGAATCTGAAGAAGTTTGACCGTATTTTGGTTGTGGTTTCCCACTCTCAGGACTTTCTTAATGGTGTCTGCACAAATATTATCCACATGCAAAACAAAAAATTGAAGCTCTACACTGGTAACTATGATCAATATGTTCAGACACGTGCTGAGTTGGAAGAGAATCAGATGAAACAGTACAAGTGGGAGCAGGAGCAGATTGCCTCGATGAAGGAATATATTGCCCGATTTGGCCATGGTTCAGCAAAACTGGCTCGCCAGGCACAGAGTAAAGAGAAAACTCTGGCAAAAATGGAACGAGGGGGGCTTACAGAGAAGGTAGTCAGAGACAAAGTTTTGGTGTTCCGCTTTACTGATGTGGGAAAACTTCCCCCTCCTGTTCTCCAGTTTGTTGAGGTGACATTTGGTTATACTCCTGATAATCTTATCTACAAGAATATTGACTTTGGGGTTGATTTAGACTCTAGGATTGCATTGGTTGGACCCAATGGTGCTGGGAAGAGTACACTGCTGAAGCTAATGACAGGTGATTTGATTCCTTCTGATGGTATGGTGCGACGTCATAATCATCTTCGAGTTGCACAGTATCACCAGCATTTGGCAGAAAAGCTTGACTTGGAAATGTCAGCACTCCAGTTTATGATTAAAGAATACCCTGGAAATGAGGAGGAGAAGATGAGGGCTGCTATTGGAAAGTTTGGGCTGTCAGGTAAAGCCCAGGTGATGCCAATGAAGAACCTGTCTGATGGGCAGAGAAGTCGAGTGATATTTGCTTGGTTAGCTTGGAGACAGCCTCATTTACTACTTTTGGATGAGCCAACTAATCATTTGGATATTGAGACAATTGACTCATTGGCTGAGGCATTGAATGAGTGGGACGGTGGCATGGTGCTTGTCAGCCATGATTTTAGGCTCATAAATCAAGTGGCCCATGAGATATGGGTATGTGCTGATCAAACTGTGACCAGATGGGAAGGTGACATTATGGAGTTCAAGGAGCATCTAAGGTCAAAGGCGGGTTTATCTGACTGATGCAGATAGTGGGACATTTGCTGTTGTCCGATATATCATTATCTAAGGATTTACTAGTTACAATATATGGGTGGCTGCTGCCGTTTGAGTTGGATTTTCTCAACTTAGATGATTATTGAGTTCAATTGCATAGTCGGTACATAGAAGCTTGCTATGATTTTTGTTTGAGCCGAAATGCCCCCCTCTCCCGGTTTAGAGTGCTAATAATTTTTTTTTTATTTGTTGTGCTCATCATTTAATTGCTTGGTTGTTAACCAGCATGATGGATAATGGGATGTCACCTTTAGGTAGACCCGATCCCTATCTGAATCTACGAACGAGGATTATAAATGATATATCGTATCGAGATTATTATATTGATGGTATTATAATCACCGTTAGTACCCTCTCTGGACACTTTCTTCCTTGTAGCTCTTCATTATCCACTCAAGTTACCTTCTCTACTACATAACTTTTCTTTCTAAGTTTTAAATTGAAGGGAAAAGGTTGCACACAAATGAGTGCATGACCCGGACCTAGATCTCGAGTAGTGAACACAGTATAGTTGTATTTATCGAATGAGTGCTTAAATCAAATTGCAGACAAACAAAAGAAGTGATGATTCTCAAGCCCAAACAACTAGGTGAAGAGTTTTTAATGTTACATTGGGTAGCGGGACGTCAAAGAATCATAGATGCTCGTATTTGAGGTTTATTATCTATCGTGAGAAGAAAGAAGCCGGAAATTGCCTAATGCTTCTCTCTCTCTCTCATTCGGCGTGGGGTGTTGATTGCCCGTAAATCTCTCATCCTATTGTTCCTTGGTCAATTGTTTGCACCAAATAACATTAGAAAGTCTCTAATAAATAAGAAATAACGCAAAACTAATTGTTTTGATGGCATTTTGCGATGTATCAAAATCATATATTTTATAATACAATTACATGCATATTCCGGAGTCTTCTTTTTCGAAAAATCTACAACCCCTCCCCATCCAAAAGGAAAAAGAAAAAGAGGATTCCAGAAGGAATAATACAAGCAATCTCAGCCTTAGTAAACAACTAAAATATTATATATTTCGAAAGAATTTGCCAGAAGCTAGAAATATTCACTGCCATTCAACATGCTTCGTAAATCGCGCTTGACATACTTTCTACTGTTGATTTGCTAACACTGTCGGCTCACAGGAACGGTAAACCAAATGTGGTGGAAGCCAATCTTGCAATATCAAGGGATTTTGGAACGTTCCTATGCTACCGGAGTATACATAAGCATTAACACGTTTCAATTATTTAAAGAGGATTCAGAATAGGTTGTGATACATTAGCTATAGAAAAAAAAAATATTAATATCAATATTGAATTATAATTAATGTTAGTCACATCTTAGGTTTTTATCATTATCATTATTACGATTTTCTCGATTTATTCGAAATCATGTTAACATTTTTTGCATATTGATCAATGCTGGTGTAAAGTTGTGGGATTTGCAAGATGTACAGGTTTACACTCCGCAATAGTTTTTGCTTTGGTTTTCGTCCCCTCTGCCGAAACATTACAAATATTGATATATAACCAATATTAAATTTACCTCTAAAGTCTGAATTTATCCAAAATGATCAAATCAACATGTTTCCATGTACTTGTATATTAACCCGTCTGCCAAGAGTGTAGTCAATGAATATTTTCAAAAAACCCGCTGTTGAGGTCAAAGAAGAAAAAATTCAGTGCAGTATACGTGGGTGAAATGTTTTCATTTATTGCTAAATTTTTAACTTTCCAATCTTTTTGTCCCGTTTAATTGAATTTCCTGCATGTCCAGTGTGAAGGGAGGGTTATGTTATCTGTCATATTTTTTTAAAAATAAAACAAGTGGGAAAACATTCAAGTCATTTGATTATAACGTATTATTAAAGTGAGAGTTTTAATAGTCATATTTAGGATGGTTTGATGGATTATATTAAAATTAGTTAAAATATACTTGGTTGTTATCTAGCTTTGGATGAGAGCATGAATACAAAGTCTAAGTAGTATTATTTTTACATAAAACGAAGGAAAAAGATAAAAAACAAAGAAATGGATAGCAACGAGAGGAGTTTAGGTGTTAAAATTATACACGTAAGTTATATTATTTAAAGGGTTACAATAATATTCATTCAACACTTTTTATAATATTTATCTTTATTTTTCTTCATTATATTAATAATCTTATTAATTTTCTATCTTTTCTTTTTATCTTTTTTTTACTGTGATAAAAAAAATATAAAGATACAATTTATCTTATTTAAATACTTTGAAAGGTGGACATCCTAAATGAGAAATTATATTTGTATAATTTTTTATACAATGAAGAGAGAAAGAGAAATCAGCAAAAAGCAGGATGAAAAACATTGATGTAATAAGTAGATAAAGGAAAAATACAATGTTATAAATTTTTTTTACAAATAATACAACTCAAGCCAAGTTAATAGAACCACTTTCAATCATTTTGATGGGAAAAGGCCAGAAAGTGCATGCATCTAAGTTACAGCATCCAAAGCATGCAAAACATGGAGCAATTTCCGAGTCATTTAAAATAGCATAATTACAGCCCAAGACATTGACTTAATTGTAGTTGCCGATTTATAATATGCTAGTAATAGTATTTTAATTTTGTTTTTTAATTTTGTTTTCCAATACATATATATTATATGGTGAAATCAAACATAAAATCGGTTTGACAAGATCATAAGCTCAATAGATCAGTAGCTTTTAACCACGGCTTTGTTACTGGAGTGCCAGCTTACCCTAGTAGTTTCAGATTCTCCCTCTTTTTTCCATTGCTGGGACAATAACATCTCAAGATCACTAGGTCTGCAAGGAATGGTTAATGCACCATCTTGATCAAATCCATACTCTTGTGAAGCTTGCTCCAATAGCCTCAAGAATGTTGGGTTATTTAAACAGCTCAATGGCACCACAAATCTCTTTGATTCCTCTTCATCCTCAGCAATCACAGCAAAATGCCCTTCTTTCACATCCTTTGGCACACAGGTTGTGGCATCATATCTTTCTTCACAGTCACGAAAATAAGAACTTGATTTATTTCTTCTCAATAAGAGACTCTTTTGAAGCTTTTCCAAGACAATCTTGAGCTTCCAAATGCCACTTACAACCTTCTTTTTGGTGCTGCTTCTTACTTTGAGCTCGGCCATTTTATGATTTATGCACTCCTAGATCCCTGTTTTTCCGTTTTTGAGCAATTTAATATTGGTAACATAACATATATTTATAGTGAGACCTGGTAAGCGAAGACTCATAGGGATCAAGACTATATTTGGACGGTAGATATATTAGTTGAAAACACACCAACACGAATGTGGTACAAGATATTGGTGCGTGGTTAAAAAATGTACATGCATGAAAGTAGTGCATGCATGTGCCGGTGCAGTGTTTGGAACTTCTAATTTACCATGAAACGTCTTTTGTGCATGTCATGTCATGTCATATCTGCTTCCAGTTCCTAATTATTAGCGTAGTTGTTCATAGCTATTTTGATGACTTCTTTTATTTATTTACCCATATATATGCCAATCCTTAATCAGTGTCATCATCCCTATTGCTCTCTGCGACTTTCTTTAATCGTTAAGGCTTTCACTATATGGACCAGAAGGACACTATACATGCAAGAAGTTCCGGGATAATTTTACAGTTGCTGATTTTTAGAGAGAATAATGTACCCTTTAAGCGGGATAAGTCGTCAGACTAAAAACTTATATTTATTTTATTGTAAGAAATATAGTAAAGATTTAAACTTGCAATTCATTCGATTAATCTTTTAAGGTTCGTGAGAAAGATATTTGGTACTTTTTAGTTCTTCTTTCCGGAGAATAAATATCCCAAAGTGCAGATTTTCTAGACGATGTTAGTACTATATTTTCTCCTGTGAATTGAATTGGTATATAAAGTGCAAAATATAGACATGATCATTAATTTATATTTTGAATGGTTAAAATTTGACAAAGTGATAGAGAAAATAGTTATTATAAATATGCAATCAAATGATTTATAATAGATTGGATCGTGCAGCTGCTGCAAAAAACTCAATTAACATAAATAGATGCGTCGTTTAAAAAGGTTATATTCTTTTGAAATATTTATCTATCTACATATAAAAATATAGAATACGAACATGGAAAAAAATATAAGGGAAATTGATAATAAAAATTATTTAAATAGTCTAACAAAATCTTTTAAAAAATTAATCAGAGAGAGAGAGAGTAGTCTAACAGTTAAGGGCTAATTAAATAACACAGCTGACATTCAACAATATAAGAAAATTAACACTAGGTTTATTTTGATGAACAGATGATGAACATTTGAGGCCGCAAATCCAAACATAATGATAACTTCTAAACCTATGAATCAAAAGTTGTCATCAATTAATTAATGTTATAATAATGTTTTTTCACACTCCACAGTTATAGAATGTATTTATTTCAAGCGTTGTAAAATTATTTTTAGAAGTATGAACTTGAAAATATAATATTTTACGTTTTTTGTAAGTTTTAATTTCTTTTTCCCATAATTGATTCGTGAGAATATGTAATCTCCATTCTTTGTTTTTACTTTCTTTTCCATACCCAGGGGTGATAATAATATACGTCCTAATTACTAATATAATCATGATATTTAAAAAAAAATCCTGAAAATATAATTACATAACTTGAAACCAACATCACTTTTATATTATTATTTTATTTTCTGCTAGGACATTGCGGAACTTGCTACCTAACATAATAATGAAAACACATTGATCGAAGAGGGAGACCCCTCCTTCCAACAAAAAAAGTTTATTTATCTATTGAATTTGAGCACATGTATCATTAGGGTAGGGGCTCCCTTTCCATCTTCAGCCACTTATTTCTTATCATATGGGGGACGCCATTAATTTGATGCAATCAGAAGATAGTCTTGTTATTTCAGCCTACACGTGCTCTCTACTGCAACTCTGGAATCAACTGTTACTACACATTTTTCTTCACATTCTTCAAACTTTCCAGAATTTCCACGATTTCTGATACTTTCTTCATTTAAATATAAATAAATAAGTTAGCATCATATATGATTCGATCTTTATTTTTAATATATATTTAAAAGATATATAACTAATAATTAAATGAAACAAAACTCAATGCTCACAAAACATTATATTTTTCTAATATTATAAGGGTAAATGAACTATATTATAAAAAAATAGTTTTTTTAAAATTGAATTCTACACTTTGGAGATTTCAGGTTTATGCATACTCATTTTCTTCCTTTCTTTATTGGAAAATACTAATCCGTCAGAAAAACATTTTGTTAAGGTAATACAATTTTATATTATTAGTTTTACATGATGTAAGTGTGCAAGGAGAGCTGTATTTTAAAAGGATAATAGGGAAAAAAAGTTGACTATGGCATGATCTTGTTATTGCATGGAGTTAACAAGGCTAAGTACATTGATAATTGGAATATAACGTCTAATTAATAAATTTTTTTTAAAACGAATACATTTTATTTAACGATTGTAAAATCGTTTCTAAAGCATTGAAAAGACAATGATGTATAATTAGATAATAATATGAAAAACACAATATTTTGAAGTCCTGGTTAGAATTAGTACAATAAAAAAACTGATTATATAATAATGGTGAAACATATCATTATTTTATGATATATTATAGAATTATAAATTTTCTCTATTTGTTTGTAATATATAAAATAATTTTTCTTATATATTTTTTAAAAGTTATATTATCACAATGTTTGCAAAAACAGAATTTTGACAAAATGATTGATTGTTTTTAAAATGAGAAAAACAAGTTTCCAAATGGGGTATATAGGATTCTATTTCAATTATGTCTCCTCCGGACACGCGGGTACTCAATGCTCGTACTTTTGGGTTCTTTCTATTTCTAGTAGCACTAATCAATTCATAGAGAAGACCCCTCATTCGCCAATAATGCCTCCTACCATTATTGTGCTCTATTTTTTAATTATACTTAGTCAAGTGTTATCATTAGTTAAAATTTATTAAAAATTTTAAAAAATGAAAAAATATTAACTTATGAGTAAAAATTAATAAGATTCATATAATTTTCATAGTTTTTAATAAATTCAATTTAATAATAAAAAGTGTATAATGTAGAAGTGTTAACTCGTTAATATTTAATTTAGTTAAAAAGAAAAGAAATAAAAAATATGGATTTTTTTTATTTGATTGAAGGAAAAGTAAGAAAAAAAATTACTTCTAAAAATAAAAACTCAATTTTTTTTAATTTTAATTTAAAATTTCTCTCTTATTTTTCTTCCACTCTACCACATGGAGTACAAGGTTCAAATTTGAATGGAATTATTGAAGCATGTATTTAGTTAAAATAAATTTATACATCCAAGACTTATACCCAAATTAAACGATTCAAAATTTCCAATTTTATTTTTTACATATTTATATTTTTTAATTCTTATAAAAATATATAAAAAATAAATTAAATTAAAAGAATAAAAGAAAACTAGACAAATAATAAAAAAAAAGGTCCAAATAATAAGTGGGATTAAAATGAGTTCTACCAAAAATATTATTAAAAAAAAAAACAAAGTGCTTGTTTTATCTTAACTACTGTTTTGAGTTTAAGATTTTGTAAAAATTCAGAGAACCTTACGTGATCTAGAAAAATATTGAAAAAATAATAAATAAAAAATAAAATAACAATATATCATAAAAAATTATTATTATTAGTCATCAAACAAATTAATGAATTTAAAAATAATATTAAAAACATTAAAAAATGTAACTCACAGGTTGAGTGAGTCGAATTTAAAATAACTCAACTTTTGTGAACCATTTTTTCTTTATCTGGATTCACCCAAAAAGTATGGTGAGCCAGATTAACTTATGAGACATGACTTATTTTTACAGTTATATTTAAATATAAAGACCGACAAGTAGTAAGAGTGGTAGAAATAGAAGAACATGAACTACAATTGTTACTAAGAAGAGGAATGATAAAGTTTTTATTGTTATTAAGGATAAGTTTCAAAAAAATGTTATACAGATTCTAAGAAATGCTTTGAAAGTAAAATAATGTATGGTATAAACAATAACTACCTTGTTTAAATGATGAATTTTAGCATGGTTAAGGTTTAAACTTTCTCACGTGTTTGCTAACAAGTCTTTTTCTCATTAATTTGTTAAAAGTAATCGCGAGGTAAAGGCAATCCAACACAAGTACTGTTCTACTTAACATCTGGGAACAGTCCCATTTTTTATTAATATGAGAAATGATTTGAAGTAAAGCAATTGAACATACAACTAGTAATTTAAATTTAGATAAGTTGAATTAGATCAAGGCAGCGAACTCTTACTTAGTCTTGTTGAAGCACAATTTGATTGCATACAATATATGTGGTTTCCTTGGAAATGAATATGAGAAATGATGGATATGGATTTTCTGCAATTTTGACGTGAATATGATTTTACAGTTTATTTTTATTTAAGCAAACATGATCTAAATTTCTCACGACATGATGCTTTTCTTCTGCAACACGAATAAGTGGTTAGAACAAATGGACGAGGAGAGATAAAAATGAAAAAATGAGTGAATAAGAAAGAACAAATTGTTGTTTTTCTTACTTTGAAGTCTCTCCCACACTCCTCTGTCATCAATTTCAAATTTTGCTTATAAGTTTTGGTTTTCAGATGATCGCAGATGCAATATCAACGTTGAAAAAGTGCATGCTTTCGAGCCCACCAACAATTTGCATATGATACGGATACAAGAAATAATGGGAACCTGGGCTACAAAATGAGGCCAATGGTGGAGCGACGATGGAACCAGGGGTGTTTTTGCAATTTAGAAAACTTGTCCAAACTCCATTCATCTGGATCGTTCAATTTTTAATACATATATCCTAAGGTAATCATTTATTTAGTTCATATCAGGAACTTCGTCTATTTTAGGTAAAACCTGTTCAAATAAACATAACACATAAAAACCATCAGTCCGTTATAATTTAGAGTAAATACTTACTTTACTATTTTTAATTATAATTATTAATTACTTTAATTTCTTATTTTATAAAATAACATTTATTTATTATTTTTTACACAAATAATAAATAAAAATAAAATAGGTTAAAATAAGTAATTTTTAAAAAATTATAAAATTAT